ACTTTAGAAGACATGTTATATTTTTGTATTTTTAGATTCAAAAAATTTACAATAATTGACATTTACCGAAAACAGTGATAAAAAACATAAAAATAAATTTTGTATTTTGTTTACAATCTGTTGTTTCGGTAACATGAATTTATAGTATTGCAGTAAACTGTATTTATATTTTTTTTAGACGATTTGCATTTCACACATATAGTTTAAAAATTGTTTGTAAATAATACCGTAATTTTTAATATTGATACATAAATGTAAGTTAACTTTATTTTCCAGTGATTTTTCACTACAAGTTAAATTTGAATTAAGAAACTGCTTAAAAATAAATATCGTGTTGGTACACAGACAGATATCTTTACATATAGGAGTTTATGGTTGGTACCTAAGCCATCTTTATTCTCAAGACTCCGTAATGCACAATTTACTAATACATACATACGGTGTATTCAAAGTTGGTCATCATACTTTTTGTTAACAAATACTTATATTCTTATATTAGGTATTTTCGAATAAATTGGAAATGTTCATGGTGATTTAAGGTAAAAATATTAAAACGTCTTGTACATTATAGGAGTCTATGTTGGTACCCCTATATTACACTGTACTTATAGGTATATCTTGTACTTATGCACATTTATACATTTTATTAAGTACATTGACAATTTTATACTATATAATTTGTTATTACAATTTATTTTGTTATCGAACGGATATTGTATTTTAATTTGATTCCAAAATTATTCCAATAATAAAAAATTATTCGAATTTGGTCGATCTGCATATTTAATTTTTGCCTTTTTTTTATTAATTTGAACGCACATTTTTGAATACATTACTCAGATGAATCAAAGATAAAATTAAAATAAAACTTCTTTTTTTTTTCACATATTTTCTTAAACTAAAAGGCATAGCTATGGAATAACGAACTATACAACTAAACCAATACATGGGCATTTTGATAGTTTGGAAATTTCTGTGGCATCTTCCATTTTTTAGTAGTCAATAATATATTGATAAAAGAAAAACTAAAAACAGAAAATACTTGATAATTTATTATGATATTTTGATTTTGTACATATTTAAGTAAGCGACATTTATTGTAACAATTGAAATATAATTTAATTAAATCCAAGTTTGTTATTTGAAAAAAAATGAAGATATTAAGATATCACACATTATTTATGTATATATATGTACGAATATGTATACACCCAATAATAGCACAACGAGCATCGCTATAATAAAAAAAATAATACGCTTTCTAAAATTAATTGAACTAAATTAAAAAAAAAGTACTGCAATAAAAATATTAAATATGTAGGTACTAAATTGTTTAAAATTTATATCAAATATCGTGGTAATAAATTTGGTACACGACTCTTAAATCGGTTAATGAGTAAACTTCTCTAGAATTTTTGAGGATTCGATTATGTTTCAATATTATTTCAAATAAACGAGTGAAATACAATATTTTTAGGATTCCCAACAAAATTTGATTTCTTATTAATAATTATTAATCGTTACTCTCAATATTACCAAAATTTATCGTTAATTCCTTTAGTTTAAATAATACTGAAAGTAATTAAATAACTTGAATTTAGAAGTTAATTTTGTTATACATGTTTAATATTACTTATAAATTTATAATTATATTTAGTTAATATACACTGTAATGTAATTTTATGTATAACAATAAGTAATACGTCAAAGTCAAACATTGACAAATGCAATATTATTTTCATTTTAAAATACTGAAATATTATTGGAACCTACTCGCTATAAGTCATATATTAAAACTTAGTATGTCAAATTTTTTAACAACATATTACGAGGATTTTTCATTTTCTAAAAGTTGTTAATTATTGAAATTTAATTAACAAGCTTGAAAAGTTAGTAATTTAATTATATTTAAAATAATTTTTAAACGTAAGTAAATTGTTATTGATTGTATTTGTTTAAAGGCACGTTCATCATAATATGTATACATATTATGTACATATGTATAAAACTTACACATCCATGTATATATACATATATAGTATAATATGAATATATTATAATTTAATATTTATTTATATTGTATGTATATCTATAGTACACATTTTTTCGTATAATTGCGTAAAAAATTATTTAAATTTACAACAAATATTTTTTTTTCAATAAAAACAATAATTATTTAATCGTTTGTTTTATGGTATACCTAGTTGTTTTACAAATTACATTTAAATGATAAAAGTTAGCATTTTTTGTTACAATCGCAGTGAATAACAGAGTAGAATATTAATTTTTTTATGCTTTGTCAGAATTGTGATTTTGATACGTTCTCAACAATTAGTGCCTTAACATATGCAATTGTTTAAGGCATCAAAAAAAATTTGCAATTATTTTAAGGAATTTTCGCGAAATTTCTACTTGTTCAACTTTTTTTAGCTATAACTTCCGTTCCGAAAAAGATAGAAGCTTCATGCAAACTGGATTTTCTTAGTTTTCTTTATCCCGACGGTTTCGTACGAAATTTTTTGAAACTTTAAAGCTCAAAAAATTTTTCCCAGCTGCTTAAACTTTTATTTAAGAAATAAACGTTAAAAATTTTAACCTTTATGACTTATTTTGATTTTTATGAATTTATGCCATAATTCTCAACTTTAATAAATTTATGATCAAAATTGTTATTCTCAAAAGTAGTTGACATTTTTAAAAATTGTTATTTTGAAAGAAAAACAAAGAATTTTCAAGATCTTAATTTTTCTTTAGACTTAAAAAAAAAAAATTTCATAATTTTTGGAATTGCAATAAAAACTTATACCTATGAGGTCAAAAAAAAAACAGCTAGGTAGATAAAAATTAACCTTACTATTGAATAATTTTTCATATTATTTTATTATTAAATGTTACATATTACAACAATAATTACATTTCCAGTTACATGGATCTTTAAAATGACATTGTAGCTAAATAAATTCTAAAATATTTTTGAGTTTTGAAAAAAAAAAAACTAGAAATAAAAATTAGTTCCAAAATATTGTCAATTTAAAATGACTAACTTCCATTGTTTAATTTTTTTTTAGTACCTACTTACTTACTTAATTTTATCAGTTATCATTCGATTATTACTCAATTCGAGTTTTTTAGCTGCTTATAATTTAGGTAGGTACTTATATTATAAATTAATTTAATTTTAACTATGCACTTATACATATATGTACATATAAATATTTATATATTCAATATAGTAATATTAACATATGTATATTAATATTACTATATTCATATTTTTATTATATAATTTCCATATTAATATAGAAATATATACATATATATGTATATATATATATATATATGTATATATATATAGAGAGAGAGAAAATATGCATCGTATATGAGTAGTAAGACAAAATAAAAATCAAAATAAAAAATAAAAATTTATAAAACATTCGTTATATAATACCTATGCAAATATAAACATACATATACTATGTACATATCTAAATTTAACATGATATTCAAAAATATTCACTAATTCCTAACTAATATCCTATAACTAGATTATAAGCTAAAATTTACAATATTTTATAGATAGTGTATGAGGTCATGTTAAGAATAATATTTAATGCCTTTTAAAAATATATATGCATGTATACATGTTATAAATTCCTGCGCAACATACATCCATTTTTTTCCTTTCTGAAAATTATATTATACTTATTACTTAAACCAAATAAAAATTGATTTGTGACAATTTCAAAATAAGATTTTTCATGTCAAAAAAATTTTTTTTGAATTTTGAATTTGAATATAAAATATAGAAAATCAAATTAAAATTGAAAACAAAATAAAATTTTTGCAGATTGAACGCAAAAAAAAAGATATTTATTTTTACACATCAGTGGATCTTTGTTTAATTCTAAAGCTAAGAAAGATAATTTTCCGCCTACTTTCACCTTCTACAAACATAATATTAAAAGCATAATATTTGTAGTTAATGATAAACAATTAATAAAATAAATATTTTGTTATGGTTTCAGTTTACTTAATTACTTATGAATTTTTAATTTACATATAAAATATAAAATTTATAGTTATATTATTCCATGTAAATTAAAAGTAATAATTCAATTTATTTTGTTTTTACGAAACTATCTTTACTAATTAATACTAACTTACATTTTTTTGGTTTAGTGCTACAACCATTATAATTTTATACAGTACATAAAAATACAATATACCGAATTATTAGCAAAATGAAACATTTCCGATTTAAATCAAAAACTTCATTACTTCTAATTTAAACGCGATTAAAAATTACAGTTGCTTCAAATTCATCGAAGCGCTAGGAAGTCTCTCAAAGATAAATTCAAATTAAATAAAATTATGAATGACCTTTGGTTCAAAACTCAACTACTGTTAAATTTATTGTATTACTTTTAATTGATTTCATTGATTGATATTTTTATAACTACTTTCATACCTATATTAATTTTAAAAATTTTTATCACGCTTATGGTATTCACGCCTAATATGAAATTTTCTTTTTTATTGTGCCGAAATTATAATATTGAAATAGTACTTAATTAGAAATAATTGCGTTGATTAACAAAGAAACTATTGGCATATTATAAAATGATTTCAAAATTATGTGGGTATATATATTTATATATTATATACACAATATATATATCATATAACATATGTATAGGTATAAGTATCCCGAAAAATGTCTGAACAATTTCTTAATTTGAGAGAAAAAATAATAAAATTTTTATTAAATTTCAATAATTTTTTTAGGATAATTAATTTATAACATTTATATTTAGTATTATTTTTCATTTTATATTACAAAATACATAAAATAATATTTGGGTGACTCACTCGATTAGAAAACAAAAAATCCTATATAAACCATTGAAAAAAAAATGGAGTAACATCATACGCATATTGAAAAATTTTCATTTTGCAAAAAAATATTTTTTTTTCTCATACATAATTATAAATGTTCATACCTGCTGTGTATATCCAAACGAAATTATGCACAAAAAACTAACTGCAAACAAATAAATTGCCAAACTATTAGGCATTCTTAAAATTCTTTTAAAATTATTTTCCATTTTCCATTAATCCAAGATATTGTATATGAACTTTCTTGACGCGAAAAAACCGAATTTTATCCTTTATACACATACATAAAATTTTAATTTTTTCAAATATTAATTTATAATAAAATTTTAAAAGCTCACTTTTCACTTCATATTTTATTAAATATTTAATTTATTAAAATTTTTTTCCTTGATTCTTAAATTACAAACAAGATTTTTTTTCTATACCAAAGGCAAAAAAAATTACTCCGATTTAATGCTCAGTAGAATTAGTTTATTCGTTATAATAAACCTGAATAATCAATTCTGAAAAATTTTGACTGTAAAATTATACATACCTACAAATAAAATTTTTTCTAATGTCAAAAATTACTGTCAAATTCAGATGTCAAAATCATATCGATTATTTAAAATGAAATAGCATCACCTAGTGGTGAGTTTTATTAACTGTATTGAAGATAAATACATAATTATTTTATTAAAATAGTTGTAGTTTGCGCGTTTTGTATATGAATTGATTAATAAATCAAAATATTTAAAATCAGTATTAAAATAAATAAAATTTTACTACTTGTCGTGTAAACTTCCCGCGAAATACTAATATGTTAATAGAATAAAGGTTTTTTCTTTTAGAAAAATTATGATTTTTGCCTATATTTCCAGTTCGAGTTTTCTATGTAAAAAATTTACTAAATAATTTATAATTTTATTTTTAGTTTTCACAATTTTTATATTAAAATAAAATTTGAAGTTTTCTAAAAGATTCAAACTTAAACTTAAATTTTTAACTATAATTTTGGTTAAATATTTACGTATTTCTGTCAGCCGTGATTTAACAATTTTAACATATTTGATTAAAAAAAATGGCATTTTAAGAAAAAGTCATACATATAAATATTCGATTGCAAATGGGTAATTATATCTTTTGACCAAACTCTACACTGAGTTTTGAAAAACCAAATATTTAACGACACTTTTCTTACAAAATTCTAAAAGGACGAACTTTATAACCTTAGAATAAATTTTTAAGCCAAAAAGTACACAAATAGGATATGAACTAATTAAAAGAAGGTGACGATATCCAAATTTTCAATAGTACACTATATAAAAAAAATTGTAATGTAAAATGAAAAGAATCTACACATGTCAATTGGATTTTTGGGGTAAATAAAGACGAGCTGACAGCTTGTTATTTTGGCAAAATGGCTTTGTGGTATTATTATAATATAAAAGTGCATTATAAAAAACGTATAGCTGTTGAAGAGAAATTCAAAAAAGAAGATGTAAATCTGGAAATGATGTGAAAATAAAATTTTTTAACGGGAAATAGTTGGAAAATTTCAAATGAAAAGATCTAAACTGTAAAGCAAAGAGACTTAAACCAGAGTTGAAGTGTAAGTACATACATATATGTAATTGCGTACGTAAATTCATATGTTACTTTACTGTATTAAGTTAAAATTTCCTGGAATTAAATTTTTTTTATTTAAGCTATTTGTAAAAATTTCGGAAATGCATCTTTTATCTCATTTTTGTTTCTTACCGTTTTTCGATCAGTTTTAAAATACTTATAGGTATACATACATAATACATATGTATCTTAAGTTTACTTATAATGTTTTTTTATATTACTACATTATTCATAAATATGCTCTTATAAAAGTTAAAAATGTACTTTTATAGAAAGTGTATAAAATCCATATCTAAAGTTCTTAAATTTATTCAGTAATTGGAATGAGTATAGTATACGTATATAGTTCTAAATAACTTAATTCAGAGATAAATGAATTTAGTTCCTTTAAAAATAAACAGGTCACTTTTGAAATATTATTGTTTAAATCATATTTTTATTTCGTACACACAGAATTTTTGATAGAGGAATTTTATTTACAAAAGAAATTTAATAATTTATATTCAAAATTTTACACCAGGTAAAATATAATATGCTTTACAACATCTGGATTTTTTCAGAAAACATCGTTTTTTATTATATGTACATATACGTAAGAACATATGAATGTACTCATATACACATGTGAATTTATTTAGTATATTTAAAATCTTTGTTATATATAGGAGCGTTATGATGAATCAAATCTCTTACATTTTGTTTGTGTTTGTTTATATTGTGCATGCAATTGATATTTAATAAAAGATTTTGTTTATCCAGATGCCAAAAAGTTCAGTGATTACACATTTACTTTATAAAGATAAATTAATGCAGTTTTAAGTCCATAATATAGAAATTTTATTCTTAATTTAACTGTCTTCCTTCTTGCTTAAGTTCAGAGGCCCAAACATCTTGAGGCCAACCAGTCCTTCCACTGTTTTTTTTATATTTCATTTCTTGTTCTATAGCAAACTGAAAAAAAAAACAGATAAAGAAATTTTTAATTATTCTATATTTTAATTAGGCATATATTATTTATTTCAATAGTTATGAAACTTAGCGATTAGTTCTACGTTTAATAATTTTACATATAGGTACTAAAATTTAAAACAAAATCTTTTTCTCAAAAATTCATAATGTTTCAGTTCAATTTGGTGTCGCTTACAACTTGTACGATTAGGACAATCTTTGTTTAATAATATAGGTCTGTTCACGAGACCGCATTAAATTTAAAGTATTAAAGTACAAATCAACAGTATAGATAGAAAGACTTGGTTTAATATTAAAAAAACATTTACTGATATTGGTTATAAGCAATTGATTAAAGAGTATAAAAGGAAAACTAAAAACTCGATATTTTGACATATGTATCATTTTGCAAACATAACCGTAAAAGTTAGGGAAAATTGAAAAATATCTGATCATCAAACTATAAATATTAGAATACAAGAAAGAATAGAGTTGACCGTGTCAACTCTGTGATACCCGTACGAATTTGTTATCCTATGTGCAAATAAATTTATACCATAGCTGACTATGGGACAGACTATGACTTTAAGTTGTCGTATTACCATATTAACTTATGCAATTTTTCAGTACTGTGTTTTCAATATATATTTTCTAGGATATGGGCAAAAGAACTATTGAAGTTGTATGTCTGCTACCAGAAAGAGTCAAGCAATTTCAACGACATTAATCAAACACATTGGCCCTTCTAATATATCCGCTTGTGTGAAATTTCAACATCACAGGTTTTATAGTTTCTGTGATACAGCCAAATAACTTTTGAAGTTTTATGGCAGTTACCCGAACCGGCATCCCAACCATATCCATAATTTAAATATGGTTCTGGCATTTATAACGATAAATCATTGCAAATTTGGAGAACTTAGTCCAATTAGTTTTTTATTTATCGTTCGGACGGGCGGGCGGATGGACTCAAAATTCGACGCTGATCAAAAACATACACTTAAGTCTATATCTCAGACCATTATTTCTTAGCGTTACAAACGGAAAGGAAACTTAATTTAGTATACCCTTCGAATATATGCTCGTACGGGTATAAAAAACTGAAGAAAATGGAAAAAAAGAAGAAGGATTTTGATATGTTAAATTTGCTTTTAAAGAGAGAACTTGAAGTTAGAAATTTTATTAATCAATATGGATTCTGAACTTTTTGCTAAAGCGCAAAATAGCCTTAAAAAAATGCGAAAATGCAATAAAAGTGGAGAAGAATATTGCCGAAAGGTCCAAATATGATTTACATAGACTAAAAATGAAAAGATAAGATTATATAAAGTTTGTAGTTTAAGTTTAAATTTTATCCTTTATACACATACATAAAATTTTAATTTTTTCAAATATTAATTTATAATAAAATTTTAAAAGCTCACTTTTCACTTCATATTTTATTAAATATTTAATTTATTAAAATTTTTTTCCTTGATTCTTAAATTACAAACAAGATTTTTTTTCTATACCAAAGGCAAAAAAAATTACTCCGATTTAATGCTCAGTAGAATTAGTTTATTCGTTATAATAAACCTGAATAATCAATTCTGAAAAATTTTGACTGTAAAATTATACATACCTACAAATAAAATTTTTTCTAATGTCAAAAATTACTGTCAAATTCAGATGTCAAAATCATATCGATTATTTAAAATGAAATAGCATCACCTAGTGGTGAGTTTTATTAACTGTATTGAAGATAAATACATAATTATTTTATTAAAATAGTTGTAGTTTGCGCGTTTTGTATATGAATTGATTAATAAATCAAAATATTTAAAATCAGTATTAAAATAAATAAAATTTTACTACTTGTCGTGTAAACTTCCCGCGAAATACTAATATGTTAATAGAATAAAGGTTTTTTCTTTTAGAAAAATTATGATTTTTGCCTATATTTCCAGTTCGAGTTTTCTATGTAAAAAATTTACTAAATAATTTATAATTTTATTTTTAGTTTTCACAATTTTTATATTAAAATAAAATTTGAAGTTTTCTAAAAGATTCAAACTTAAACTTAAATTTTTAACTATAATTTTGGTTAAATATTTACGTATTTCTGTCAGCCGTGATTTAACAATTTTAACATATTTGATTAAAAAAAATGGCATTTTAAGAAAAAGTCATACATATAAATATTCGATTGCAAATGGGTAATTATATCTTTTGACCAAACTCTACACTGAGTTTTGAAAAACCAAATATTTAACGACACTTTTCTTACAAAATTCTAAAAGGACGAACTTTATAACCTTAGAATAAATTTTTAAGCCAAAAAGTACACAAATAGGATATGAACTAATTAAAAGAAGGTGACGATATCCAAATTTTCAATAGTACACTATATAAAAAAAATTGTAATGTAAAATGAAAAGAATCTACACATGTCAATTGGATTTTTGGGGTAAATAAAGACGAGCTGACAGCTTGTTATTTTGGCAAAATGGCTTTGTGGTATTATTATAATATAAAAGTGCATTATAAAAAACGTATAGCTGTTGAAGAGAAATTCAAAAAAGAAGATGTAAATCTGGAAATGATGTGAAAATAAAATTTTTTAACGGGAAATAGTTGGAAAATTTCAAATGAAAAGATCTAAACTGTAAAGCAAAGAGACTTAAACCAGAGTTGAAGTGTAAGTACATACATATATGTAATTGCGTACGTAAATTCATATGTTACTTTACTGTATTAAGTTAAAATTTCCTGGAATTAAATTTTTTTTATTTAAGCTATTTGTAAAAATTTCGGAAATGCATCTTTTATCTCATTTTTGTTTCTTACCGTTTTTCGATCAGTTTTAAAATACTTATAGGTATACATACATAATACATATGTATCTTAAGTTTACTTATAATGTTTTTTTATATTACTACATTATTCATAAATATGCTCTTATAAAAGTTAAAAATGTACTTTTATAGAAAGTGTATAAAATCCATATCTAAAGTTCTTAAATTTATTCAGTAATTGGAATGAGTATAGTATACGTATATAGTTCTAAATAACTTAATTCAGAGATAAATGAATTTAGTTCCTTTAAAAATAAACAGGTCACTTTTGAAATATTATTGTTTAAATCATATTTTTATTTCGTACACACAGAATTTTTGATAGAGGAATTTTATTTACAAAAGAAATTTAATAATTTATATTCAAAATTTTACACCAGGTAAAATATAATATGCTTTACAACATCTGGATTTTTTCAGAAAACATCGTTTTTTATTATATGTACATATACGTAAGAACATATGAATGTACTCATATACACATGTGAATTTATTTAGTATATTTAAAATCTTTGTTATATATAGGAGCGTTATGATGAATCAAATCTCTTACATTTTGTTTGTGTTTGTTTATATTGTGCATGCAATTGATATTTAATAAAAGATTTTGTTTATCCAGATGCCAAAAAGTTCAGTGATTACACATTTACTTTATAAAGATAAATTAATGCAGTTTTAAGTCCATAATATAGAAATTTTATTCTTAATTTAACTGTCTTCCTTCTTGCTTAAGTTCAGAGGCCCAAACATCTTGAGGCCAACCAGTCCTTCCACTGTTTTTTTTATATTTCATTTCTTGTTCTATAGCAAACTGAAAAAAAAAACAGATAAAGAAATTTTTAATTATTCTATATTTTAATTAGGCATATATTATTTATTTCAATAGTTATGAAACTTAGCGATTAGTTCTACGTTTAATAATTTTACATATAGGTACTAAAATTTAAAACAAAATCTTTTTCTCAAAAATTCATAATGTTTCAGTTCAATTTGGTGTCGCTTACAACTTGTACGATTAGGACAATCTTTGTTTAATAATATAGGTCTGTTCACGAGACCGCATTAAATTTAAAGTATTAAAGTACAAATCAACAGTATAGATAGAAAGACTTGGTTTAATATTAAAAAAACATTTACTGATATTGGTTATAAGCAATTGATTAAAGAGTATAAAAGGAAAACTAAAAACTCGATATTTTGACATATGTATCATTTTGCAAACATAACCGTAAAAGTTAGGGAAAATTGAAAAATATCTGATCATCAAACTATAAATATTAGAATACAAGAAAGAATAGAGTTGACCGTGTCAACTCTGTGATACCCGTACGAATTTGTTATCCTATGTGCAAATAAATTTATACCATAGCTGACTATGGGACAGACTATGACTTTAAGTTGTCGTATTACCATATTAACTTATGCAATTTTTCAGTACTGTGTTTTCAATATATATTTTCTAGGATATGGGCAAAAGAACTATTGAAGTTGTATGTCTGCTACCAGAAAGAGTCAAGCAATTTCAACGACATTAATCAAACACATTGGCCCTTCTAATATATCCGCTTGTGTGAAATTTCAACATCACAGGTTTTATAGTTTCTGTGATACAGCCAAATAACTTTTGAAGTTTTATGGCAGTTACCCGAACCGGCATCCCAACCATATCCATAATTTAAATATGGTTCTGGCATTTATAACGATAAATCATTGCAAATTTGGAGAACTTAGTCCAATTAGTTTTTTATTTATCGTTCGGACGGGCGGGCGGATGGACTCAAAATTCGACGCTGATCAAAAACATACACTTAAGTCTATATCTCAGACCATTATTTCTTAGCGTTACAAACGGAAAGGAAACTTAATTTAGTATACCCTTCGAATATATGCTCGTACGGGTATAAAAAACTGAAGAAAATGGAAAAAAAGAAGAAGGATTTTGATATGTTAAATTTGCTTTTAAAGAGAGAACTTGAAGTTAGAAATTTTATTAATCAATATGGATTCTGAACTTTTTGCTAAAGCGCAAAATAGCCTTAAAAAAATGCGAAAATGCAATAAAAGTGGAGAAGAATATTGCCGAAAGGTCCAAATATGATTTACATAGACTAAAAATGAAAAGATAAGATTATATAAAGTTTGTAGTTTAAGTAATGATCATTTAAAGTGGGAAATACAAACCATGCAGAAATAAATATGACAAAGAATTCAGCAGAAGTAAAAACAGGTACATTAATTATAAAATTAGTGAAAAACAAAACGATCAAAAAACGTGTAAGACTAATAAAAGATATGCATTAAAAAGAGGAAAACTACAAATAAATACAGTGTGTTATAATGTTAAAATAAATGGTGAATATAATACAGGTAATAAGTTAAACGAATACTTCGTGAACAGCATAAAAAAAATAAACGAGACATAACAAAAGTTAATTATATTACAACAATTAAAAAACTAACTATAAAACAAATGATTTACAAGGTTTAAATAGTAACATAATATTAGAATGCAAAAAAGAAATATTAACTAAATTAATAAATAAATTTTTGAGAAATGCAAATTCCCAAAAACATGGAAAAGACAACGATAGTTGAAAAAGTCATAAGCACGAATGCAGCAGAAGATCTAAGACCAGTCAATATACTTCCAAAAGCGTTATTTACGAAAAGGTTATTGAAAAAGTCGTTTTGTACGAAATTTGAAGGTTTTGTTGTAGAATATAAAATATGCGAACATCAATCGGATTTTATAAAATGTTGCTCAAAGTGAACTGCTTTAAATTGGGTAATAGACGAGTGGAAAAATATCTGGACTCAGGGAAAAGAATAATAGCAGTTTTCATAAAAAGGGCATTCGAGACATAAGATAGGAAAATGCAGCAGTACGGAATTAAAGGTGCAGAAATAAAGTGGTTTCAAGATTTTTTTAAGAAATAGAGAGCAGCGCACAAAAATATGTCAAACCTATTTAGATGCAGTGCCAGTAGAATTAGGAGTTCCGTAGGGATCAATATTGGGATTTTTGTTGTTTTTGTTATATATAAATGACATAGCATCAGCATGAAAGTTTTGTAAAATTTTACTATTTGCAGATGATACTCCTATATATATTGAAAGCGAAAACATTCTAAAAAGCAAGAAATTCCTCAACGAGCACTTTAAAAGTGTATTTAAATGGTTGAACATGGACAAGTTGAAGCTGAATATGAGTAAAATGAAATGTATAGCAAAAGGGCCTGGAACAAATCAACAAATTAATATAATGATGAGTAATAATATTTAACAACATTAAATATTTGTGCGTCGCAATATATAAGAAATTGAAGTTTGGTGACCACTGTAATAATATATGCAAAAAGTTTTTTAAAAAGTTTCTTTTTTTGGAAGAATTAGAAATCAAATCTCGCGGGCCAGTGCAATCACAATATATAATAGCATAATACTTTCGTATTTTAACGATTACACTGATATATTGTTATTGTTATTTAAAGGCTGGTATAAGATCACCAATAGAAGTTATGGTGCGAAATTTAAATTGGATCAATGTCAAAATCATGGTTAAATGCAAACCTTTGATTTAAAATATGGTGCGATATATAGAATACGTTACCGGGTATTATTGTCTGCGAAATAATGTTGACTTCAGACATCCGTTATACAGAAGGATTGGCAATCAAAATTCAACACTTTACGGGGGAGTACAGAATTTCAATGAGTTGCCAAATAACATAAAAAATAAAAAAAAAAAAAAAATATTTTCCAAAAAAAAAACAATAAGGTTAGTCTCATGAGCGTCTTTTTTTACTCTAAAAATTGTTATTTAATTTTTTTATAAGTCGTATTAATTTAAACTTGTACTTTAACGTTGTCAAACATTAACTCAGTTATTTTAAAACTAGCCTTGAAGCTTATTTTGATCCATGAATGGTGCGGCATTCATTTTTTATTTCATTTGCATGAAAGTGAAGAAAACGTTTATATAAACATTGTGTATAGGGTTTTATTTTTGTAATTCTCTGAAAAGTCCATTGAAAAGTCAGAAATTAAAATTAACCTAAGTAATTTTTTTTATTTAAGGAACCTAATGTTTAAAATATTTTAAAAATCAATTTAAAAATCAGTTGAATTTCAATAAATTTTAACAAATTTTTACTGAACTAGTATTTATTTCCAATTAATTTTTTAAATGTATAATCAATTTAGTTTAAATGGTTTTCTATTTAGTACTCGAACAAGAAATAAAATGATTCGCATAAGTGCCACAGTGTATGTACCACAAAATTTCCATAATGAAAATTTTGAATTTTTATTTTAATTTTTTTTTGATTAAATTTAAATGATTTTTTCTTAATAAAGGGTTCATTTCCCTTCATGATCTTTATTTACCTCTTCATAAATAAATAATTATAAAGTATCACCTCAAATTAATGTGTAAATAAAATATTGTATACAAAAAGTTAAAAAAATGTAAACAGAAATTGTAAACAAATTCACCTTTTTATTCAGTAAAGAAAATTTTATTTAATATGTATGTATGTATGCACATGATGCAGTATTCTAACATAATTTATAAAATACTTTGTACAATCAAACGTGCCTTTAATCCACTTGACTCCATGTACATATATTTAAAATGAAGTCTATACAAAATAAAATTTATATCCTCAATTATCTTCAAAATATAGGGAAGAAATTTATATATATTTGTGTATTTGCTATTTCCAAAATATATAGAAAATAATTTTCAAGTGGATGCAGGAAAAAATTTTTTTTTGTTAAATTTCATTCACACATAAATTAGAAATTAACTTGAAAAAGAAAATTCACTTATAATATTTTATTTTATAGGTTAAAGATCTAAAATATATTTATATACATATGTTTATGTACATATGTATGTATGGTACAAGGAAAAACATATCCTGAACTACACTCTAAAATATTTTAAAAGACAGAGGGACTATTTTATTGTCAACTATTATGCGCCTTCAAAAAATAATTTGACCAGCTTCTAATTAGTACAGTTTCTTACCTTAATATGTTCTAAAAAGTGTGTACACCATCCCTTAAGAGTTTAAACTATGTTGAGTCTTAATGCATCACCAGTGAAAAATTTAAAATATTACCTAAAACCCGTTTTAACCAGTAATATGCCACAAAACAAAATTTACGTTGATTCCTGTACATTTTCATACTTAATTATGTACTTTTACACCAACCTTCTGTGTATTTTACAGTACAGCATTTTAAACACTTCTACTATTTTTTTTGAATACTTCTGCTATATACAAAAACGCCTAATTAGAATTAAATTACAAAATTAAAAAAATCGGGTCTATATTCTTGAAATTAGTACATATTATGTAAATTCTAATATTGTATATAAAAAGGTGCAGGGAATTGAGAATTGTAAATTTGTATACCCTTCCGGTGCACATTTTGCCGACTAAAACTAACTCGACTTTTTGCTGCTGGCTGTTCAACCAATTCGACAAGCCAGATAGAAACCAGCTTGGATTTAACATGAGCCGATTGGAGCGCCAATAATGCCGCTTTACTGTTCGAAAACACGAATAGATGTCATAAAGTATAATTTATAAGAAATTAAAAAAAAATTCAACAGTATATTTTTACATCAAAGAAAAGGTTATTCAAAAATCTCAGTAAAAAATTTATTTAAATTTATAAGTATTAACGAGTCAACTCAGTTCACAATTTTTTTTATTACATACATATTTTATTTTTTATACAACATTAACCAAAAAAAATTTTTATTGCAACAGCATTTCGCCAGTTATAACTATAATAAAGTTCGTTCACACGTAAATATGAATCCTTAAAAAAAAAATTGCATTTAAACGAGTAAAAATTTATACAGAATAATTTTTGTTTTTTTGTGTATATTGTACACTTATTTTAAGTAGTAAAATAAGTGTACAATTTCATTTCATACGAATTTGTACACTGTCTTATTGTACTACTTAAGCGGGTTTTGCATTTATTCGTCTTGTTCTTGAGCGTACTCTACTATATTTGTAATACAAAAAAATGAAACTTTAGGAAAATTTAAGAAAATTTTATAAACCTTTACTTCTCAATTAATAACCTTCTCAAGAGCCAAAAAGCATCCCAAAGAGAATCTATGAGATTTCGGCAGGAAATTCTGTTCGCTATTATTTTTCAAACAGTTCCATTATACGATAAAGTCACTCAACAAATTTATATAAGAATACGTGGTAAAAATATCTTTTGTATCCAAAATAAATTATATTTTCGCGATAAAGAAGTAAATATCAAGGTAAAAAACCAATTATACTACTTGAAAGTTTTAATTGCTTTTTGTGGAAAATACATACATAAAATAAATATATGCGTACATAAAACGTAATATGTGTACGTATTTAACGTATTTAAAAGTCATGCATTATATTACACAAGCAATGCAAACATTTACTTATATACATAATGAGTAATATCAAAACTTATATTATATAGACTAGAATGGTTTTAAAAGTTCAAAGAAAATTAATAAATAAAAAATATAAAAAAAAAATCTTTTTTTATAAACAAAATTTCTATATTTAATGAAAACTCAAAATTAAAAAATTAAAAGATAATTGATTTACTAATAAAAATTCTCTTTGTATAAAAAGATTAGAAAGTAAAAAAAAGAAACATTAACATTAAATAGTTTTAAGCGGAAGAGACTCTCTATTAAACAATTTTATTTTATAATTTTATCATTATTTGAATTTTGTGTGTGTGTAAACGTGTATTTGTAAGTATTGTACAAAGTTTAAAAATAAAAATAGAAATAAAAATCAAGTGGCTTAATTGCTAAAAGCCATTTAATTGATAATATCCACTTTAAAAATTATTTTCTTTTCATATACAAATTTATATAATATACGTATATGCACATATACATTAAATTAAGTACAGATATTTTTATTAAAATTCATTCATACGTTTATGTGTATAATATTTGTTTTCATTCATTTATATACGTACTATATATACGCATCCTTATATGTCAAATAGTCTTGAAGTCGCCAATTTTACGTAAAATATCCTACGTAATAAAGTATTTTTAATAAAATATGAAATTCACATAAGCATAGTTAGTTATTCAAAATTTTATTTAAACACACATATGAATGTAAATATAGCATTGACAAATATAATATTAATTACATTTCAAAAAATAAACCCCAAACTACCATATAGTACTCTCATACATATAATAATAAATTAATGAATATCACTGTAGTAGTTTGCAAAATTTCAAACTGAAAACATTTCAATATGCACTCAGGTTGATCAACTTAAATTGATTGAAATTGCAATTAAACTTTTCCAACTATAAACAAATATGTATTATAATTTCAAAAATACATACACACATGACTCAAACACCACTTCCAGAATATTCGGAAAAATATTATTCAAGCACGGATAGAAATACAAATGTAGCTAGAGGTTTATACTTAAAAAGCAACTCTTAAGAATGAGAGCAAAGAAATTAATAACAAATAGGTGACGGGTACCTTTTTCAAAGTTCCCTTTTTTATTGGTTAATTTGAATCAATTGAGTCTTTACAGGTATTAATAGATTCTATGGTATTTTGCTCTACACAATTATGAAAAATTTTTCACGCAGACTAACTTTACAGATATTTTTTTTCATAAGGTATTTTATTTACTCTATAAATAGTGAGCATTGGGAAAATAGTTTGTAAATATATTTTATAATTTACTTATAATATTTTTAAATTATTAATTCTATTGTTTTTTATGCATTGCTTTTCTTTATTTAATAATTTTAACTGTACATTTTGATATTTTATCATAATTATTTCAGAAACATACATACGTATATATATATGTATATATGTTTATATGTATATATGTTTATACAAAAAAAAATTTTTGACAACTTACGAAAGTATACATTGTTTTAAATAATCCTATAACATGTTACATAATTATTGTAATTGTTTTGCAATTTAAGTGTTTAAACCCCACTTATTTATTTGTTTTTATATTTTAACCGCACAAATACAATAAATAATATACTTGTGAGTTATGCAACAAATATTATGAAATCAAACATAAAAAGACCACAATAATAATATCATCCCTTCCGAAATTATGACATGAGAAAATTTTCCAAGCCAATATTAAGTAATTGTTTAAATTATTTTATATCACACTTTTATAAATAATAATCTTCAAAAGATTTTATCTCTAAGAACAATAGATAAATATACGCCCCTAAAATAAAAAGATATTGAAATTATATTTTATTATATTAATCTTATGTTTTGAATATCATTAAAGGAAACAAAAAAATTTTATACGACAAAAGTTAATTCGATAAATGGATTGTACATGTTTTTCTTGGTCGCCTTTTTATGGAAAAAAGATTTCCACCCACCATTTAACACAGCATAATATTGAATGTAGTACTCGTATACATTCTACATACTTTTAAAATGTTCTGGCGGTTGTCAATAAACATAAAAAATATTTTATGATTTTATTAAGGAATTTATAAATGTTTATTTTTCACTTGCTCAAAGGACACAGTCATTTAGAGGATATTAAAATTTTAAGATAATAAAGTCAATAAGTTTTAAGCATTTATATATTATTACAACAATGTGTATGTGTATACGATTGTGTATATTTAATATATTTGTATATACACAATTGAAGCATGACCATTATCATATTATGCATGAGTCTTTTATGTTTAATTAATCTAAATTAGGTATTATAAGAAAATATAGAAAATTGGAAGAGCAATTTAGTAATTTTAACTTCAAAGATATTACGTAACATTAAAAAGTTATGAAAATCTCATAAAAATAGTTCTAGATATAACTTGGTATAGTATTTCCAAACCAAATTATTAATTTTTATTTGGTAAATAAGAAAAAATTATAGAAGAAAAATATAAATAAGAATTTTTATAAAATTTTTAAATTTAAACATGGGAAAATATTCCGAATTTGTTTTAGTAAATTGGCAAAAAAAAATATGTAATGCATTTAAAGAATGTTAAATCTTGATTTACAAATCCTACTTAATGACGACTGTAACTATACAGTCAGAATTATGTTTTGTTTTAAATTAGTGCATAATATGTATTTCAAAATTTCGTTCAATATTTTAGCTAATCCGGGACCCTATTACACCAACACCTTTTTTTATTTAATTTTTTTTTTATTCTAAAATTTTCAAAGTTCAGGCTACACTATAAAGAGAAAAGACAATGATGAACTACATATACCAATCAAGAAGTACTTTTTTAAAAAGTTAAAAATAATTGAAAGCAAAAGCAAAAATAAAAGTGGGGTCCGCAGCTATTTTTCCTAAGCATTTTTTCGAAAACTCAAATTGCGTTTATTCATTTCTAACTTAGAGCAACAAACAAAAAAAGCTTGAAAACCTTCAAAGTCGCTACTTGCAAAAAACAATTTGCCTTTACATTTGTCATACAGCTATACATATATTTAATTTAAAATAATAACTTATTCTTATCATTTTTCTAAACCTTCCAGACATTCTTAAATCCGTGACTTTTTACTTGCAGTAAAATGTTGCAGGTTTAAGAATTTCGAGTTCGTGCGGATTTTTTAAAGATTTTAGATTCCAGTCGTAACAATACTTTTTTGGCAGCCCTTAATTATCAAACTTGTTGCAAATTAGTTATTACAATATGGAACTATCAAAAATATCCTTACTCAAATTAATTTTTTTGGCGTCTATTTACCATAACTACATTTAGATGTCAAATCATTTAAAATAGCTAAAATAGATTTTTCATATCAATTGTAATTTAAATTTTATTTATAATACCCTATAGAAAATATGTAAACTTATCTAACTTAATTGAAATTTCTTCCTGCAACTGCAGAACAGATGGATGACGTAATCAAAGGAACGAGTTAAAGGCAGAAAAATTAATTAAAAAATTTTTCTCCTCGGACTGGACTCGAACCAGTGACCTACCGCTTTCTAGGCGGACGCTCTACCAACTGAGCTACAGAGGCATGAAGAAATTGCCGACGAAATGTTCTCTACATTGCTTATACTGTAATTCACATGATTACTAAGTATTTGTTTTTGTTTACATTGATTGCTACATACAATCTACTATTGAAACACACAATAACAAGAACATATATATTTATATAGGATTGTGCCTATTGCACTAATTAAATTATGAATTCTACTAATACAACATCATAGTTGCGAATTAATAAGAATGTGCTTATTACACTACTAATTTAACTTAATGGAAATTTCTTCATGCAACTGCAGAACAGATGGATGACGTAATCAAAGGAACGAGTTAAAGGCAGAAAAATTAATTAAAAAATTTTTCTCCTCGGACTGAACTCGAACCAGTGACCTACTGCTTTCTAGGCGGACGCTCTACCAACTGACCTACAGAGGCATGAAACTTATCTAATGTAAACTTATCTAATTATTTATAATTTTAAAGCATTATTCATACAAAACTCACCTCATGATTTACTTTGGCTAATTGTTTTTTTTCAGCTTTACCTAATTTTAATGATGTTATTAATTCAGCTTGAAAACCATTTGATGGATCTTGATTTCCTTCTAAAACTCGTGTCAAATACAATATATATGATGTTGCCAATCGTAATGTCTTGATCTTTGAAAGTTTTGTATCTACTGGAACGTTTGGTATTTTATTTCTCAAACTTGAAAATGCTGTGTTTATACTTTGAGTACGCCTTCTTTCTTTTTTATTAGCGGTATTCCTTTTTTTTACAACTCTAGGAAATGGTGTTATTTCACTTGAAGGATATTGAATTTCCTTCGGTATATTTTGCCCTTTTATGCCAAAAAATATAGAAATAATAAAATATATAAGAATTAAATTTTTGAATATAACTATATCTAATATAATACTAATAGCCCTATGTTCCATTTTAGTTTGACTAATTTTCGACTAACAGTTAATTTATTACTTTTGTTTCAAAAAATTTTTAAAATTAAATTTTTAAAATAAATTAAAAAATTTACAACTATTTTACAATATTAGTTTTTTGTTTTTAAATAAATCAAAGCTTAAGATAACATATTGAGCCTTATTCTAGTTGCCGAAGTAGAGCGACAATTGTCGTTAGGACTTGAATTTGACATTCTAAGCGGCGATCGCAGTGACACTTGTCAGAGAATAGCGGGGAAATGTTTTTCAGCCATATTCCAGTTGTCGTTCTGATGCAAGATATGCCTTAGTGAAACGACGTTTTTTGTCGAAAAGTATTTAACAAGTGATAAGCAAGAAGGTTACACCAAAAATGCAAGTTGAAACAAAACAATTTAACAAAATCATAAAAAAAATTAATTTTATACACAAATATATACCTAAAATACCGTTTAGATTTTGTTATACCTTGATGAAAGATATAACAAAATCTAAACGGTATTTTAAAATATTTGGAAAAAAAATTTCATATGGACCCTAAAAATATATTTTCCGAAAAGAACAACTGTGATAAAACCAGAATATATGAAACAGAATATATTATGCAACATATATAAACCTACTATTATATATAGTATTATAAAAGTGCTACAAGCTATAAAATTATAAACTTACTATGTGAACAATATGAATATTTAAAGTCATTCATTAAAGGTTTTGATTCATATGAATTTTGAACACTGGAATCTATTTCCTTTGTTGAAGAATCTGACGAACAAATTGTAGTATTCCATACTCCAACATCTAAAAATTTTAATGAAAATTGAGTTTTACTTTATATAAAAATATATGTATGTATGTATATTATGCGGTAAACAATAGAGTCTTTATTTCTCTATGGATTATTTTTGATATTCAATATGATACTCGTACTACATTGTTTTTGGTATTCAAAACGTATCATCCAGTACATAATATACTTCAGTATTCTTCCAATACATAGTATACTCGTTTTTACATGTAATACACATTTTGCAAAAATTTCTAAATTGAGTAGAAATTAAATAAAAATATTTTATGCATCCGAAAAATACATTTGTATTAAACATAATTGAATCCACGAATAAAATTGTAGGAACCTCGAATAATGATACCTACATCCTAGTGCTCTATATTGTTTTTTCATATACAATAGGTGCAATTAATCTTGTCTTCAAAAATTAATATTCATTTATTTAATATTTAGATGCACATATTTACCTATATATGAACCTATATAGGTAAAACTTTTTAAGCTGTATATTATAACAAATATAAATAAAATTATTATATGAAATTAAGAAAAATTACCTTCATTGTTGTATGAATCAGAAATGTGATAATAATAATTATTTTCATTTTCAAAAAGACCATCCATTTCCATAAAAGTCTGAAATATTAAAAATATAAGTGACTTTATAAAAAAACTGTCGTAAATCTTATAACAAATTTTTAGACTTTTTCCAATCATGTACTAACACCAGAATCGGTTCTTGGGACATGATATTTTTTTTCAAACTCGAAAAAAAAAAAAAAAAATATTGGTACAAGTCCAGTTTGGAATTTAAATAACAACAAATTCTCCAAATAATTCAAGAAAGTAGAATTAAATAGACATCTATAAATTTAACTTTATTCGATTTGATTTCAAACACAATATATTTCATAAGAATGTATAATATTATGTGGAAGAAAAAATAATAAACATGCAAAAATAAAAAACTATAAAAGTTGATAAAAATGAATAGTGTTGATAAAAACATTGTTATCGTATATGTGCCTCGTTTGGTAAACTTGTGTTTTGGCAGTATTACACTGTCTCGTAAATCGAGGACAAAATTTCTAAAAGTCAATATCCTGTTAGACGCGTTCCTGACTTGATAAAAAAATCTTTCACGTCTGTAGAGACGATAAAAAAATGTTTTAATAGATTGGTATAGCGTTAACAGTTGACGTGTGATGTCACAAAAAAATTAAAAATAAAGTGACGTGAAAAGTACTTTGGTGATGGGCATTATAATCGAAAATAAAGAAAGTTTTAAAGCATGTATGTACATATTTAACATTAAAATAACATTATCAGATTTTCGAAAAAAGTTTTCGAAATTTACCTAAAGAATTTGGAAGCAACTTGCCAATACTTATTTGATAATAACCTTTGGCAATCCTAAGATTCCATTAATTTTACAAGTTCAAATTTCCCGTTTTCTCCAACAATCAATATTAAAATTGATAAAGTAAAATTTTTAGTATAAAGTTAATTAAAAAACTTTTATAACTACTAACTTAGCCGATTTTTTCATTTTATTATTCATTCAAATTAAAATTTCTCCGCGGAATGGCCTATCAATGTACAAATATTAAAAAATTTTATATATAGAAACAGCACACGCGATGATTTTGATATTTGTGATCAAAGTTGGTGTCACTTCAACTATCACGTCTACTAGAGTAGGACTTAGACGTGATGGTATCACTTCATGCTATATATTTACATGCGATAGGACTACCAGAATAAAGGTGAATATATCTAATTAAGCGAGACACACGACCTACATATGTATGTATATATAATCTAAGAATGGCAGAAAAAAATTTGAATAATAAAATTTGTATAATTATTTTAAAATGTGTATTTTCCAATATGCATTCTGTTTAAAATTTTAATTCTATATAATATATTCTTACCTTACACGTAATTCTAATAATATTCAGCTGGTTATCCTTAAATAAAATGTTTTTTTTGCGGTTAATATAATTATGTATATGTACTTTTTTTTTAATTTAATAAAACAAAATTTTATTAAATTCACTTATATTTAAAAATTAAGAATCATTATGCTTTGTACATATAGATACAATTATTTTTAAATTTTGTTGCAGTTTATTAAATTCATTTTTATATTAAATTCATTATAATATTAAAACGCATGTGGACTGTGTTTTTAACGCTACTATAGTAATAATGTTGAATTTAATTTTTATTTATCTTTAGTTTCAATTTAATTATAATATTAATCAATTTCACAGTTTATTTATATATAAAAATTATTAACTAAATTAAGAGTTCCTTTTATATTTAGCTCTCTCTCTCTATACGACGAATCTTAATTTAAACAACTACCTTGCATGATTGTGTCAAGAAATGCTTGTAAAATTTTGAAATTTTTTCTATTTATACCAAAAAAATTAAATGGGCGGTCTTAAATCAAATAAGAATACTAAAAGAACCAATAGAATTTGTTTCACACAGTAGAATTTATTTTATCATAAGTACACACAAACACAAATGTGTGAAGCGTTTTAAATTGTATATAAATTCGAAGAAGAACAAATTTGAAACATAAAAGGAAAATTAAAAGAATAAAAATTGTTTTTATTTGTGTTTATGTAAAAGTTATTTAATACATTTCATAAAGTAAAATGGCGTTTATAAAAAAAAAATGAGTTATTAAAATACAGTAAAACCTTTTCACGTAAAATTAAAAAAGTGCAAGTAAGAATTTTTTAATTTTACATATATTATAATTTTCCGATTTTCATCAATAAAAAATAAATTCAATCAATATTTTTGTTTAAGTTTGACTGAAGAACTTAGTAAAAAGAATAAAGACTAATTTAAATTTTTATAAATTAGTAATCTACCTATTTTTCTTACATATAAATTGTAATACATATTACAATACGTATATACAGCAGATATATACATATTTATATAATAAATAAGACTTATATGTATACGTTTTTACTTTAAGCCAACAAAACTTTTATTCATCTGTACATTTTTAAATTATTATTTAGTCTTTCTAGACAAATAATTAAGAAAAAGAAATAATTCAAATAAAGTAATGAAACTTTTGTTTCGTCTAGTTTATAATTATAAGAACAACTATATAATACTCTAAAACGAAAAATATTGAAATTCAGATTTTTTACCAAAATAATGGTTCTTAAAAATGTCAACTGCTTTTTAGAGTGATATTGCGGTAAAAAATTAATAGTAGGTGATGAATACAGCTTTATAAATCAATAAAAATAAAAAATATTGACAATTTTTTGGCTTTTTGGATTTTATTAAGGTTTTTAAAATCTTGACATAGAAATGGTATTCGTGCTAAATTTTCTGTACTATAAAAGATTTTTCAACACTTAGTGACTTAAATTAAAGTGACCAAAATTCTGTAAAAAAAATTTCAAAGTTTCAAAACTACGAAAAAACTAAGAAGTTCCGAAACCACATAAAAAAAATAATCAAGAAATATGTTTATTTTAAGCCCTTTACTATAGGCCTTTTAGAAACTGTTTGTTTGAAGCTCCTATCTTTTTCGGAACGCAAATTATAATCAAAAAAACTTGGATAAGTAGAAATTTCGTAAAAATTTTTTAAAATCCCTATATTTTGGAAACAAAATTTTACCCATTTCCGATCCTCTTACCAATATATGTTGTTGTATATCTTTGTAAATCACCGTGTATGTAGAAATATGATATAATTTGAGTGTTCGTTATACCGATTTCTTATTGTAAAATCTACATAATGTATAAAGCATAGTATACATAATCATATGAGCATAGTATAAATCAAAGTATATCTATCCAAGAGGTAGTTTGACTCGTTCCATTCCGTTAGTTTTCATTTGCTTGCCACTTCCAAATTCTTAAAATATTCCATTTTTATTTAGAAATAGATGGTGATAAGAGTTGTGTACAGTGTTCCCATCCGGTAAAAATAAAATGTATCCAATTTCGAGAAAAAAAATGTATCCAAAATGTATCCAGCCTCTTAAAGAAGAACTATTATACTAAGTCGTCTTATTTTGTACAAATAAACTCAAAATTAATATTAATTTGTTTTTGTTTTTAACAATGCGAGTTTTGTTAATTATAGTAAATTCTTCAAGAAATCACACGAAACTTCTATTGCATTTTAAATGTAAAAGTTAAGGTCAGAAAATATATATATATATATATGTTCTGGGGCTGTTGAACTATTCAATCTAGTAGGTCTATCAAAAAAACGATTCACTAGGAAAACGAACAAAATTTTAAAAAATATGTGCTGCCAATGAATTTTTTGTTACACTCAGTTTACGCCAAAATATTTCTGGTACGCTCTTGTCTTAATGTTCTAGATTTAAATACAGGAAGAGGGGGTACTCATTTAATAAAGTATCTTTCTTACTTTCTTCTAACAAATTCAGAAAACTGCTTTGGAAAGCCAGTAAGTAATATTTTTTTGAAGATAAAAAATTTCGCGATTTAGTGTTTGAGAAGGAAATGTTGGTATATTTCAGGAAAATTTTCAAATGTAGCCAATTTCGGAATTTTAACAGATCAAATCTTTGTATCCACGCTAAATTTAAAGTAAAAAATACATATATGCAAATAGATACAATTGAATCCATGCGGGAATGCTGGTTATGTAGGCAAGAAAGAAACAAAAAGTTGTAAACAAACGAGTGTATCAAAAACATCGAACTGAAATAAAATTAAATGAAGTTAGGTAAAAATTTTATTATTTTTTACAAAATTTATTTTTCATATTCTATTTTTCATTTCATAAAAGTTAGTTAAAAACTCTCAAAGAAACAGAAACAAAATATTGTAAAAAAAACACTCGTTTTTTTACAATATTTTGTTTCTTTCGTGCCTAAAAAACTCTTATTTCCGTCTATACTTCTAAAAAAAAACGGAATATTTTGAGAATTTGGAATTAAAGTGCAAAGGAAAACTAACGAAATGGAACGAGTCGAACTTCTTCTTAATAGATATACTTTGGTATAAATGTATACATGTACAAAACACTTTATAAATAAAGTTCGGTTAAACCAGACTTCTTTGATAGATTTAAATTTCTAAAAGCAACAAGGTACACCTATGATGTGGGAAAGTTAAAAAAAAAGTTATTTAATTAAATTCATACTTATGCCCGCGCGAACGTGTATGTTCGAAAGGTTTACTAAATTTGCCTTACCGTTTGTAACACTAAGAAATAATGGTCTGAGATATGTTTTTGACCAGCTCCAGTATATGTTTTTGACCAGCGTCGAATTCTGGGTCTTAGCTTTGTCTGTCCCCCTATCTCTTCCGTTCGTCCGTCGGAGCGATAACTCAAAAACTAATTGAGCAAAGCTTTGCAAAATTTTGCAAATAATATATTATAGTAAATGCCAGAACCTATTTTAAATTAGTTATGATCGTGGTACTGGTTCGGCTACCTGCCGTACAGCTTCATAATTTATTTGGGTATATATCTCGGAAACTATAAAAGTTGTGGTATTGAAATTTCACACAAGCGAATATATTAGTAGGGCCAATGTGTTTGATAAAAGTTGCTGAAATTGCTTGGCTCCTTCTCGTAGGTGCCATACAACTCCAAAAGTTATATGGCATTATCTCAGTTTGATTATTGAAATTATAATATAGAAATCTTGTGAAAACACGAGTATTATTAGGTCTGTTATGTGTGATAGGAATAGTTGAAATTTCTTGACTCCTTGTGGTAGCTGCCGTACAACTTCAATAGTAGTTTGACTATATCTTAGAAAATATTGAAAAGTACTGAAATTTTGTTCACAAAAAGTACAAAGTACTGAAATTTTGCATATATCCCAAAAGTTGATGAATCCGTGACATAGTCGAAATAAACTTACATATAAAATTTCATCAAAATCGGTTCAGCAGAAATTAAAATGCACGCGTGTACACGCGTGCGTAATTTACATTTTTCTAGGTATATTAACTAAAAGCTTACTAATGCCCTAAAAATTGGAAAGAAGTATTTAACAGACATTTTTATAATATTCTGTAATACTTACACTTAACTAGACAATAGCGGTCGGTTATGTTCTGACCACATAAGATTTTTTTGTTGTAAGATTCATAACTGCGCTGAAACCCTTTTCTACAAGGTATATAGAGATGAGAAAAATGAGAAACAAATTGAATTTTTGGTTTATAGATGAAATAACACATTGTCTTTCTAAAAGGGAATTTTCATTAAATAGACCCCCCACTTTCATTTCGAAAACACCATTATGTTCAACACCATTTGACAGACACCAATTTTTTTTTTACCTTTTAGACTGCTAGCAATAGGTCACTTTGGGAATCATTGGGTCAAACCAATGCTTTGTAATGTAGCACTTTTCCCTTCAACAAGTAAAAATACTGCTTTTAAAAACAATCTATGTACTATATTATTAAAATTACTTTCATTCATGGTACGAATAGATTTGGAAGATTGCATATATTTAGGATGAGCTATGTATGCAATTTTTTTTACCCTTAGCTTTCTGTATGTATAGAAGTATAAGGCGCCAAAACTCAAATTTTACAAATTTTCAAGGACGATAACTTGAGAGGGGATGGAGGTGAAAAACAATTTTGTTCTAACAAAATGAAGTGTTTATTATTGTCTAAAAGTTGATAGAATTTCAGTAAAAATTTTCTTCTACGGGAATTGGTTTCTATAGTAAAGATCTAAACTAGATACGTTTCTAGTAAAGTGAAACTAATAACAACTTTTTTTTCAAAAATTTGAAGTTAGCAGCATGACAACGTCTTTTGGCTGTATGATTAACGTCTTTATAAAACGTGAAAATATAAAAAAGAAAAACTGGAATCTATTGCAATTACCAACCGGCGACTTTGAGCTTGTCATCTAAAATTTATGAACCAAAATGTGTACCATATTTCTACACTTTATATTCTATTTTTTTATATTCTATATTTTATATGTACTAGATTTCTATACAGAATACATGGGCGAAAAAAATTTAAATGTTAACAATCATGTCTTTTTTTACTGTAGAAATCGGTGGACTTTGAACGCTGGGTTAAAATATGTGAACATTGCTGTTATCGACACTCGAAGTTCACGTCTTGAATCTGTTTATCACGTCCCAAACAAATATTTTCTCGATTTTTCTAATTCTTTTGTTGTTTTTAGATACCATAAACCTAATGTCTTTATATCTAACAAGTCCCAATACTCAATTTTTTTTACGAAATGTTACGAATTTTTGGCCTCGTTGTTGGTTTTTTCTTTAAATGCCACTGATCGTGTCATATTTTTTATTATTTTTTTTCTTTTTTTTTACGTAAAAAAGAGATTAATATTTTAAAAAATCTCAGGATATTATACACATTTTTTAAAAAGCTTCCCATTTAAATTCTATTGCACGAAAAAGAAAGGAAGGTAGGAGGAAAGAAAAAATGAAAAAAAATTTCAAATTCATATTTCAGTATGGTTTCAAATGTTAATGAGGAAGGATGTATGATTTTTTATGCACATTTTGTATTTCCCAATAAGGCAAGTTGCGTAGTGTCGGCTAACAAAAATGTTATTAAAAGTAATATTGGTTGACACATTTCAACAATTTGAATTATCTCATTTCGGTTATTTATACGTTACTTATAAAATTGTTTCAAATAATTTCAGTTTGTTTTTAAGTTATTAAAAATAAATATGTATGTACCTACTTCCAATAAATTTTTTTTTAAATAATTTTTTTAAAACTATTTCAAACATGTTATATTAAGTGCTTCAAAAATTTGGCTGTGCTCTTTTTTCATATTTTATTAGCAGGTAAACAAGAGCAATCTATTTAATGTCCCTGCATGTGTATGTATGACCTCTCTTAATTTTAGACGGAAAGAATTTTAAAATACCTGAACAAAAATTTTAAAATACCTGTTATTTTACAGTCGGAATTTTCGAGTTATTTGGTAAAATACCATTTATTTCAAAAATAGAAAAATATTCAAATCCGGTCATAAAAATATATGATTGTTTTTTCCAAACATTTTAAATATTTTTTTTTCTTAGGTAATTGATATAAATGATAGTAAGTTTTTAATATTTTTTCAAATAAAAATAGAGGTAAAATTTTGAAGTTTATATAAAATTTGTATTGAACAAATAATATTTGATTGTATTTTAGATATTACATTCTAATTCCCTCTTCAAATTTTTTCTTTACTATGTATTTATATCAATATTTAAGAATTATCTTTCATTAATTATATTTTCAACTTGACACCACAGGTACTTCCCATATCTTGCGTTAACTTACCCTATGAGAAAAAAAAGCTGTTCACTTAAAAATAATGAAATGCTTTCAGTAACAAATAAAACGTTGAAGGCGAAGGTTGTGTTTGTTGTTTTTCCGCTTTTTTTTAAATTTTAAAATAATTATCAATGAAAATATTAATATATTTTTTTGATTTTTCAAATATATGTTCTAAATTTTACCTGCTTTATAATAAGTGTGAATTTATTTTAATATTTCTTCTCAAAAAATAGTCACTTCGATTTAAAAAAGGCCATATAAAATAAGGTGTGCTTTCAAGTTTCTCTCTGAGCATTGGGACTTGTTAGATAAAAAGACATTAATAAACCTAACACTTTTTTCAACTCTTAGTTCGGAAACTCTCTAAATGTCAGTTGACTTAACATACATAAATTTGATATCTATTATACTATGTTATATCTATGTTTGTATGCATGTACGAGAAACTCTAAGATAAAATCTACCACAAAGTCTGATGAATTTCTTTTTTTCGATTCTTTCACAAAATCTGTCAAAAACTCTAATAAATGACAGTAGTAAAAAAAGTATTTTAAACTTCATAATATTAGCTGCGTTTACATAACGAGTTTTTTATCAATGCTAGTCATAAATTTTCTTTCCCTATTTGTAGAGTGGCTAACATTGTGTTTGTAAGCAACAAAAATGTACCAACTTATATTAGTCATTGATACGTTATTATCAATACGGCAAATGCAGCTTAGATAATTTTTACAAACATTTTGTCATGACATTACATGATCAACAAGTTGAGTTAACTAGACCGAACAAAAAAAAAACAATACATAAAAACACTTTCTGCTAATACAAAATAATAAAGTAATGTCAAAGTGAAACTGCATTTTCCCTACCGATTGTTATCATTGAAATGATAAAAATGCTGTCAGAATTTTTGAACATTTACTACAACGATGTGAGTGAACAGACAGATGTCATATAATTTGATAATTACTATCTAGCAACTTTGCTACATAGGTATGTAATATTCTTTAAGGCACAATTTTTCAGATTCATAAATACCACCGACAGTTTTTGCGATTCTACAATTAATTGACACAACATCGATGATTAGCTATAATTCGAATTTCATCGATGTATATTGCCCAACCTTAGTCCAAAGTTCAGTAAAAAGTCAAGAAACTTTGATCTATGCATAAATATAAGAGTGAATTGAATTTTTAAGAAAAAAGTAATTGAAAATAAATATGATATCTAATACTGGGTAAATATTAAATAAAAAATTAAAAAGGAGGCTACCAATATTAAACATTTTGTAAATTTTTAGGAAACTTGCTGGAAAAACGTTATTTATTACAGGAGCATCTCGAGGAATTGGTACGTAAACAATCATAATTGTATATATATTTGAAAAAAAAAATAATATTTGATTTTAATATAAATTTGCTAATTGCAAAAAGTTAATAAAATTTTTTATTAGCGAAGAAAATTTATGCTTATTTATAAAAAGATAAATTTACTGCGTATAACATATGTATAGCTTTATCTATACCTACATCTATCCATAATGATAAGTCGTAGACTTTGTATTAATAGAAAGTTGTAGTTGACTAATAATAGAAACCTAAGGTATATGTGCTTAAATTATATAACATGTAGTTTTCCGTCAATGCAAAATTATTATATGTATGGTACAATGTCTTACCTACTTTTTTATTAAATTCAAAGCAATTTTATAATTTGATTTTATTGAGTGAATTTTTAATGACAATGACTCAACCATCTTTTGATATCTCTTAATCATCTTATAAGTGGCCCTTTGATCTTATTACGCAGATAATCTCTATCATCTTATGATGCTGATATTCAAAATAACAATTTTATAAGTATTTATCTATATAACATACCAAGTTGCATTTTTAATTTATATTTTTAATATGATCCTTCCAAAAATAAGTTTTTTTTAGAAATTCTAATTGTCTATACAATAACTTTTTCAATTGTAAGATAAAAAATAAATAAAGCCAAATAATTAAATTTCTTATAAATTCTTAGGTAAAGCAATAGCTCTAAAAGCTGCAAGGGATGGTGCAAATATCGTAATAGCTGCTAAAACTGCAGAAGTGAATCCTAAACTGCCCGGAACTATATTCACAGCCGCCAAAGAAAGTAAGTATGTTTTAGTGCTCATAAAGTGAAGAAGTTACTTTAGAAGTAGAGAATTTCATATCAAAATATGCAGAAGAGAATACATTGAAATTATTAGAAAATATTTTTAAGTTTCCACCCTTGGGTGTGTACATGTGAATAAGAAGTTTTTGTAAATTTCAGTTGAAGATGCGGGAGGAAAAGCATTACCATGTGTTGTTGACGTCCGCGACGAAAAACAAATTCAAGATGCTGTCAAGCAAGCAGTTGACAAAGTATGAACAAAATAATATGAAATCATTCCTTTATTAAAATTTATTTGTTTTTAGTTTGGAGGAATAGACATAGTTATTAATAATGCAAGTGCAATTTCACTTACTTCTACTCCACATACTGAAATGAAACGTTATGATCTTATGCATAATATTAACACTAGGGGAACATTTTTAGTGTAAGCCCAAATAATTTCCTACAAAGGAGAACTATATACACAAACATATGTATACATATTTATTTTAGATCAAAAGAGTGTCTTCCATATTTATTGAAAAGTAATCATGCTCATATTATGAATATTTCTCCACCTTTAAATTTGTCACCATTTTGGTTTAAAAACCATCTTGCCTATACTATGGCAAAATATGGCATGTCAATGTGCGTACTTGGAATGGCGGCAGAATTCAAAGACAATAACATTGCAGTAAATGCACTGTGGCCGAAAACAGCAATTCATACCGCCGCAATTGAAATGTTAACGGGTCCAGAAAGCGATAAGTTCTCAAGAAAACCTGAAATTATGGCTGACGCAGCATATGCTATTTTATGTAAAGAACCTAAAGCGATTAGCGGTAGATTTTTGATTGACGAGGAAGTTTTAAATCAGGAGGGTGTTACAGATTTAAAGCAATATGCATGCCACCCTGAGAATGCTGACAAATTGATGTTAGACTTCTTCCTTGGTGAAGGAGGTGACAGTCTCAATTTTGATCAATCTAAAAAATCAGTTACTTCTGGCGGAAACAAGCAAAAAATTCCATTTTTGTTTGAAAAAATTAGAACTGTATTAAGCGCAGAAATAGTCACTAAAACAAAGGCTGTTTACCAATTTAATGTATTAGGTGACGAAAAAGGCACATGGTATTTAGACTTGAAGGAAGGGGAAGGAAAATGTGGATCAGGAGATCCACCAACAAAGGCTGATGCAACTTTAACAATGGATTCTAAAGACTTTTTCAACATGTTTACGGGTATAATTATCAAAATATTCATCATATTCTTAATATTAAAAACAAAATATTTTAGGAAAACTAAAACCGGCTAGTGCATTTATGTCTGGCAAATTGAAAATTAGCGGTGATTTACAAAAAGCTATGAAACTTGAAAAGTTAATGGGTGGTTTGAAATCCAAGTTGTAAGCATGTTTTTTTTTAAAACTTTGTAAAGTTATATTTTTCAAATAAAAATTGTTAAAAATGTATATTTTCTTATATACGTGCATATGCTGTAAAATTTTATAAAAAATTTTTAATGTAACTAAATTATATTTTTAGCAATATTGTTATTATAACTTTTTTTAATATCTACAAAAATTTTCATGGCATTTAAAATCTTTACAAAAAATATATACATATTTGTATTATTATAATTTTTATATTTACTTTACTGAATTTTGTTCTTTGTTTGTTGCTTTTTTTTCCCAATAACTTAAACCATTTTTGTCAAAATTTAAAGGCAAAATTCCTAAATCTCCTGTATATCGATTTTTGGCAACCTTAAATAATTTTGTTTTAAGTATTAAAAAGTAAAAACGTTAACCTTTCAAATTATACCTGTAAATACTTTTTTCCCCTAATAGAAGTTAATCTTTTATCTTGTATAATTAAAATATTATCAGCTTCTTGCGTTGCTTTAGCACTTCCAAAAACGGAGCTAGTTGTTAGATCTTCACTATCTCTTTCTTTCCTGGGATGTATCACTAAAGTAACATGAACATTTTTAGTTGTTGCAAAAGTTCTAAACGCTGCAATAATTGAATCTTGTTCGGAGAATCTATCACTTTTAATATTAAGCGCCACTCCCATCATGAATTGAACATTATCTATTATTACATGCTGTATATCATAAATGTATTGAGCGTGCTCTATAGCCTCCATTACCACTTTTATACTCTGTTGACCATGAAATGTTAGAAAATACATAGGTAACTTTTCAAAAGCTTTACTCCAATGCTCGAATTCTTCAATTTTGTCATTTAAAGGGTAACCAACATATTGTCTTAACAAAGTCGTAGCCAAACGAACATTTCTAATTTCAAAAGATCCCCATAACGTGGAAACACCTTGTAAAGCTAGATCTAAGGAATATTCTGACATAAAAGTGGTTTTGCCAGAACCTGTAGGACCCGTCAGAATAGTTAGTTCTCCTTTTCTATGGCCTTTAAGCAACCTATTTAAAGTTGGAAATCTTTTCCACTTTACACCATTTACTTTTTCAATATTTTGAAGTTCACTTAATATATCTTCTTTGAGAGAATAAAATGTTGTAATTGCTTTGTGATGAATTGGTTTTGCAGATTTGATAATATTCTTAATATTTAACTTATTAATATGAGCTATGTAAGGGGTTGATTGATTAGAAGAGGGTCTGATATAAAAACAACGAGACTCATTTAATTTTTTTGAAAAATTTATAGCTACATCCCAATCGGTAGAATCAAAGTCAAACCATATTATTATTTCTTTAAAATTTTCTAAAATTGGTAGGCATTCTTGAGGAAGTAATTTTGTTTTGTAAGGTAGATATATAGCAGTAACTAAAATCCAATTATAAAATTAAAAAAAAACAAATAATAAATATTTCAAATGTTGTTCAAATTATCAAACCTCCATCTATGTTAGATAAAACTAACGCAAAAAAGTCATTCAACGTTCTCACCAAGACAGCTTTTGAAGATTTACCGCTTAAAAATGATAGTAGTCCCGAATTACAATCTTCTGGAATAAGTTCTTCATTCATATTATTTAGATTAACTATATTCTCACCAACGATATTCCCCAGTTTATTTTTTAAAGGAATATGAATACTATTTGTATCATTTTTGTAGCCAATTTCCAATTTCCTTATAATCTCAGAGTTAATTTTTTGATAAATTACGTTAGAATATAATTTTTCACTCAGTTTGTTACTGTCGTCAAAAATACATTTTGGCTGATAAGGAGTTTTTTTATATGTTTCTCTAGTAACTTTTGCAGTGGGATCGTAATTCGCCATTATAGTGTTTATTGAAGAAGTATATTCACAATTTGGACAATAGAACAAGCCTGAAATATTTTATAAATTTTTTTTAAAAGAAAGTTTAATAAGAACAGCTTAACAACATTTACCGGTCTTTTTAACAATATAAGCCAACGGAGAATTCTTTTCCTCATTTTTACATAACCTGCAACTTAATTCCAAACAAGTGAAACCGTCCTTAATTTGGATACCATTAGTTTTGCTTAATCTTTTCAAAGCCTGGAGTTGTTTTGATACATCATAAATAATATCTACAGCCTTCATTTAAAATATGACATATGTGCACCATATATTTACATTCATAAAATTTAATTTTGTAATAAAAAATACATCGCGTATGAAATTCTTTTATATATACGTTAACCTACTTTTATTTGTTATGATTTTGGTTAAGCTAAAAGTAAACAAACTAAATAAATCATTTCCTGAACTGCCAAAATAAAAAAGAAAATATGTCAAATAAAACATGAAAATACAAAAGTAGTGGAAGGAGCATGAAGGATATTTAACCCATTAGTGACCATGATAAACAAGACTATTTTTATGCATGATATGCATATTCAAGTTTGTAAAAGTATACAAATAATGCATATGATTACACAGTTAAATTTTAAATGAAATTAATTTCGAAATAATATTCACGATTTTGTTTATATTCATAAAATATATTTGCTTGCAAAGACATTTCATAAAATATGTTTACTTGCAAAGACGCCCCACAAACTTGAATAGAATAGAAATATAAATAAAAAGTTAAGCAAATTCTGTATTGTTGCATTTTAACTCTTATAACAATTTCCATGGTATTACCTCAATCAAATTCAACTTATTTGTATATTTGATGATTGTCTGTAAAAAGATTTGTCCGTAAAAGTTCGGAAAAGGGAAAATTTTTTGAAATAACATACATACACACATATATAATTATAATAATATATTGTACATATCAGAAATTTTATATACCTACATACTTATACTACATATAAAAAATGTATAGAATAAAGAGAAAAAAGTATTTTAATATGATAATAAATATGTATTATGTAAATGATTTTGATTAGGAAAGTAGATCATGAATGATGAAATTTCAAATTCTTAAAAAACAATTTGACATTTGAAGATGTTGAGTAAATGTCGTTGCTAAATACAAAAGTTGTTTATAAACAAAATGAATATCTCGCGTTGCCACTTTAAGTAATGGGAGGTGAAAAGTGATAGATGGATGACTGTGCTTGCGAAGTAATATTCGGGTTTTGTTTTATTATTTTATAGAGATTTTAAGAATTAAAACTTTAAAATTTGTAATAATTTACATAATTTTATGTTGGTATTAAATTGAGTACAAGCAAGACAAAATGGTACTATTTCCACAAAAAAACAACATTTTAAAGTTTAATGTTGGTTGATTCGTTGAAATATCTTTTATTTTAGACTGAGCTTCAAATGGATTGCGCTTTAGATTTAATGAGGAGACTCCCACCTCAGCAAATTGAAAAAAATTTGATTGATTTAATCGATTTGGCTCCAGGCTTGTGTGAGGACTTATTGTCATCTGTAGATCAACCTTTGAAAATTGCTAAAGATAAGGAGAATGGTAAAGATTATCTTTTATGCGACTACAATCGTGATGGTGACTCATATCGTTCACCGTGGTCAAATACGTATGATCCGCCATTAGATGATGGACAAATGCCTTCTGAGCGTTTACGGAAATTAGAAGTGGAAGCCAATTACGCATTTGACCAATATCGCGATATGTATTATGAAGGAGGGGTTTCTTCTGTATACCTTTGGGATTTAGATCATGGATTTGCTGGAGTTATTTTAATAAAAAAAGCTGGGGACGGAAGTAAAAAAATTCGTGGGTGTTGGGACTCTATCCATGTTGTAGAAGTTCAAGAAAAAACGACCGGACGTACGGCTCATTACAAATTAACATCTACAGCCATGTTGTGGCTGCAGACAAACAAACAAGGGTCTGGTACAATGAACTTAGGGGGCTCTTTAACTCGGCAAGTAGAACAAGATTGCAGTGTGGGCGAATCTTCACCACATATTGTAAACATAGGAAGAATGGTGGAAGATATGGAGAATAAAATTAGAAATACCTTAAATGAAATCTACTTTGGCAAAACAAAAGATATTGTAAATGGACTGCGTAGTGTTCAGTGCTTGTCTGACCAAAGAGCGCAAGCTGCTATGAAACAAGATTTGGCAGCAGCAATTTTGAGGCGCAATGTAAAGCCTGAAAGCAATTAAGTTTTTCAATGAAATTTTTATTTAGACTAATAATATAAAAAATTTAAGGTTTATATTAACAATACTTACATATGTATGTACACATTAGACATTTTTATCAAGATATACTAAACAAAATTAATGCTTTTTATGTATTACGAAGTATTATTTCAAATTAAAGTTAAGTTTAAAACATAAACTTAATGTAAATGGAAATCACTAATAAATTAATTGATTAATTGAGCCGGTTTTTTAAAATACCTACCCTATGTACGTGATTTTACTTGCGTTTACGCATTGAAATACCTATTTAAATTATCAATATTAAAATTTAATTAAAGGCAAGTAAAAATCCATCTGTTATAAACATAGTATTAATAACTAACGTATTAAAAATTTAGTATGTAAAATTTACATAGATCATAAAGCATTATTTCAAATTCAAACGAGAATTATATTTTCTTCATAATCAGTACATATGTATACAGCACACTCATGCATCTACAAATACTTTGAGAATTTAATCGACTAAAAGTAAATAAAATGTTACTGATTTCGAAATACATAATACTATAGCTATTACATACATATTTGTATTTGGATTGTGTTACATACATATTTGTATTTGGATTGTGTTCATATACGTAAATTATTGAGTTTCAATCATATAGTAGAGTAAGAGTAATCAATACAATTAATTTTGTATTCCGAAACTGGCCGTTCACATGTGTGTTTAATAACAAAGGCGCGAGTCAACTGTAATATGTAAATGAATCCTGACTTCAAAAATTCAGTAATATGTAGTATTCATATTCATGTAGTAATATGTACACTACATCAAAACACTGTACATACAGCAAAATTTTTTAGAAAAATTGATTTTTTTTTTAACAGAAAAAGAATTTCAGAAAACTTGAATTTTTAACTTCAATTTCAGAAAATAAATACGAAAACTTAATATTTATTTAAAAGTAAATTTAAAAAAATTATAACTTGTCGTATGTTTAATTTTTTGATGTAGTGTATATGTGTTCATAATTTCTTATTAATCTTATGATTTTGCACTTTTATAGTAAATTTGATTCAAAATACAGAAAAACCGTTTTGAAAAATGCATAGAAAAAAAATAAATTTTTGTACTAAAATGATCAAATACTACAAAATTCGTTCGAAGTATATTTAAATTCTTCTATGTCGAATTTTCGGCTATGTTTAAACTTTGAAACATTCGAAAATGTCGCATGATCAATTATGTCAAAGAAAAAGTTGACAAGTTGACATTATAACATTCACATTGCTTTTAAAATGGACAAAAAAATATTTTGACGAGAAAAAAGTTGTAGAAAGTTTAATGATTATTTACATATCAAAAATAGTAGATTGAATTATTTTGATTTTACATAATTTTTTTATAACTTTTCTTTTGTAATCACATCAAAATTATTGCCAAAATAATTTACGTTTGTTCGGCAAAAAAAATTATTATTTGTTTAAAGTTTAGCATGAGCTGGGTTCGTAAGTGAAATATAACCAAATACTTACAATGCATAGAGTTCCTCAAACTTCCTTTAGAACATTCTATAAACATAGTAGTGCAGCTAAACTCAATATAAAAGATTCATGCTTGCGGAATATAAGAATGTTGTTAGTTGAATACAACTCTTTTAGTGTTTTAAGAGTATAACTATGTGTAAATTTTTTGTTATCTAAAAATAAAAAATTTTTGACTTATCTCTTTTCACTTCATAGAGAAAATATGCATTTATGATATATATATAAAATATGCATTTATGTAAAACAAGCATTTCTTTGGTTAACTTTAAACTAAAGTGAAAGTATTTTAATCAAACATTAAAAACGTTAGAATACATATGGATAATCAAAATCTTTTAATATTAAATTTGTATACATATTCCCATCTCTAAAGAGTCTAATAAAACTACATTTTATTTTGGCGTGTTAATAAATATAATACATATTATAATATGTGCTCTATTTTTCATGAATGGTAACACTTTTCGTCTTACATATTGGGAGTCGCTATGAATATTCTAATTTGTATGAAGGTATTTTGATATTGATGGTTTGACGTTAGTGTTATACATTTTGGCAGCAATTTCGTATGAGCTGTAGGCACATAATACATAAATAACATAATCATCTATGTTATTTGATATTTTTCTTTAAAAACACATTTTTAATTTTTTTAAATACGTGCATATAAAAGTAGAATATTTTAATACCGAAATATATATCTTGATTGTAATTTTGCATATTTGGTGAAAGTGAAACTAATTCCTAGTATATACTAAAGTTTCCGCCCTTAAATGTGTATAACAATATATGATGCGCGAAGTATACATGTTTTTAAAAAATAATTAAGAGTTAAAAAAGAGTTCAAGAAAATTTGTAAAAAAGTTATTAATTTTATATTTGTTACAATAAAAAGTATAAAAAATGGCTGAATCGACAAATAATGGTGGAAATACCAATGCTAATCCAAATGCAGAAATTATCAGAGGGCAGGTGTTCGAAGTTGGTCCTCGATATAAAAATTTATCTTATATAGGCGAGGGGGCCTATGGAATGGTTGTGTAAGTAATAAAAAATTATTTTTAAAATAATTAATATAAAAATATGCGGAATATGAGATTTGTAATCTTCTTGAGTTCTTAGAAAGATAATTAAAATAGTATTTTGAATTTTTTCTTAATTATAAGTGAGTAGGTACATATATGCCTAAATATATATTAGCAAAATGCAATTAAACATAATTTACGTTGATTTGTATCCATTTATTCATGTACGTGCGTAGATAGAGTGTATCGTGTATATGACATTCTACCGTTTTAGGAACATATTTAGTGGCTAATATTTCACATATATAGTTGACGTTTTAATTATGTTTGATGTATTTCAGGAATTAAATTTTAGAACATTTGGCAAGAATTTTATTTAAAAGTATTATTACATTGAATGTTCAAGAGGGATCTGTGTAGCTGCATGGGTCTGTTAATATTTTTGTAATTATAAAACTTTTAATGGACAGAATTGCTATAATTCTAAGATTCCGTGTATCTATTTCTGTCACAATATTGCAAATTTGTTATTCTGTTAATTGTTTACTGTAAAGTGAATTTCACAAAATTAGTTTCCACTAATTCCACAAGTTAGCACAAAATGTTTGAAAATATGTATGTATTTATTAATTAAAAGTCAAAATAATATCAAAATTTAATAAAATAAAAATATTTTAACATTATTGTCTTTTTTTTTGTTAGTAGATAGGTGGGAAACTAGAGTTATATCCCATAGTTATGTGAATTGATATTTATCTATATTTTCATTTATATATCTATATTTATCTGTATTTTATATAATTGATATTTATATATGAATAGGTATCACATTTTTTATTGAACAAATAAAATAAAACTTGGCTGGTTAAATCTCTAACAATTGTCTTACGAATATAATTTAACTTTTATTATGATTAATAAGTGGAGAATAAGGAATCGTATACCGAATCTTACCATAAAAATATTTTTTTTGTTTCAGTTCTTTTAAATAAAAATTTCCGAAACAATTTTTTAAAATTTAATTTCTATATTTTACATAGATGTAAAAGTCATAATAAATATGATTTCTTAGGAAAAAATATTCTTTTTAAATATGTATGTATGTATATGTATATATGTATTTACTTTAATAAAACTTACAGCTTAATGCACCTAAAATTAAGTTGTAATACATTTTTTAATGTACTACGCTATTGAAATGTTTTTATTTTATTATGTGTTATATTTATGTAAGCTTAAAAATTACATTTTGAACTGATTTAGTTCTTAACCTAGATACTAGTTTTAAGAAGCCTTATGAATGCTTAAATTTAATTATTTGTGGAAAAATTCCCATCATTTAAACTTTTAAAGCTTGCTTCAAATATCAAAATTCATGTATGTAAGTATTCCTTCGTTCTTAATGCAGTTAAATCCTTGAAAAGCACTAATAGAAAAATTTGTAACTATCAAAAATTTTCTAAGTCTAGTAAAATCGCATCGAACCGAGTGTGCGGGTATTATAATTTTATTACTCAAAAACAGCAAACCTTATCATATTATTCTATTGCAAAATGTGTCTTTGTTTGATTTAATTTTCGTCTTCAAGGAATATTTCAATTTATTGTCTTCTAGATGTTAAGTTGACTATAAATCTGTTATTCTATAATATTTTTTAACGTGATTATAATGAAATAGATAACATTGTATAAGAACAAATTTAATTTCAATTCTTACTCAAAGTATATATAAGTATTTGGGTATATTAAATAATAGTAAATAAATCCAAAAAGTTAGTCATGCAGTTCAATTTCCAAAATATTTTCATTTAGAAAACTGAAATTTAATAGAAATCCTATCATGAATTCCACCTGTTGCATTACCTTTTGTGGATTACTTTATAAGTTTAAAGAACTGCTTATTAAAGAACCATTTTATATCACGCATATTAAAGTTAAATAAAGAATAACTTAAACATGCTATGAATACAAATTTTTTTGTTAATGAACATTTCTTGATAAAGAAATTTTTAAACAGCTAGAATAATATGTATTATTACTGTTTGCTAACATAACACTTGTGTCACCCTTGGGGAAAATTATTATGTACATTTAAAAATGTAATATTGTTTTTTAATATAAATATTACATTATTCCAGATTTTTATTTTACTACTTCATCGAATATAATAAATATTGAGAAAAAATTTATGAAAAGAAACCAATTTCTTTGTTGATTTTAATAATTGAAAATTATTAAATTTACTATGAAAATAAAATGTAAAAATAATTAAATATGAACAATATTAATAGATGACACATTGGAAATTGTAGTGTGTAGAAATTCTTCACTTCAAATACATACATAAGACATATATATATATACATATATATATAAATATATATATATATATATATATATATATATATATATATATATATACATAAGTAGACTACCCACCTTTAATTTTTATTTACCTTAGATAAGAAAATACCGCAAAAAAATATTTCTCTTAAAGCTTGAGGTTGATTTACAATATTATTATTATGAATATTAAAAAAACTTATCAAAATGATTAAATGCGAAATTTATTTAAGGTATTATCATAATATTATTCATCATCAATTTTTTTTATAAAAGTTTTCTAAAAAGCTCAAAAACTTAAAATTATATTCAAATTGTTACGACAGGACTATTGCTCACGATTTTTACTTATTATTTTGTATATTTATTTTAATATTACGTATTTTACATATATTCTCTTATTTTTAAAATATAAATGTTTTTTTATCAAATAGATTTTGAAAAATTGTTGTTACCTACTTGAGTTAAAGATCTTTCAATCAAATCTTATGTTATCTAACATTTCGAAAACTATAAAGTAAAGAAGATAAATTTATAAATGACGTAATTTGCAACTGAATATATCACTTAATATGGGTTAATATTTCTTCTAATTATTTTAATCTTCGTCTCTCTTAAATAATGCTAATAAATATCGTGTTGTATATGAGAATCGTATGTTTTATATAAAAATATTATTTTAAAAATTTTAAAAAATTTTTCATTCTATTAATTTATATGTTTTTAAATGAGTCGATTAACAAAATATTTTTTCACTTTTCCTAATTTATTTATTATATTCCTTTTAGTATTTTCTTTTCTATATTATATTTTTTAAAGCAATAGGAATAATATGTATTATGATCTTGTGAACGAAATTTTCGAAAAAGTCAGTTTTATAAGTATTTTTATTTTACTTAATAAAAGTTGAATTCTAATTATAAGTGAGTTTAGTATAATTATATTTCAAGAGCAAAATTAAATATGTAATTAGACATAAAACCTATAAAGAAATACTTCAAAAGAATTTAGTAATTTACATAAGACTACCTTTTAGAACATAATGAATTAATTTTTTTTTCTAAAATTAATTATTAATATTATTCAAAATAATATTAATTTTATTCTCTTTCAGATCTGCTTTGGACACTGTTACAAATCAAAAAGTTGCAATTAAAAAGATTTCTCCTTTTGAACATCAAACGTATTGTCAGAGAACATTACGAGAAATCAAAATCTTAACAAGGTTCAAACATGAAAACGTAAGTGTTGTCACCGCTTAAATGAAATAAAAAATGTTGAGGTTTTTTGCTGTAAATTATCAACTTTTCTTAATAAGTAATGAAAGTTTAAAAAAAAATTTATTCACTAATTGTTTGAAAAAATGTGAAACGATTTTTAAATTTAAATTTTGTTACTTTTTAAACAAACAGTATAGAAATTTTGAAAATCCAAACAAAGTAAATGAACTAAACAATTTCTTAAAATTTCAAATATAAAACTGAGAATATTAAATGTCTACTAAAATGTGGATCTAATATCAATTTAATTTATTCAGTCACATAATTTTAATTGCATAATAGGTTAAATAGACCTTAGATCCGCTTTTCGTTAGACACCAATAGTCTTTTTTATGTACATTTCATTACTATGAAATTTAAAACCAAAATTTTAAAACAATCTTTATTTACATTTTCCTTAGTAGCTACTACCTATTTATTATCAAGTCTCTTAACTAAATAGCAGAATAAAAATTGTAGCATAGTACACTATTTAACATGTGATTGGCTTAAAAATGACAAATTAATATTATATATTCAATTTTTTCTTAGATAATAGATATAAGGGATATTTTACGTGTAGATAGCATTGAACAAATGAAGGATGTATATATTGTACAGTGTTTAATGGAGACTGATCTATACAAATTACTTAAAACACAGGTACATATTTCAAATGATTAATTATATTGTTTTGATAAGTTCATAAAATAATATTCTTTATGATAACATCAATTAAATTTATCTTTTTTAGAGATTAAGTAATGATCACATATGTTATTTTCTATACCAAATTCTAAGAGGACTAAAATACATTCATTCTGCAAACGTTTTGCACAGGGATCTAAAGCCCAGTAATTTGCTGTTGAATACGACTTGTGATTTGAAGGTTTAAATTTCTTTCAATTATTAGTTAAAGTTCATATGATATGTAATATTATTATTAGATTTGTGACTTCGGCTTGGCTAGAGTTGCAGATCCAGAACATGATCATACAGGTTTTTTAACTGAGTATGTTGCAACAAGATGGTACCGCGCACCGGAAATTATGCTTAACTCGAAAGTATGAATTAATATATGTATTTTTGCCAAAAATTAATTTAATATTGCATTACTTTTTAAGGGATATACGAAGTCCATCGATATATGGTCAGTGGGATGCATTTTAGCAGAAATGTTAAGTAATCGTCCCATTTTTCCTGGAAAACATTATCTTGATCAATTGAACCATATCCTGGGCGTATTAGGTTCGCCATCACAAGAAGACTTAGAATGTATTATAAATGAAAAGGTAAAATCGAAATTATATTTCATGAAAACGGAAATAATCATTAACTAAATAATTAGAATTATTTATTAAATTGTTTGTTAAATAAATTATTTCTATTATTTTATAGGCCAGAAGTTATTTACAATCTTTACCTTATAAACCAAAAGTACCATGGAATAGACTATTTCCTAATGCTGATCCCAAGGCACTAGATCTGCTCGATAAAATGCTTACATTTAATCCGCATAACCGAATAGCTGTTGAAGATGCGTTAGCTCATCCTTATTTGGAGCAATATTATGATCCGGGAGATGAGGTTATAATTAATAATAATTATAAATTTAGATAAGAATTAATGTTTTATATTCTAATTAAATTTTAAGTTAACAGAAATTTTCTTTATTTCTGGGAATGACATTTGAAATAAATATTACTTTTTCTTTTTCATTTAAGCCTGTTGCTGAAGAGCCATTCCGAATCGGAATGGAATTAGATGACTTGCCAAAAGAACATTTAAAAAGACTTATTTTTGAGGAAACCCTCAAGTTTAAAGAAACATTTCCAGATCACAATAACGTGTAAAAAATTATTCTAAAAATTGAAAAAAAAGACGTATTTAAAAAAATTAATTTCAAAAATGTTTATATGACATAAAAATACAATTGTAAAGTAAAAATAAAATTTGAAAAATTTAATTGAAAGAAAACCCTAATTTGTGATTGAATGCTCTTTTTTCAAATTATAATGGTAAATTTAATTTTTTTCCTTTTTAAATTTTTCCCTTTAAGCACAATTATGTACTTATGCACAAAAAAAAAAAAGATAATATAAAAAAATTAAGATAAAATAGAATCAAGTGTAAAATTGTGACTTATATATGTATAAAGAATATTTTAGAAAATAAAGTAATTAAAATATGTGATTTGAATGTTAATATCGACATTTAAATAATTGTGAATTTTTTCAATTTGTATTTTTCTGATTGTTCATTTTTCGATTAAATGTTAATTTCTTTGAGCATTGGTACCGTTCTATATTATTGCTGTTATTAAAAGATAATACAATAGAATTGAAACATTTAAAAATTATTTCTGTGGATAATAAAAATTAACAAAAAAAATCACTTATCTAAAATTTATTTGGTTTTTATTTGTACAGTTTGATTTTTTTTACCCTATTAATAATTTTTTTTAAATTTAACAAAGGCATATATATTTAAGACAATAGATTATATACGACTTTGATTTTAATTACAATAACTCTTATTATGAATGCATCACCAAGAAGAGACGCTGATGTGGCGTAAGAAATATTTAACAATTTTTTTTTTACTTACAATTTAATTATTGTTTAAAAATATTTCTATATTATATTAGTGTACAGTATTTTGACCGAAAATTTTCTTTAACTGAAATTACGCCAAAGGACAGCATTCCTAGAAATGAATAAGAAATTACTTTAAAACTTTATTTGAAGCGAAAACTTAATACGGGGGAAATAGTATAAATTTGGAGGGTTAACTGTATAAAAATCAAGAAATATAAATTCAAATGCGAACCACCTTTTCTTGATAAAAAACAAATCAGATCCGCATTTTATTTATTGAGGCTTAATATATTGATTTTGGAAAATAAAGAAGAATGCTTTTTCAGATTTAGTTATATAGGAAAATCGAAAATTTGAAACACTTTCAATCCTTACATATTTTGAAAATTAAAATTTATTTAGTTGTTTACCTTTGTAATAGAATTACAAATATAACCAATAAATATTTTAATAGATTTTGGTTTCAGAAGTATGAATTTAATTTTTATTCATTAATATTATAAACGTATCAGTCTTCCCTTCAAAATTAAATTTAAAATAGATTTGAGTGTGGTATGACATTAGGACAATGAAATTGTTTAATAAAACACTTTAAATTACTTTTTCATTTTAATATTTATTCAATCATCATGTAATAAAATTACATTATTCTAAAAAGTAAGGCAAAGCATAATTAAAAAAAAAGTAAGAACATCAGAACAGTTTAATATAATATTCGTTATTAACCGAATAAGTTTTTCTTCAAAAATGATTTCAAATCTTGCCTTTTTTTAATATTTATAAAAATTTCAAAAATTTTAATTAAAATTTTTTTTTTTTGTTAAAGTAAAGTATAAATTTTAAATCTAAAACTAGTTCAAATATTGAACAAAATTAAAGTCAATAAATTCAATGTTGTATATACTTGCGTCCTGATGTCTAATTTACCTGAAAAAAAAAATAAGTTTTAAAGTTAGTTAAAATAAATTACCTTAAACCGTTGTTAACAATCGGAGTTCAACGTTGATTAACACCGTTTTCATCAAACATCCTCATTTTGTTCTTTGTTTGTATTGTGTACATGTTAATTTTCATAGGATATTATGTACCTACATATGCAAAATAATATAATTTTCTTTTTCAAAATAAAATACCCGTTTTTACAACATTAATGCAACATAATCATGAAAAATCAACGAGTAAAAAATAGTAAATGCTTACTTATTCGTATATTAATGAAAAATTCAGGTAATATTTCATCAATTCTAATTTTGCATATGCATGTACTCTATAATATTATTGATTATAAATTTTTTGTAATAAATTATTGAGTTGATTAGAAATAAATATTGAATTATTTGAATATAAATATTATTTATATTAATAAATTTATTGCATCTTAATTTGTATTGTTGTGTTATTCGGTTTATTTGGGGTTTCGTAATTTAAAATTTGTTTTTTGGGCGTTGTTGACGGAAGCCTCTATTTCTGTTTGAATAATTTTGAACCTTCGCAGAATATTTTCCAGATGGGGGAACATAAACTTTTTGTTCACCAGCTTTCGGTTTTTTATCTGGAGAATTTTTTTTCTTAGAATCAAATGTAATTTCTGCGTGTCTTTTTTGCCCAAATTTAGTCTAAAATTTGATTAGTTTTGAAGAAAGAAAAAAAAACTAAATTAAATATTGGAAAAAACCTTTCTCGGCACAACCCACGATAACTGAACTTCAGTTTTGAAACTCGGTGGTGTATGGAATAAATCTCTTATAAGTGCGTTAATATTTGATGTCGTCTTCAAAGCTGTTAGCTTTAATTGATCTTCTTCAGATTTTAATTCTTCCTTGCTTTTTCCTTTAACCGCTTCTTCCAACTTTTTAATATATCTAAATAATTAAAAAGCGAAATATTTTTCTTATTTTTAAATACCAATACAACCAATGCGTGCTATACCCCTGAGTTCCACGGGCTAAAAATTGTAAACGCGATCTAAAATCCTTTAAACTATCAGGATCGCTTATAAAATTAAGCTTATCTGGATGTTTTTTTCCTAAGCTATGAAGAGCATATAGTAGACATTCTGCATGAGAGAATTGGAAAGATGGCGGATTCTTCAAAATTTCAATTTCATCAAGGACCGGTAAAGGCATGTATTCCTAAAATACACAAAGGAGTATATTCCTACTTCTTTTAAAGATTTACTGTGTTAATTTTACATCATTTTAACATACCCTGAGTATCTTATAAACTGCTTCAATTCTTTCAGAAGCATTTTCTAGTGTACCAGTGTACGTACACATTTCTGCAAATACTTTCAATAAGCGTAATTGTGTTTGGCCTTGTTCTGTTGGTGCAATCATATTCCAAGTACTTAAGGGCAGTAATTTATCGCACACGAAAATAATAAATGGTGTTGAGGGAATTTGTGTCTAAATGTAATAAAAAATCAAAATACAAAAAAAAAACTATTTGAAATATAACACTTACGGAAAAATAGGGCATTGCCTGCGAAGCACATTGAATAAATCTTTCAACAACTTCATCTTCAATGGTAATCGCATCAATATCTGCTCCTAATTCTGCTTGTTCGACGGCTAAATTTACAAGTTCAACATGTCCAGTAACAGTAGATCCCAACTTAGTGCATCGCAGAATATTCATGCATAATTGAAATTCTTCGGAAGTTACATCCTAGGTTTTAATAAATGTAAGAACACAACTATTAAAACTTTAAAAAATATATTATTATATTTTATATTTACTTGTAACAATCTTTTAATTTCTGAAATGATAAATTCTTCGATTTCTTTTGTGACTACAGTTGACCCAAGATTAAATACCTTTGTTGATAAAAATTTAAAAGTTTTTTCGCGAGTAACTTCATCACCTGATGCAATTTGTCCGAACATTCCTGCTAAGGCTCCTTTTGCGTCAGTCTTGTTTTAAAATATAGATTTATATTTAAAAAAATTATTTACATATATTTATGTATGTATATACTTTCAAAATTGTTTGAAGCGCAAAATGTACTTGCTGCAATTCTAATGGATCATCTAAAACCAACAACTGTGAGAGGGTATCTCCAATTCGGGGAGTGTGCTCTTTTGTATCTTTACAAAATAAAGGTAAATTTTTAATTGCTTGGCGTCTTATCTACAAAATAATTTTATTTTTTTCGATTACAACTATATGAAAATATATACTATTTAATTTTTTTTAGATTTTCTACATTATTCATACCTGAATGTCCTCATCTTCACATAAATCAAGCTGGGCGTCAATAGCTTTATTTGCTAAGTCGGGAAAGTATTTGAAAAACTTTCCAATAAATTGTGTAGCAAGCATTTTTTCTTTTGTTGATCCTTTAACAGCCTCCAAAATTTCTTTATATTCCTCTTCATTCTTAAATTAAATACAAAAAAAAAATTAAAATGGAAACATGGTGTTAAGAAAAAATTAATTCTAACCTTTTGAACGTTGTCCAAAGATTCAGATAATATTTCATAGCATTTATATAATCTTTCGATGTTATCCATTTTTCTTTAATGTTTCTTTAATAATTTATTGACAAAAAAACCGTATCCGTTATATTAATAAAAATTTTAAAACTAAATATTCCTTTTGCTTAAGATTAAAAATTTTTCGGCTTCACCCATGTACTTGTATTTATTTTTTCGGAAAAGTGTTGCCGAATACTTTTTGTGATACCCTCTAATATTTGTTGTAGCAGATTCAACAAAATTACAAGTTAATGATAGTTTCCACAGGTCGTGCGATGGCGATATTTTTAAATTTTTCTTTAAATTTCTAGTTTTTTACTTACACTTTTTGATGCTAAAGTTGATTTTGAAAAATTTTTCGATAACTTTTCTCCTCTGGATAAATTTTTAATGAAGAAGGGCAATTATTTTAATTGAATGAGTTTTTTTTTATATCAAAAAAGTTGAAATATTTTTTCTCAAAGATTTGACGAAATATGTCAAATTTTTAGGTTTTAATAAATATAAAAGTTTTTTAAATTAATAGTTTTTTTTTGAATGGAATGGTTATAAATTCTATTTTTTTTCACAGAAATTTCGTAATTTGCTTTTCTGAGTACCAGAGCTATATAAATTGGAAAAAGGCTTAATTAAAAAGGGCTCAAAAGTGAAACAAAATTCATTCTCACTTCTGAGAATGAAGTGATTTATTTGATAATTAACTCTTTTATAATCAAATAACTTGTTAAGTGAAATGTTAAGGATTTTTGATTTTATAGCTATAAAAATCTTCAAAAGACAATATTTTAATTAATGATATGTTTTATTTTAAATATTTTTCAGTTATGACACAATTTCTTTTAAAAGTCAGAATTCAAAATAAAATAGAAGTATCAAACTTTATGCAAATACACTTATTTAAACGGCCAGAATCAAAGGAAATTATCGCCTGCGAGGAAATAGCCCAAATCATTATTTTACCGCTGGCGGTTCTTTTGACATTATTTGTTTTCATATGTTTCCCAGCATTTACACGTACAAGTTACTTGCAAGAAAGTTGCAATACATACAAAAATTTTACTAACACATTGAAATATTTCTACTTGCTTGTTTACTTGCAGTTCAACTTGCAAGAAAATTTTGCTGCCAGTAATTTGAGCAAGTAATTTGACATATTGAGAAATTCACAAAAAAAAATTTGTTGTTTTGATTTTTTTTTTTTTTTAATTTAAAATTTTTGAATTTTGTTTTGAAAAAATTAAACTTAGCAAACTTATGGTTTCTAAAATTTATAAACAATTATATATATTGCTAGTTGTTTTCTTCTCAAAGACATTTTCAAAAATTAACTTGCTAAACGCCTACGTCATAATAGCAAGTAATTTGACATTTCGAACAACTAATTGACAATTAATATTATACAAACTTGCATGCAAGTAACTTGTATGTGTAAATGCTGGGTTTGTGCAAATTTTTAAAAATTTTTAAAAACTTTAAAAAGTTTTTGCATGCGCGTCTTTTATAATATTTTTATATTTTTGAAAATGATGATATTCTCATTTCGTCAATGTTTGAATTTTTTTGTAAAGTAAAATTTAGAGTTTTAAAAACTTTTAAAACCTTACTGCTGTCGAAACATATGTGTTTTTGGCTACGTCAGAAGGTTTTCTTTTTGAAATTTATGATGCATTTATCATTTTTTTGACAAGAATTATATGTAATTTTGATAGTTCGGTATACGTAAATTTGACGTTTTCAAAAACCATCGCACTAAAGTTGAAATTAATTCAACTTTTTGAGAGAGAGAAAAAAAGCTGTACTAAAAATAAATAGAATGCCAAAAATTCAAATTTTTATACAAAATTCATCAGCTCGTCGCGAAAGCGACGAATCAGTGAATTCGGCTTAATTGTGCAGTATTTTGCATAGAATTTTACAAACACATCGAAATAAATAATATCAAAAAAACGACCAATGGTAAAATTAAAATTTAGTTTTTTTTTTTGGGACATTTTTAATATAAATTTTCAAAAACCTTAAAATATGTATTTTAAAATACTAGAATAACGTTATATTTCAGACAACCCTATTCTACCTAGAAATGCAAATGACAATTCATTGATTCAAAATTTTTAAAGGAAAAGTATGAGGTAAATGAAATATTTAAAATCATAATTAGGTGATCAAGAACAGTAGTAATAATAATAAATAAAGCCGGATTATGCTCGCTATTCGAAATTTCAATGTTGCCTTAAGAAATAACTTTGTTTCTGGTAAGTACCAAAACAATTTGCAGTGTTTTGAAAGTTCATAATGTTCATACTCAGTATTTATCAAGGGAATTTGTCAAGTCTATGTATTAAAAAACTTTCGGGCAAAAGGGCACTCTTAGGAAAAAAATTTACTCCAATTTGTTACAATAGTTATAAACCTAGTTCGGCGTTAATTTATAATCCAACCTTAAATGGACAAAACCTATCACAAAACCATGAAATTTGCTATCAAAAAATGAGTTCGTCTGCAAAAGAATCATCGAACGATAATAAAGATGTTATATCAAAAAAAGACAAATTTAAGAAGATAATTAAAGAATATGGTTCCACAGTAATAGTGTTTCATGTAACAATATCACTCTTATCTCTTGGTGGATTTTACCTATTAGTGTCGAGGTAAAATTATTATTTTTTAATTGATATAGGTACACAGGTACATATGATTTTTATAAATTATTCAATTTCAGCGGAGTGAATGTTATAGCTATTTTAGATTGGATTGGAATCAACACTTCGAAATTCGCAACTGGTAGTACGTTTTTACTTGCGTATGCAATTCATAAAGTTTTTTCTCCCGTTCGATTGAGTATAACTATTGGAGCTGCACCAATTATAGTTCGGTACTTAAAAAAGAAAAATTTTTTAAAATAAAATCTAAACAGTCATGTTTAGAGCTAATATATTAAGTATACATATATACATACACTTACGTACATTTCCTACTTTACAGTAGCTAGAATTATCATAAAACATAATTACGGTAATATTGTTATATTTAAGTCGAGAATTATATTTCGGTGTTTAAAAATAAAGGTGAATAGTTATTTTCCAAGTTATAAAATAAGAAATTACGTTTTTTTTAACATTTTTTGTTTAAAATTTAAAACTTTATTTTTATGTACCTATATTATAAGCTCTCAAAAATATGTTTAATTACTAAGTTCACAATCAATTTCTATCACTTGGACATTTGTTTGTTTGTTTCGTCGTACAGAAAAGGGAAATTTTTTCATTCCAGCACATGCTGCTGAAAATTCTCCAGTGTACCTGGCTACTATAACTGCTCCAGTAAAATCAGGATAATATTTTAAAATTCTATCAATAGCATTTTTTGCTGCTTCCCTTGGCTGCATTCCATTGCGTAAATTTTCAACAGCTGTAAACGATGGTAGAAATCGCATCCTAATTTAAATTAAAAAAAAAATTAATGTGAATGAATTTAAGCTATTATATTCTTCATTTACATTACATCCCCATCTCCAGTTGCAGCTGCTGCTCCTATTCCATTCTCTGCATAAGCCCCAGCTCCTGGTATTGGAGAATCACCAACTCGTCCGGGAATTTTGAATTTAGCCCCATTTGTAGATGTTCCGGCATATATATGACTGTGCGAATCTATTACAATCATACCAATGGTATCGTGATTATTGTTATTAAAATTATATTTCATTCTCTTATCGCAAGAATTGATATCATTTCTTTTTATGGGGCTATATGGACCACATTCGCTTTTAGGATTTGGCTTTACATTTCTCCAGAAATTTGGTTGACAATTCGAATTACGCCAATTTTCCCACATTTTTTTGGATTGATTGGTGGATAGCGACTCTTTTTGAAATCCCATAGAAACAGCAAAATCTGTAGCTTGGCTTCCTGATAACAGTGAATGTTCTGTTTGTAGTAGAACGTGTTTTGCCACACCTATTGCATTTTTAATTTCCCTCAAGTTAGCAACAGCCCCTATGTTCATATTTTCACCATCCATTATTAAAGCATCTAATGTTGTTTCACCACTTTCATCAGGGCTTCCTGGACCAACAGTCCCATCACATTGAAGTTCTTCACATCGGGAACAGCCCGCAACTAAAGCATTGAGCGCATTAGAACTGGCTGATAACACTTCCCATGCTCTTTCCGTTGCCTCAGTGAACTTCCAGGTATTGATCACTAAGGGAATTGCTTTGTCCTCTGCAGCATTGCAAGATAATACCAAAAACAGTACAAATCCTAACATGGTTTCAATATTTAAATAATATCACGGTTGATAAATAGCTGCATATGTAAATTTATAAAACTTAATGTTTTTTTTGTATAATGCATTAAAAACAAAATTATCATAAAAAACACTTTTTGTAACGCGTTCTTATAACATAAGGGTAAGCTTGTAGTTTTGATATTATTGCGTTATAATTTAAATTCAAAATACAGTGTATGTGAATTACTTTATTTTTATCAAAACCAAGTAAAACCATTTTTCAAAATTGCAAAGTTGAATTGAAAGTTACCAGATATAAAACCTCACTCAAACGTCAAAAACATCGTGAACCATTTTATATATGTATTTATAACGTTCCAATACGGACAGTTTCATTAGAATTTGCTAAAAACTTCGGTGATAACTGAATAGAGTATTCACAATTCTTCAAAAATGAAGAAGTTGAGATCTGAGATCGTTATAAAACCGCTTGTTCGCCATGGTTACTTTTAGATTCCTCACTCATTTCTCATTTTAAACTTTTAAGACACATATTCTTTTCCTTTTTTTATTCATTTTACATGTAAGTATAGTATAAAAACTTTAACTTACATCGTAGGAATTCTGACTAGTGACTAATATTATATTCTGATTACTTGTTCATAAAAATATAGATATACATACATATGTAGTAACTAATAAATCATTTCCTAGTTTTTACAAAATTTTATTTTAAACACTTCTAAAAACATAATAACAAATATATTTGTTAGTATTGTAAGTTTCAAACCAGAATGGCATAATTATGTTGAAAAAAATAGCATAATTAACTCGATAATTTGACAAAGATTTTAATTAACTATTTTTAATTAATGATGAATGCAAGGAAAAAAATACAATAAACAAAACGAACCATTATTTATTTAAGTTATAACCATTATTATTATAAGTTTATTAATGACTTACTCGAACATTCGCCAAAAGGATATTATAAATTCGCTAGGAAAAAAATCGTTGCTGTCGAAATTTAAAAAAAATGACATTTGAAGTTATTTAAAAGTAAACTAAGTAATAATATAGGTTATAAAGTCATTTCAAAAATTTTATGCTTAATTGATATCTTAACATTTTAACTTTATGAAGTAAATGAAAATATGTTTTCATCGAGTGCTTATTTATTCTATAGTGTTGAGTACACCAGTAATAGAAGTGAAGATGAGAAAAATGCAAATATTGGAAGGATACGAAGATGTTTAAGGGATCAATCAAATCCATTGAAGCTACCAGAAACTGAGTCAGCACAATTGTTTTTTCATTGAAGGTTCCGGAGCGTTTAATACTATAGCAAAGTTCGCTTACATTTCCTTCAACATAATTTTATTGGCTCCGAACCACGGCTGACAGGAATACAAGCCTGGACCCTAAGACGCAGCTGACGAAATTACACGTATTCATATGGGATCTATAGACGGCCCTTTTTAACATCATAAATCGCCCACAAGCTTAACTTCTCTAAAATTTTTAATTAGAAAAAGTTAAAATTCAATCTTTTTCTACATTACTAATTTAAAAAAAAACCTTCCAGGTTCAGTCAATTTTTTTAATATTTCAAAAATTAAAAAAGTGCAATTTTTTTTTCGAAGTATTTAGTTGATTTTGGTGTATTTTTAAAAATGAAAGGAGTTGGATATTAAGGACTTATTTTGTTAACAGGTCATGATTGTTGCTTTGTTTTTTGTATGAAAATGGCCTTATTTTTGAAAGAGGTCGTTACTCTTGGAATGTTCATATTAGTGCCGTGAGAGGCATTCTTCCAATGAAAATTGTACATTTTTGTGCATTTTGGTTGTGCCGCACCCGGACGAACTGTATGTGACTCAAAAATATGTAATATATGGATATACAATTTTTATTCATAAAATATAAATAGTCACACACAATTTTTATTTGCCTAGTTTTGACATTTCTCTCGAAGTAATTTTATCAGCTTTGCACAAACGTCAATTCTATATATATACAATATATTATAGTAATATCAGCACTTTTTGCACAAACGTCAATTACGTATTTATGGTAATAAGTGTATTATTCTATCGTAGGAGATTTTGGTATACCGCACCGGCAGTGGAGTAATTTTGGTTATCGCATACGGCATATCGTGTCTATTTAGGTTTTAGCTTGAAGCACAATCATGTAACTTGATTTCGAGCTATCATTCAAATTGAACTGAACGGTATCTGATTAGATGTATGTCAACCATTGGTGCAAAAGTTATCGTGTAAACATTGCTGTTGGTCCGTGGAAATGAAAAATAATATTTCAAGTACTTTATTGACATAAGAAATGCTGTTTGAGAGCCGCTGATATCAAGAGTTCTGTTTCATTTTCCACTGACTCACTATTTGAAAACGCATTATTCGACAATCGACAGGCAGGTAGACTTTCGATTCGACTAGTCTGCTGGCAATAGTTTTGTTTTGCGTTTGTTTTATTTTTTAAGTGAAGTAAATTCCTTCAAAGTTTGTTTTTTTTTTTACTTTTTTTTTTTATTATTGAAAAACTGTGAATATGTGTTTTATTTCGGAAAAACTCTAAAGGTAATTATAATTTTGGAAAGTAAATTAAAAAAAAAAAAATAACTTATACAAAATAGTTCAAGGTCAGATATTAAACATCATTCATTATTAAAAATATAGTTTAGGTTTTTTTCTCTTTTTTAATTAACAACAAATTAGTAAAAACGTGTTGATTATATTAAATATTTATTCTTTTTGAATATAGATAAATACATATATTTACAAATAATTTTTTAAGACGCCAGAGTTTTTTTTATTTTTGCGAAAAAAAGGATAAAATCAATTAAGTGGGTCGCTTTCACACAATATAAATATATAAATTATAAATAAGTAGGACCTACGTATATATAAGTACGTGCACGTATGTATGTTTGTTAGTATTTTTCCAATGTAAAAGCAATTATATTTAAGTTTGTCATTAAAATTGTTTTGTTTTATTGACTGAATCATTCAAATCATTGTGTTAAAATGAATTAGATAAAAAAATTTTCTGATAAAAAAAAATTTGAAATTATGTGCCTACAAATAATAATAGTACATAATGTGAAGTATTTTGTTTATAAGGAAAATTACAAAGGAGTTTTTACTAAATTGGTTTTTTTTTGTGCATGGGTACCATTCGTATGAACATACATACATATGTACCTATGTAATGTACGTTTTCAAAGGTCTTTAAACTCGATGGATAACTTAAAAGTCATTTTAGATATGTATGTATGTATGTATTTTTCTTTTTTATTGTGAAACAAAAAAATCTCTAGCTACATAATAAATTTTATTAAAAAATTGCTTATTTTGCATAATTAAAGCCAAATTTCTAAAAGTTTTAAATTCCAAATTTTAGAAATAAAATTCACTTTTAATGAATGAATTTTCAAGGAAATGAAAATTTTTAATCCTATTCTATACAAAGCGAAATGATTAGAATTTTTCAAGGCTGATGTACGCATAAACATACATATACACAACAATACATATATATTTTTCATTGAAATATAATTTTAATATTTACGAATTTTTAAAACCAAAAAAATTGCAAAATTTAGAATTTTTTAAATTTAATTAGGAAATAAAATTTTACATTATTATAATGTTTATAAGTATATGTACTCGTATATATATGTATATAGTTATATGAATACATATTATGCAAGTACAATTATCACATATTTTGTATATCAATAATCATAATATTTATTTATTAGCAAAATAAAGTAAAAAATTCGTAACTTTTATCACAGCGATTCAATAAACATACATACCTACGTATTAATATATGCAATTTATTTATTAAATACAATGCAATATATGCCTAAAAAAACATTATTTATTGAAAAATAATGAGTCTGCCTTCATAAAAAAATTGAAATTTGGCAAATTTGTAGGTATAGTATATAAAAAATTCTTGATAAAAGTTAAACACCTACTTAACTACATACTGAAAAACTATTAATAACTATTATTTCACAAATTTTTGTGGAAATTTTTAATTATTCAAAAATTAAGAATTAAAATTCATACTATTTTGTTTTAATTTTTAATAGGTATTTGGACTAAAATGGAATAAGCAGATAGCTAGATAGGTACCTGCATATTTATTTACATTTCTATACATATATACTTAAATGTTTTTTGAAAATATCGTTTATGAAATAATAGTTAGTTAGCTTACCTACTTCCGTGTACCTACTTACAAATTTTTGGAATTTATGCAAACCTATAGAGATTATTAATAATTTATAATAATAACATTAATGTTTTTAGCGGGACAACACATTTTTTATTTTACAAAAGCCAAGCTAATAGAATTCTTATGAAAAAAAAGGAATACTAATATTTTTTTATTAACAAATACTCTGCAATTTTTAAGTTAATTGTTATAAATGCGTTCTACAATTGTTATATTAGCGGCGTATTATTATTTTATTAGGTTGTTTACATATAAAAAAAGAGTGTTAATTAATTACATACATGTCTGGTAGAAGTTTTATGTATCAGAATCGTTTTTTTTTTTTGGATAAGAAAGTGTGCGTCATAAAAAATCTGGAAATAATTGAAAATGTTTTGAGTTTTGAGGAGGTCAACAAAATACATAAATTTTAATTTTTTTTTTGCTTTTTTTTGTGAATTAAAATTTGTGAAATTAAGTTATTTGATATGCAGAAGCTAAAATTATACTGTATTATTAAAGTTATTCGCAGTGGAATTTTTATTTTGACAGAAAATTTACTAATTGTTACGTTACCCAAAATACTTTATTTTTGTCATAGACAATAAAAATATAAAAGTAGGCTTATTTGTATAATGATATGACTTTTAAAAATCTTTTTAATCCTATCTAAATTAAGTATTTGCAAATATTAATGTCAATAATTATAAGGGGTTATACTGGATTATATAGGCTTTGTCACAATATCTTAACTATATATGTATGTATATTGACAGCTAAATGATTAGAGAATGAGTAGTTTCTTACATAATTTTAACAATTGTAATATAAGTTGTGGCCAAAGTTGCAGAGCTCTCCGAGACCTTTCTTAATAAAATGTACTATTTTAACATTAATGGTCAACCTCTAAAAGTTGACCAAGATTTATGTGAATTTGGTTAGAACATATTTATTAATAGGGTGTTCGTGAAATAATTGTAGCAATTTAAATAATTTTTTTTTACTAGTCTTGTATTAAAAAATATTATCTTTTTAATCAAACTACAATGTAGCTATATTTCAAGTTACTTGTAGTTTGGATTATAAAAATTGTTGTAAATTTCATTTATGCATCATATTGCCAATGGATGTGTGTAATTTATTGCTGATTTAATATTGACCTTTTATTAATTAAAAAAAAAAAATAAAATGATAAATAATTAGAGTACCTACCAAATAAATTTTTTAGATCATTATAAGTAACATTGAACGCCAATTATGGTTTATTATTTTATTCTTCACTCATTAATAAGGTACGAATTTTATTCTAAATTTGCAATTACAAATTCTATTTCAAACTTGTAGTAAATAAAAATAACATTTTTAAATCTATATTTTTATTTAAATAAGGACGGTAAATTTGTGCTATACACATGTATGTAGATATTGTTATATAAAGCTGCATATACAAGATATTTGTAATATAAAATTTATGAGATTTGACATCTTTAAATTAATCCCGTGTATTTCATTAATGATTTAATCTTTCCCATATTTCTCAATTTATTTTGACGAGTTAATTTTTCATTTAAACTAAAATTAAAAAAAAATTAATGAAATCATTTAGGACTTTGGGTTATTTCGCTATTAAGAGAATGAAAATAATAGGAAATCACAATAAACTATTAAAATATGATGAATTGTGGACCGTATGTTATTAAGCTTTAAAATGGAATAATCATTTTGCCGTTTTGATAAACATTATTGAAAAATGTTCTGTAGAATTCAATAATATGTAATTAATATGTACAAAATTTTATTAAGATATTTGAATGAATGCAAAATGTGGATGGGTGGTGGAAAAAAATATGAATTATGTATTAATTTTCTTATAAAAATCATGCAAACAACTAATAACTGATATTTCTGTGTAATAAAATTCCAATGTGTAAAAAACAGAGCTATTTAAAAGTATTACTTTTAAGCAAAAAATATCATTATACTAATCTTCGTAAAAGATATAAATTTTGTGTTTGTATTCCAACTATGTTCACTTGAACTTGTCTCAAATACTTGAGATAAAAAAATATACAAACAATTATCTTGATTATCTTATGATTAAAAAAAATTAAGTAAATTAAATGTAGGTTAAAAGTATAGCGCATGCTTTCTAGATAGTTGCTTTTTATTAGGTCTTTATATTAATTATAAAAGACACCAAACGTAATTTTAATACATAGCAGGTTATCTGGTAAAAATAAATACATATGTATGCATGTTTATCACTGATCATTTTCACTTATTTCGGAAAACTATTAGAATTTTTAACACGGGAGGCTATTAAAAATGGGATATTTATAAGGTAGATAAAACTTGTTTTGATTCATTTAGAATACAATATATGTATGTATTTAAATAAAAAAATACTCCAATTTAAAAATATTCATTATCAATCCAAAAATCTTATCAGTTCGAAAATTAACCAAAGAATTATATAAAGAAATATTAGTATTATTTAACTAGGTTAACGACTTTATAATAAATTTGTTTTAAATCTGAATAAAAATTTGTTTACATCATTTCTTTCAATTTTAAATAATAATTTACACTTTCTTTATTCATGTTTTAATTACGAAAAAATACAATAAATTTCATAAAATGTGCTAAAATTACATTGTAAGATACTAATAATTTGTCATGAAATGGTAAAATACCATTTTTTCATAAAATTATTTATAATTTTTTTTTAATTTTTCCCTTTTAGCACATAAGCATTTTAAAATGCAGGAATATCAATTAGTTCCTCCAGATGGAGGGTGGGGATGGTTGGTACTTTTTGGATCAACTTTAGTTAATATACTAATTCCAGGAACAATTAAGAGTTTTGGAGTTTTATTTGTTGAATTTTTAGAAACTTTCGAAGCATCGCCAGCTGCTGCAGCCTGGATTCCGGCCTTATGTTATTTCTTATACAGTTCCTTAGGTGAATGAAAATTTTTTTTATATATTTTTAATTTTTTTTTCAACAAGTGCTTTTAGGTCCAGTATCAAGTATACTTTCAGTGAAATATTCGTATAGAACTGTAACTATAATTGGAGGCACATTTGCGGCAGTTGGAATGATCATTTCATATTTTGCACAATCTGTAACATTTTTATATATAAGGTAGAGGAAGAAATTTGAAATTTTATTTTTAATAATATTTTTAATATTTTTAATAGTTATGGGGTATTCGTTGGCACTGGAGCCGGTCTTTCATTTCCACCTACCGTGTATATTGTAACATCTTATTTTGTTAAATTAAGGGGGCTTGCAAATGGGGTTTGTATATCTGGTAGTGCATTTGGTTCTATACTTCTTCCACCAATATTAAGATACCTACTTGAAGAATATGGCTATAGGTATTTGAAATAAATTAATAAAATAATTTACATTGAGAAATAAATATAATGCTTTTTAGAGGAGCTGTTTTAATTATGGGAGGCGTAACATTAAATGTTTGGATGGCCGCACTTTTTTATGAACCAGTAGAGCAGCATATGAAACGTGTCCCAGTAACAAAAAAGACTTTGGAGGATATAGAAGAGGAAGATGCTGGGATTGTATTACAATTTGATGCAATAGACGCAGGTGATATAATTCACGAAGAGAACAATCGTCCAAATACACCTAATTCGGTCATTAATAAAGGTCAATTACCAAACGATATTAAAAATTTTGATAACAATTTTATAAGAAGTGCTTCTGCAGCTGTAGTTCCAAATTTAGATAAAAGTAATTCTAGAAAAATTAGTACTCCTATTAAAGTTCCAATTCGAAATCCAACATTTACAACAACTGAAATGACATCAACTCCTTCTCTAAATGCATTTCGGGAAAGAGGCATGTCGAGTAATAAATTAAGTCGGCTTAATTCAAGGGGTGGGCTTGGAAAACCCTCACCATCTACTAGTAGTTTTCAATATATCAGCACTCCATATCACGGTAGCACATTATCCTTTCAACCTAATCAATTTAGCTCTCACTTGTCTTTGAAGTCAATAGCAAGTTCAACAAAAGGTGAAGAACATGAAGAAATGTTTCCAGTGGAAGAAAAACCAGAGGAAAAAAAAGAAAAATTTTTTGATTTATCATTATTAAAAGATCCACTTTACTTAATAATATTAATTTCGAATAGTACTAACGCTATTAGCTACACTAATTTCATAATACTCCTACCTGCATACGCCATTTCTCTAGGGTTTGATAAATCATTGTCAGCTTATTTGATTTCAATAGTGTCAACCACCGATTTAATTGGTCGAATAGGTGGTTCAGCTTTGTCGGATCTACAATTTATACCAAAAACTTGGTATTTTATAGGAGGATTGGCTTTGTCTGGAGTGTCATTATCGCTTTTGCCTTTAACTGAGACATATGCAATGTTAGGGTTTTGCTGTGCTGTGTTTGGGTTAGCTTCTGGAACCTACGTCGGCATAACTGCAGTCATAATGGCTGATTTGCTCGGAACTGAAAGGCTTACATCTTCATATGGAATTAGTCTGTTTGTCAATGGTGTAATTCAGTTAATTGGTAAATATTATGGAATTCAATACAACCCTAATTTTAATAAAACTTACTTTTAGGTCCTCCATTATGTGGGGTTTGGTATGAACAAAGTAAAACGTACGTTCCTCTCTTTACTACACTTGGAATAACGCTTGTCTTAGGTGCAAGTTTATGGGGTTTATTACCTTTTATTAAGAGAAAAAATGACACAAATGAAAGCCAAAGTAATTATAATGATGTAGAATAGTATTTAGTTTTTTTTTCATATTTTTACTTAACAGTAAGTAGTGCTTAATTAAAGTACTTAAATAGTGAATGCAAAAAATAATTGAAACAGCATAAATTATATTTTTAAATAAGACGAATTTTATAAAAACGTACTTCATTGATATGTATACATCACAAATTTCATATCGAATAAATACACTCAATAGGTATTTTGTAATTAAAAATTATATTTTTTTTTAAATGAACGCTCAAAAGGACTTTTCAATATTCATGTAGTTAATTTTTATCAGAAAATTACCGCGACATTCATAGATGAAGGATTTGAAAAAGTATATTTATTTACATATATTTTTATTTGAATATTAAAAGATTTATTAATGAAGATTGACGAAGATGTTTTCTAGTGTCTTATACAAATAGTGAATTATACGTATTTTTATATATACTAAATTTAATCATTCATAGAATTTATTTTTACAATTATTAGCGGTAATAAAAATATTTAGAATGTTTTAGTAAAAAAAAATTAAGATCAAGGCTGTTACTCAATGTGTAAAACTATTGAAAAACTATAAAAATGAAAGTATGTATTATTTATTCACAACATTAACTTTTAAAAAACAATTTTTTTGTGTTGATGTCAGAGTACAATAAAGTAAATAGTTTTAAGCCTTTAATTTTTATAATAAATTAAATTATGTTTTTTATTTCTAAAATTATAAGTTATAAACGTGCAAGAGTACGGGTACTTTCGAAAGTACCGTTATAACTCGCATACTTTTGCATTCTTAGTCTGTTGTATGAATTCTGAAAAAATTTCTAAGTATACATACATACATATATAAAATCTAAAGTGAAAACTCTGGTCAAACGCATAAAATTTGCACTTATGTAGAAAAATGACAATATAATGTTGTCGTGAAAACTTTTGCAAAGTTTTCAGTATTTTAATCAAATTTTATATCAAAAACTTTCGGAAAAAAGAAAATTAGATTTGACTTATAACGGAAAAAATTTGTGCGGCCAAAACGATTTGAAAAGGAAAAATTGATTGATTTGGGAACACTGCTTTCCTATTTTATTTAAATATAAAGAGTTATACAGGGTGATTCAGTATACATCATTGTTTAGGGCATCAAAAATGGGTAAACTTTTGGTTTGGAACTAGTTGTCAAAACTGAACGGTTTCCGAGATACAGGGATTTTAACGAAATTTCTACTTGACCAAGCTTTAACTTCCCTTCTGAAAAAGATAAAGGCTTCAAATGAACAATGTCTGAAAGGCCTTGTAAAGAGCTTGAAAGAAACATGTTATTTGATTTTGTATTTTATGTACTTTCGGAATACGATGCGTTCAAACTTTGAAAAAACACCAATTTTTCTTTCCTACAATTGACACCAGATTGTTGAGTCATTAGAGAAATCATTCTAGTACTAATACTCGCCATTCATTTTGCTCTCAAAGTGCGTTATTAACAATTATAAAACAAAATATCGCACACAATATTATGTATAAAACGCATGTTTTTTTGAATTTTTCTCATAAACTGTATGTGTCTTTCTTTTGATATGAGAATTTAATATTAGCTCTAGAATACTAAACTTAATATTCTCTTTAACGTTTGCAAATAAAGCTTTTATTTTTTTTGTAAGAATTAAAATTTTTAACTATTACGTTTTTATTCTAAGTCATTGCTCATATTTTGTTTATTTAGCTGAGAAAGTTTAAATTAAAATACTGTCTTTTTTTCGAAATTGAATTAATGTGGTAAGATTTCCAAAAACTACAATACAACAAAACCTCAAATCTATTTGAATCTCAAAACCTCAAATCTACCTTGACATTACAAAAAATCTGTCAGCTGTGGTTTGTACAAAATGTCATTCCACAAATTGCTGAATTTTATCAGTGTCCCTCATTTATAAACAATTTTTTATTACAATTCAATATGTCTTTCTCATTGCAAGTTGTGAATTTATTGTAATATGATATTGTGATCAGTGCTCCCATATTACCAGATTTATCTGGTTTTTCACATTTTTGGAAGGTCCGACAAACGACCAACTTTTTTACTCAAAATGTCAGATTTTTGTGGTTTTCTAGATTTTTAACCCACTTGGCAGCAAAATCATACTTATGTTTTATTGAAATAGTTTAGTCTATTCAACCTTTCCTTGCCAGTGTAGTCAGCCAATCTAGAACGAACTTTTTCTGTCATAAATAACAATAAAACCAAAAATAGAAACACACTATCAAGAGACACATTAACTGCTATATTATTATGTAATGATTTGAAGCAAAAAACCAATATTCATGTTAAAATTTCATAATTAATAAATATATGTTATAAAATATTTAATTCAAGAGTGTATAAGAAGTCAACTTAATAATTTCTTGTTAACAAGACATTTTGAAATTTAATCGTAATAAGAATTGTTTTTGATAAACATAAACTATATTAAGCGTTTCAAAAACTGAAATGATTTGTTTTTGTTTTGTTTTGTTCAACATATATTGATTAAAAGACAATCAAATATTTTTAGGTCTTTTTGACGAAATTTTCCAGATTCTCCTTAAAATTAATATGACAATGCTGATTGTGACATATGTAATATTGAAAAATGTCAAAATTTGCTTTTATTTTTCTGTTTGTTTGTTAAATACTATGTTTACGTTTATTAAATTTTAAAATTTATTACATGGCATTATAATTTACTTTCATTAATTTTAAATTAAAAACAGAATAACATTCAAAATTTTTTTTTTGCAATTAAATGAGATGGACTACGAAAGTGATCGTGTACTTAAGTTAATATTTTCTAATGATGTGCCAGGTAAGCATTTTTCTAATTATGAAAATTTTGACCATTTGGCTTGTGCTATTTTAAGGATATGACCGTGATAAAGATGAAATATCTTTATACCTCACTAAGTTGGGAAATTATAAAATAGGACAATTAAAAAAGGAAGAAAATCGATTGGAAGACGAGAACAAACTAATAGAAGACCAAACATTAGATTTAGCTGTACTAAATTACAGAACTATAATACAAACATCGGATTGCTCAAAGAAAATATATGCGGGTTTTGTTAAAACAGAGAACAGAGTTGAAAATCTTTTACAACCTTTATCGGTTCTAGAAGAAAAGTGTCAAAGATTTTTAGAATCAACTGCTGATATAAATTCAAAAAAAAATTTAAATTTATCAACATCAAAAAATTACAAAAAAGTTTTAGAAATTTTAGAAATTCCCCAATTAATGGAATATTATATAAACGAGGGACACTATGAGGAAGCATTGGAACTTGCATCTTATGTACAAAAACTTGGGACAAAACATTCAGAAATTGGAGTGATTAAGGTTTGCTCACTTTAATTTTCTTTCTGAAAAATCTTCATTATTTAAACAAGACACCGATATTTTTATTTGAATAAAATTCGATAGTTTGTATGTGCATTTAAAAATATTTAATCATTTTTGTTTGAGCAGGGGGTAGTTTTGGCTGTTGAGAAAAATTGGCATTCTTTATTAATAAAATTTTTGGATGAATTAAAAACCGATTTACAGCTACCGAAATGCTTACAGGTAATGAAACTTAAATATATCAGTTTGTGTAATATTATATAATTATTACGAACAATTAACTTCTTAAGGTATTTGGACATCTGAGACGAATGCAAGCTTTTGGTTCGAATGAACTTAAATTGATTTTTTTGCATACTAGAGATACTTGGCTGAATAATTTGTTGAGCTCTATACCAAAAGATGACGGTTCGTATCAAATTTAACAATAGTATCTGCACTATATATTAATAATGCTTTTGGAAAATTTAGCTCAAAATCATCTGACTAAAACAATTGAGGTTACACGAATTAACGTTTTCAACATAATGACGCAATATAAAGCTCTATTTCCAAATGAAGATGTGGGAGTCTCTTCGAACTTCGGCTCTTGCGAGGGTAAAAAATTGTTCAATACATGGTTGAATAAAAAGGTATGTAATGTTTGTCTTATATGATAGGAGTCATTAAAAAAATTTGCTTTTAATATTTATAGATCGAAACTTTTTTGAATACTCTTGAAGAAGATTTAAATAGAGGTGTCAGTTCTTTAGATACAGCATTAGGTCAGTGCATGTATTTTGGCGGATCTTTTAGTAGAATTGGTGTAGATTTTAGAGCTTTAGTTGTGTCGATATTTGTTCGTGTAATAACTAAAAATTTTGTTGATAAAATAATAAATGTTAATACTAACTTTGACTATGACATGAAAAACTTTACGTTAGTCAACAGTTCTACGATAACATTGCATCAGAAAATTCGTTCAACATTAGTAATGGGTGAAGTTAATGCAACAGATTTGTCTCCGCCTGAATCTTTGTTAGATTATACTCCACTAGCTATATTGTGCAATGGATATTTAAGCGCTTTAAGTGAGCTTATGTTATGTGCTCCAATATCTTTGGTGTTCGATGTTGTGAATACATTGGAAAGGTCATTAGAAAGAGTATCACATGGTATATATCAATTGTACAAAAGAGAAAAACAAGTCTTTTCAGCAATTCAACGAGAAAACTTTATAAAATTCCTTTCTTCTTTTGCCTATGATTTATGTCCATATATACAGAGATGTTTACAAGCAGTATTTCCACAGCAAGTGTTAGCTAATCATTTGGGAATTACTTTATTGGAGTTACAAAATGAACGAATAAGTTTTATGAATCAAAATTCAATTTTAGATCCAATTAAAAACTTATTACCAGAACGTTTGAGTTCTAAAAATTAAAAATTCATATTTAAATTTCATTTTCACAAAAAAAACATTTGAAAACGTTTTAATATGTACAAGTGTGAATTATTAAAACATTAATTAAACTTATAGATATATTAATAAACTTATGTAATCAATATAGACATATTTATATGTACATATATTTAATTAATTTTTAGTTTCAATTTTTTCATATGTTACATTAAAATTTTGAAAACTTGATCTTTATTTATATCAGATCTAGTTTTCGTAAAGTGTTTAATGCTTAAAAAGCTGTTTTATTAAATAAAATCTTTATTAGATGAAAACACTAAATATCCTAGACTGCTTGGCTAACAAAAAATGAAGAAACAGAAATTAATATTAATACAAAAGTTGTAAACCTACTATACATATAACTATCCTGTATTTTGTATGAATAAATATATATTATGTTATTACTTATTAGTGTTTAGATAAAAAATTTATATGTATGTATATGTTAAGATTAATGGAGTTACTGACGTTCTCGTGCTTTTTTTAATGTTAATTTTTACATACTTATAAAAAAAGGAAATAATCTCTCGAAGCAATTTTTGATATCTCTCTTTAATATAAAATTACAAGAGTTTCAGACTTATTCCTTACTTCTTAATTTTTATTTCGTACTAATGTAAGAACCTTCAATAATAAACATATTAGTTAGCTTGGTTTCAGTTTATAACATACTTACATAAAATCTTTAATGGAATTCATTCGAATATTAGAAATGCATTATTAGAAATGCGCTAAAATGATAGTTTAGCGATTTATCAATTAAAAGGAAATACTTTTTCTGCAAGTTTATATGTATAGTCATTTCAAGTGTAGTTGCTCTTAACATTAAAAAGTACTAAATCTTTTGTCAAAATTTTGAATGTGCCAATTTCTCAGTTTACTAAATTAATTTTAAAAACATGATTGAATTGAAATTTACAGGAAAATTTTAAAAATTCTTAACGTGTATTTCTATGCGTACCTATAAAACACCTATAATTTTATTATAATAACAAGACACTACGGTAGTCAGATTATTCTTCACCTTATAGCTCACTAATTTCTTCATTGGTGTTTGCATTTTTATTAATAACAAAAAAAAATGAAAATTGTAACCATAATTTTTTTCAACCAAATAAGCTTACAGCAACAATAATGATGGTAATAATAATGCTGATGTTGATCATCATTTACTTATAGTGATAATGATGGTAATGGATTTTTGCTTAAAGAAAACTATAAAAAAAAGAAAACGCTTTCTTGCACATTACCTGCGATGGCGATCAATTCAAAATAAAAAGAAAAGAAAATTAAATAAAAACAAATATATACTTTAGATATGGAATCTATCGTATTATATGAACTTATGTGCACACATAGGTATATATATCATATGTATTTGTCGTTATACATATAAGTATTTATAGTTCTTTTTTTTTGCGAGGGAAGGGAGATAAAACACTACTGACCTACTAAATACGCGCAGTATCACTTTTTCTTACAGTTGCGGCTTAACAGTTTAATATTGAATTTACCGCAGCTGATGACAAGAACAGCGCATTCACATTATTACATTTTTTATACTGCTTTAGTGCTTTTATGTGAAAATAGAAAAAAATAAGAAAAGATTTAAGAAAGAGAGGAAAAAAAAAGAAATTTAAAAACAAAACTAATAATAAAAAAAGTAAGAAAAGAAATTATTCTTGTAATTTTTGTAAGCACCAGACGTAATAATAATAATTACGACGACTGTTTCATAAAGAGCAAAGGTATATGGCGGCGCGGTGGAGTTTTTCTTTTATATTATTTTTAAAGCAAAGTAGTCAGGTCGGGATAAACTTTCTTTATGCGGCTGTTCGTTTACTAAAAATGGTTTTTTGTTTTGTCTTTTCTTTTTTATTTTATTGTTATTATTATTATTATTGCTATTATTTTTGTTGTTTTCTTTTCTTAATGCTGGTAAAGTTTAAATAATCATTATTAAGGAAGAGTGTTACATATAATGATGTTGACCTGTGATTTAAAGCGATCTAATTTTTCATTTTTAATTTTAATAAAGAAGTAATTTAATATGTGTAACAAAAATTTTTCATTTAAGTTCTATATTTATAATATATATATATACAAATAATGTGTGCTACAAGCATATACTTTTCATAATTATGTAAACAACTGCATGGCATAATTACATATTATAATGAAGTGAAATGAATTTTTTGAAAAATGGTTACTTTTTAAAATTGCAAAAAATAATGTTTGTAAATAACTACGTATATGTATATGTAACAAAAAAACAAAGTTAATTCATATAGTAATATTAACTCTTATATAGATACATACGAGAGTATATTGCGAAAATAAAATACTTTATTAAAAGTTTTAATTAATGTGATCGTTTTATTTTTGTTTTTTTTTTTTTGTTAATTAAAACAACAGCTTAGTTTTAATATTCTTAAAGAACGAGAAAAAAGAAACGAAATTGAAAAAAAAAAAATTGGTTCATTTGAGAACGAAAGATTTCAATGCTTTAAAGCACACACTAAAAATCATTACTCTATATTAAGCGAAAGTTATTATTATTTTTTTTTTTTGTATTTTTTATTTGTGAAATCTGTTAACGTTTTTAAAAGTAAAAATTTCATTCCGATCTAAACTCAATATATACATATATCTTAAGTGAAAAGCCCTAATTAATTCAGGTATCGCCTGCGTTAACAATAAATTAAAAAAAAAAAATGTTATACGTAATGTTTAAATTATGTTATACGTAATTATAAAACTCTCAAAAATATAATTTATTTATTTCAAACATTTGTTTTTTATTGATAATTATAACAATTGATAAAAAAATATAATAATAATGGATACAAGATTTCTATCTACATTTGTAAGTATTTGTATTACATCAAATTGTATGTACATTGAATAAATTAATATATTATTTAAAATTATTTTGTTCTTTTGAAAGTGTTAAGAAAGTTATTTGTTAAATTATATATACCTTAGTATTATATACCATATACCGTAGTATATTACTATATGAATATATACTAATATAGTACATATTAATATTATCATATGGCAATATACATATGTGAGCATATACATACGTGGAGAAATATGTACAATACTTATGGATATTCATTAATGAATTTTTCTTAAAATATTTAATTCAAAATTGGTTTTATTTATTAAAACGAATCTTTTTTTATAAATATTATACATAGATATAATATACGAATAAATAGAATTCAGTGGTGTGTACAACATTATTTCTGTTGTGTGTACAATATAGTGTATTATTTTTGTTAAAGGATTTTAAATAACAAAATTTCTAAAAAGTATTCTACAAAAATTTAGTGACTTAAATTAATTATTCAGCCACATACGAATATTTCTGTTTATTATCAAAAATAATTAATAAATAAATTAAAATATTAAAAATTTATATTAAATTTTATAAAACTGCTTAAATAAAAAGCTATTTTTTTTTTGAAAAATATTAGTAAAGTTTTAATGGTATTGATAACCATTACATAATTCTGTTGGTTTTTATACCTTTTGTTTTTTTGTTTTCCGAATTAAATTACCAGTATTTAAGATAACAAAATGTTTTATTATTATCATTTTATTACCTAAATATTTAAGTATTCCTAAACAAATTTAAATTCTTAATATTAATTTAATTTTTAATTTTTAAAATGCTTTTATTAGCCAATGCAATTACAAATTTTCCAAAAATTTAAAATTTATTAATGAATTCATTTTTAAATATCGAATTCAAAACAAATTTATAATATCTATAACGTCATTGTGAATTCGATAGTATTCGATGAAATAATTCAAAATATTTTAATCAATAAAATTATTTTTGGCACTTTAAGTACATTATAAGTCAGTGATCTATTAAAATATTTCAACAAATTACAAAATAAAGCATAGTAGTTAATTGTAACTTCACATTTTATTCATATATGAAAAGTAATGAAGAATACAATTAACATAAATTTAAAAAAATTTATGAGAGAAATGAAAAAAAAAATGAACATCAACTTTGATTTAATTAACATTTTCAATATTAAAAGTGTTTTTGTTGTTTTTTTTTTAATGTTAATTTAGAATTACGATAAAAATAATTTTCAAAAAAGGTACACTACATAATGTATTTGCAATTATTTGAATTATTTTGTTAACAAAATGGAATTTGTAGAAATATTTTTAACATATCAATGACCTTTAAATTGGTTTTAAATTAAAGTAGACGTAAAAATTTAATAAGATAATTGTGTTTGTATGGACATACTTTGTGTAGTGTAAAACGTGCACGTCACTGAACACTATTTTCCCCTCATATTTAATTTTCCGTTTAACAATTTTTTTTATGGTTTAACGTTATAACGATTTCTTTTTAACACCGTTAAGTTTTGCAAGAAAGCTAATCACTTTCACTAAAAAATTGATTGATTTTTCATTGGAAAAATTTTGTATATAAATAACACATACCACATGTATACATTTATAATACATACATACTTAGATGTATATAATGCATTCTTGCTTTTAAACAAAATGTTAATATTTATTTTGATAGGTATATAAATACATAAGAATGTATAAATAATAATATACATTCATAAAGGTATTATTATCATATGTTTATATTAAAATAAGTGAGTTCAAGTTTTTAATTTTTTTTTTTAAACATATTTTTCGAACTTTAGTTATTTCTTGAAATTAGATAACAGTTTGATGGTATCAACTTGTTTTAATCAATTTTCAATGGTAATGTTATACATATATTTATATACATATTTATTTTTGATACCTACGACGTAGGCATAAATTTAGTTTCGGTGAGTATATTTTATGTTGTACTGATGGGGAAAAAAATTGTAAAATTTCTCACTTACATTAATTTAATTTTTTATAAGTATAAAGATAGGTTTATGTACATACATACATAATATGAGTAAAATGTTTAATTGTGAATTGGTATAATATAAAAAATTTTTTAACAGTTTTTTTCTTTAAAGATTTCAGTGAAATTTGATTTGGTTTAATATTAAAAATAATTGTTTCTATACAATTTTAAAAAATGTTAAATTAAAATTTAATTTGTTGTTCATGAATAAATTAACTTAATTTATTTTCTTATAAACATTGCTTAATAAAATGTTAGTGACATTATAAATTTCAAAAAAAGTTTACAAGTTTTGAGAAGTTACAAGTTCCCGTTTCGAAGTGCTCAGCTTCCCGTTTCTCCTAATAGTTTGTAAATAGGTTTTTATTCAAAATAATTTATATACATCTTATGTATGTAAATTTATAATTATATACATTCATATATTTATCAATATTAACGCATACTTAGGATCTGTTAAAATTTGTGAAATTCTTGGCTGAGTAAATGCAATAGTTCAACGTTATCTAAAAAGCGAGGAATTCTACTAAGTCATATATGGTGACCTATAATTTCCGTTCCCAGAGAAATAAAATTTTTCAATAAAAAAGTTTTTGAAAGAGTTTTAAGTTAGTTATTAAATTTCTTAGCTATAGTATTGCTCAATATCTTACGTAAAGAACATTTTTGATATAAAACTTTTTACAAAATTTTATTTAAAATTATAAAACATTGAAAACATGGAAGTTTTTTTTCAGGAACTTCGGTTTTGATAAAAGATTTAATAGTTTTTTGAATTTTATGGGTTTTAAAGCAAAATAGTTATTTTTTTTGTTACCTTTTTCCGTTCTTTTCCAATAAATTGTAGCTTTATAAGTATACACATATTTAAAAACATTTCGATAAGGTACATATATATGTATATGTATGTAAATTACTTATGTATGCATGTAACTTTTTAATATGTATATCTTTTTTCATATAAGATAGTTTGTATACATGACTGTACTTAAAAAGTGTAAATAAAATATAAAAAATTGAATTATACATACATACATATGTTTTTTGAAATTTTAACACAAGTATGTACATACATGTAGGATATACTATTAATTTTATTTATGTATATGTACATACTAATATAAAAATCTCTACTCTTTTACTATTTTTAAATTTTATTTGCTTTTGAAATAATTGAAATTTTAATTTTTTTCATTTACAGTCTTCAATGATACATCTCATTATTTTATTAATTACAATACATAAAACACTAACTCTTGGCTTCGACTCTGGAATTGGTGGTTCTTGTAATCAAAAAATGTCACGACAAGGAAGAGCAAAATTTTTAAAATCTATACCATGTGATTTAACAAAGCAATCATATTGTAATTTACCAGGATCGTCATATCCTTGGCACGCCGTTCGTAAATTTGTACACGATAATCAAGGCTTAATGAAGAGAATGTATGGAGATATTCATCACATTTCTGTATTACGTAATGAAATACAAAAAAATGATTTAGATTTTGAAGAAATTGATATAAAATTTTTTGACGACAATAATGAAAGAAATAGCGAAATTGAAAATGAAAACTCTAGAATTTCAAAATATTTACATTCAGTGGATTTTCAAAATGGTAAATTGTCACAATATGGAATATCACAGCCCCATTTTAGACCTACATCATCAATTAATTCAAAATTAAATAATAATAGTAACAATAACACACCAACAAAAAGCTCTCCAGTTAATTTTAACGAATCTAAAAAATATAATAATTTACCTGAAAACGAAAAATTCATAAAAAAGCATCATCATGTTCAAAAAATTGAACAACAACAGACTGTTTCCTTAACTGGAGCATTAAATAAAGATACAAAAACTGAAAGTAATAATGATGAGTCAAACGATGTGAACGAAATCGATAATCAAATAGAAGATAGCAAAGATTCTGAAAGAAATTCTGTCTTGGCAATGAACAATAATAATAATAGTAATAATGACAATAATAATACTAGTAATAATAACGACAATAATGATAGTAATAAGTTCACCAATATTAATAGTAATAAAAATTATGAAAAAACCGATGAAAATAATAGCAATAGTGTTCAAATAAATATTGCTAATAACGATAGAAGTCATAACAGCGATAAAAATGGTGCCAATGAAACGGACGATGTAGAAAATAAAAGTGAAAATAACGATACAATTTCAGCCACATTAAATGTTGTTAAGCATATTATTCAAACTGAAATGGAAACTGAAAATAAAGTGGTGGATAAAATAAATAATGAACAAATACAATCAAAACAAAATGTTAAAGAAAATTCAACTAATTTATCAACTCTTCTATTAGAAAAATATCAATTAAAAGTCTCTTCTCCAAATTTTATGCCAGAAACAACAACAATACGTACAACGTTATTAAAGCCAAATGAAACTCAAAATTTACAAAACCATACATTTATTGATGCAAAACCTACTGAAAAAATTGATATAAAATCAAAAGAAAAATCAAGCGATTATGAAGTAAAAACCAAAATTGGTAATAATAAAACTCAAATTTTAGAAGGACAGTTATTTCAAGATACCATCCAAAAAGAATCTCCAAATTTAACTAATTTAAGAGGAGTGTAAGTAAATATATTGAAAAACTTAATCCTAGATCAAAGTTTCGATCAATAAAATCTCTTTATTATTTACAGAAATGCTTGTCCAACCAAAGAAGAAGTTGTGGCACCATTTTGGGCTAATAACACTCGAGGTGAAGTATTAGCTTTATTGAATCTTTATCCATTTGAACAATATGTTCATTGGGAACGTTGCTCAAACGAACATAAGCAAATGTATTGTCGTGAAGGATGCCGTTGTGAACAACAATATAGTCTCCATAGATTATTAGCATATGATCCACATGATGAATGTCGCGGAATATTTTCTGACTGGTTCCGATTTCCATCGTGTTGTATCTGTAAATGTTACAATATCCCAATTGAAGTAAGAACAACATCAAGAAGTCCACGATCGGAAAATGACTTATATGAAAGTAAATTACGTTTAATTGATAAAGCTGAGGCTGAAGCACATCGTGCTGTATACAATCATGCGATAGATGATTGGTATAGACCGCAAGACAATTTAAATTAGAAAAATGATTTTAGTATTTAAAATTTTATTAGAAACACACATAATCGATTAAAGTGTATACATATTAAGTTTATTTATTTATTTAAGTAAATATACTTTTTGATGTTTTGTGGACTAGTCGAAAAAATTGATCTATAAATTTTAAGAAAATTAGAAGTAATTAAAAGAATCGTTAATTATATGTTTTTTATGTAAAATATTAAAAAAATTCTTTTTAATTTTTTTAGAGTTTATTCACATTTTTTATTTCTACATAGCTCTATTAATTAAACTACACTTTGTCCATATTGCCATTTTTAGCCCGAATATAAAAATAAAACACCAAAATTTGATTTATTATTTTTATTCTGTATATATGTTTATATATAATTATAAAAATGGTATATATAAATGGTTTTATTGGTTGATAACAAATTTTCTTATAATTATTATTGGAGAGAAAATTTTTTGCACTTTTCCCTTTAAATATAATTAGTTAATACATTTAAATACTACAAAAATAGAAAATAAAATTTTCAAGTTTTTTATTACGATTTAAAAATTTAAAAAATATTGATGTCATATAAAGATAAAGGTTTAGCATATTTTTTTTTTATACTAAACATATTAAGGCATTTCTTGCGTTTTATAAACAATGTTATAAGTTTTAGATAAAAATTTATATCAAAACTTTTAATGTTATTTTAGCACCATCTATTTAAAAGTTTCCACTATAAATTGAATTACGAATAAATAATACCCAAATAATTAAACAAAAAATTGATATTGGTAAAAATGATTTTTTTCATAAATAAATTTCAAGCCAAATACGAATATTTAGCAACCTGAAATGGGTACCCATAAAACTTTTGATTGTTCTTCTTCTACAGAAGCTTTGATCTGTGTACTCATGTGTGTTATATTGACCCCAGCAGGAATAACCGCTAAAAGTGAAAATTTTAGTAAATTTAATCTTAATAGTTCAACACATTTTTTACTTGATATATATTGCTTATAGTCCGCTTCTAATTTTAAGGCACGTTCGAACATTTCTTTAGCAGCTTTTGCTGATATTTTATCAGTTGAATAACGTGGATCCTTAATTTCTTTAATTTGTTTTGCTGATTTGAAACGAAGTAGTAATACAATCGGATAAATTTGTAATCGTTGTAAGCGTTCAACAGCAGTTATTGAAATATCAAGTACGCAATGCCGATTCTAGACAAAATTTAATTAAGAATAAATTAATATAAAATTTAGATTTCAGTATATAATGTATTTGTTTTACGTTTTTGCAGCTATTTCGGATAGATTCTACTGTTGTGCATTCGAATTTATTACCCTTACGACGATAGTCAACGAATATATTTTTTTGTATTCCTTCCTTCATCACATCTTCTGAATAATCCATCTGTTTTTTAATACAGTGTTGAAATAATAAAGGAAAATCAATAGTAAGACGATCAGTGACATATTCAGCTAATGGCCCTAATACTAGCACTGGTCGACATGTAGGATCTATTAAATTAAAAATTGAACAAAATGAGAGAAAAGGGAAATGAACAAAAAAATTGCAAACTGACAATCTAATCTTTCAACACGTTGATAACTCAAAATTCCACCGTCGTCATTTAACATTCCTGAATCAGAAAAATAACTCAATTGTGTGTTACTAAAGCTTGCAAGTTCCTTGGAATCTCTAGACGAACTGCGTTGATGTTTTTTCCTTCTAAAAAATGATCTGCGTGCGGTTGTGTTTCCACGGCGAGTACTACCTCCTTCACATTCTACACCGTCACTGCATAATCTAAGTTCTTCCTCAACCCTACAGCATCATTGAGTATATGAGATATAAAACGGTATAAAACTAATTAAAATTGAAAATATTACTTTGCTTGGCTTGGAACCAAACCACACTCCCTTTTATGACCATATTCATCTAAAGTCCAAGCTCTCCATTGTCCGAAATTGCCACCAAATATTGTATTATCCACATATAAAACGTCATCTTTTATAAAACGAAGATCATTATCATTCAAATCTCCAGTGCGATCGAATCCAACACGAATGTAAAAGGAATCTCCAGTTTTATCTTGTATCATATTTAGCTCTTGATTAATAAAAATGTCAAAGAAGAGTTTAAAAGAAAAATATAAGTTCAATTTTAAAACTGATAAGTTCAAAAGAGACGAAAACTTACTTTGAATGTTATTTTGAACCAACATGGTAACAGTATCCGTTATTTTATTTGAAATTTCATTTGCTGCCTGCTCGGCAGTTACATTTCTTAAACTGACTCCATTATATTCCAATATTTGGTCGCCTTTTCGAATTCCGGCTAAATAAGCAGGAGAGTCAGGTTGGACGTCATGGACAAATATACCAACCTTATTGCCACCAAATAATTTGATTCCCAGATTTTTGCTTTTATGGTTTGGCAAAGTTATAAATCTAGGATCTTCTTCAAAAATACTGCCAGATATGTCAGCTTGACTTGAATGATCTGACTGATTCTCTAAGCTATCCGCAAACTTCTGACTTTTCATTGGAACAGAAACCATGTTAGATGGTTTCTGAGCTGTGTTAGATAAAGAAGATAATGTAACAGAAGAAGTAGGAGGAGACGTGGCAATTGATGGACGCACGGCTGGTCGAGGAGAGTTTCTAGGCGTAGGAGATCCTGAATGATTTAATTGCTCTGTATCCATTTTATTATACACATCGTATTCTAAAAGTTTTTTTCTTAATGGTATACTTTAATAGTTTATGTAAAATTCCAAACTTACTTTCTGGATTATATTGAACTAACATAGTAATTGAGTTTCCGCATTGACGTAAGACTTGAGCTGCCATTTCACTTGTAGCTTGTCTCATGTTAATTCCACAAACTTCTAAAAGTTGATCTCCAATTTGCAATCCCGCTCTACTGGCTATACTTTTTTCTTGCACCGATGACACAAAAATTCCGTTTCCGTTATTATTGCATAAGATCGTAATACCAAGCGATTTGTCACTTTTGTCAATTGTTACTCTTCTTAAATCGCCTGGACATAAAAAATCTGAAATATTTGAGTTCCTTTTTTGTGCACCATGGCTTAGTATTTCTACATGTACGGTAGGCATTGGGCTACCACGTTCACTGTGGTGATCAATTGAACCAGTGCTGTTTTTAACGCCACTGCCTTTGCTTGTAACGCTATGATTAGATGGTATTCGAAAACGTTGATGTTCTTTTTTCCTTGGAAAAGTTCCGCCTTCATATATTGGATTATAACCACTAGAACATTCGTCATGATCACGTGTAGGCATTATTGAGCTACTTGTTTCAACCATGCTGTTGATCATACTATTCTTCATAGGTATGATTTGATTTTTAAATTGGTAATCAATTGTTGAGTTATATAAATGATGATTTGGTACTATTGGTGTTGGAGAATAGTCCATATCAAATTTATCTGATGATGAGCTTCCCCCAATATGACCGATTGAGTTGTTTCCACCAGAAATTTCAGTTATGACAGGATTTTTTATAACAGAAGTTTGGGTATGATCTATTGAATGTGGGTTAATTGGTACTACCAGAGTATTTGATGTTTTCATCTTTGGAGAATTGTACATATGATTAGGAAAATTTGTTGAAAATATTGGCGTGTGTCTATTAAATGAAGTTACGCCTGAATGGGTATTCAGAAAAAACTGGTTTTGTGTTACACTAGGGTTTTGAGAGCTCACAGTACTTCCGTGCGATAAAACAGTATCTGTGCCGATACTTTCGCTATCACTTGGATATTTTAAAACACTTCTGCTAACTTGAGTTTTTGCAAAATTATTACAGCGGTCTTGTAAACTTAGGGGAGTCTTTTGCATTAAAAATGAGTCTATAGAGTTTTGCGATTTGAGTGAAATAACATCATAATAATTTGGGTTTCCTGTGGTTAAACCTGATGGATGAGATTTTATTTCATAATTTATTCCGGTAAAAGGAGATTTTGAATGCTGTGCCATTTGTCCTGGTAGACCAGGTGTTTGGTCAATTACTTGTTTTTTACCTAAAAAATCCAATGAATTAGGTTGATATGACTGGTGATGATTTTGTTGGTGATGTTGCTGCTGCGTCATTTGACCGCTATTTTTGTATAAATTATTATCGGATGGTGTCAAATTAAGGCTCAATCGATTTTGATAATGTATGGTGTTATTGGCGTGATGACGATTTGTGGCAACCGTTCCGTATTTATCTGCAGGCATTTTGATCCTTAAATTTGCGTCTAAATTCTTTTTAGTATGAGATGGAGGGGGAGAAAAGGCCGATTTTGATTGCTCCAATATTAGAGACTCAGGATCGAAATTTGAAGTATACACTGAATGTCTATGAGAAAATGCACCAGACGGATTTGTTTGAAATAAATTCAATGGGATTGGATTTGAGTTTCGATTAGGTTTCGGCTTTGCGTTGGAGCCAGTTGAACTACTTGAGCTGCCATGTTGTGGTACTCTGTTTAACTGATTTCCATTACTATCAATTTCAATCGTACCTCCACCGCCTCCAGTAAATACGGATAGGACGGGAATTCGTTCTTTTTTCCGGTGCACTATTGTACCAGTTGGATTTTCTTGTGTAGAATTTATTATCGTGGCTCTAGGCCAAGTACCCATACTTTTTCCAGTATCTTTTTCTTTTTTGTTTCTTTTACTTCTTTTGAAGATATGCTTTTCGGAATTTTCATCAATTACTGAGTCCAAAGCCGCTAAAACACCAGTTGCACTATCTTGGCTTAAGTGATCCACCTCTGGTCCGGATTTAGTTATGTGTATTTTCTTAAATTTGTTTATCATTTCGGTAAAAAATGGTTGCTTTGATGAAGATGTCACCTGGGAAAGAAAATTTATGGAAAATTTCAAAAAAGTTGAGTTATATACTCGTAAAACTAAATTTACTTTGTGCATTGATTCATTAGAGTCCGTTTGGGCAGAGGTATTGGTCATTCTTCTATTTTTTAAGCCATTGATGCATGAATTTCCTCCTTCCTGAACATTTTTTAACGCTACTATTGTTAACGAATCGTGTCTATGATCATCCAATATTTTCATGACTTCTTTTGCAGATTGAATACCCTGCATTGATTTGTTATTAATACTCAAAATTCTATCCCCAACATCTAATTCTGGTTCAAAACTAGCTATTGAGTTTTTTTCTATCTTCGATATGAAAACACCAGTTTCTACGTGCATACCAATATTTTGATTAGTCTGCAAATTCAAATGAACTGTGTATAATTGGCGTTTTGTTTGTTTTGGTCGCTGAACAAGAAGTAAACATCTTGGAGAACTACTTCTTATTGCATCAACTACCAATCGTTTAGAAATTGCCTGACAATCTAGATCATTAACCTTTACTATTACATCATTTACTTTAAGTTTTCCAAAAGCTGGGGAACAATTAGTTATGCCACACACTAATTGTTTGTTATGCGTATCGTCTAAAATTAAGCCAATATCGTCATCCTCTCTGTAGTTACACAATTCGACTTCTAATACATCATCCGTTTCAAAGGAGCTCCATCGAAAACTTTGTCTTGAAGTCGAATTTGAATTAATTCTTTGTTCTAGCTGTTCTTTTAGACTTTCAATTTTCCGTTGAGATTCATCATTTTGTTTTTTAATTTCTTCGCTATCTCGTATAGCTCCCAGTAAATTTGACACTGCCGTGTCCCTTTCACGGCGTAACTCATCACACAAATGCTTTACTGAATCTCTTTCTTGAACTATTTTTTCCCGTTCTGAAATCGCCCAATCCCGTCTACTCTTTGCTATATCAGTTTCTTTATCTGACTTTTCTTTTTCATTTCTAAGTTTTTCATAAGCTTTCCTCAATTTTTCTAATTCCTTTGTTTGGTTTTCTTGCGTTTCTGCATTCCAAGAACTTTCCCGTGCTTCCAATAATTGAATTTTTTTGTGTAAGTCGTCGATGATTTTTTGCAACTTGATTTCATCTTTAACTTTCTGGTCCAATTCTTTTTTTGTTGCAGTTAAATCATCACTCATTTTTTGATGCTCTTGTAGTACGTTATCCCTTTCAGATAGAATCTGATTCAATTCTTCTTTTAAATGATTTCTATGAAATTTTGTAGTAAGGAGTTCATTTGCTCGAGCTTGCATTACTGATCGCATTTCTTCCATTTCTTTTTCCTAGAAAAATGTTTTGGAAAATGAAAATTAAAAATGTATTTAAAAAGTAAAAAATATATCAAAAAATTTTAAATAAATTTTATTACTTGTTGGGAAATGAACTGATCTTTTTTATCTCTATAAACCTTAAACTCCTTCTTCGATTTATCTAGTTCATCTATAGTTGCTGATAGTTGTATATGTAGTTTATCTCTTTCAACAGCGACATTGTTTCTTTCTTTTGACATGTCAGAATACATTTTCTTAAATAATTGAGCTTCTTCAATAAATTTTTCATATTTAACGTAACATGAGCTATCGCACTTTTGAGTAGACGTTACAGTATTATTATTTGCATTACTGTTACTATTAGAATTGGAAAAATCAACTACTGGACAACCACTATTACCGTTATTTCCTCGATAAGAATAATTATAAAATGGAATAGAATGATTTGCCTCCTCATTTTCATTTTCCCCCTCTTGTTGTTTAACTGAATCCATTAAGCGACGCAAATTTCTTTCAAGAAGCATATTCTGTTGAGATAGTCTAGCATTTTCCTTTGTTACCTCTGTATACTTATTGTGTTCTTCAGCAGATGATTCTAATTGCTTCATGGCAGCTATATATTGCTCTTTATAAAATCCAAGCATAGAAGCCATTTCATCTGAACGACGGGCTGATTCCGAACATTGCCTCCTTACCGCGTTTAGCTCTATCATTGCTTGGTCATATTGTTGTTTGATCAGCTCACATCTATTAGTATTAATTTTATTTCCATTAGAACCTGATGAGCTATGTAATTTATGCTCTCCTGAATATCCAACGAAGTCTGAAGCTTCTATATATTAAGGAAATAAATTTATTACAGACCTACTAAGTACTTAACATTCTTCAAATTCATACCATCCTGACTGTTATTACTTGTAATGGAGAAATCTGCTGGTTCCATATTATATGCTCATTATAATAAATTTTAAAAAATTATTTGATTAAAATCAAAATATTTGAGTAACAAATGAAGTTTACATAAATTTTCACTCAAATTTTATGCAATATTTTTTTATTTTGCTTTTTAATTTTTGAAAATGATAAAATTACTTTTCAAAGTGGTAGTTTCAATACGTATTGTAACCTAATCCAACATCAAAAATTCACTAGGTAATTTTATTTTACGCTATGCACTAATTAGCAAATTAACTATCCAAGAATACATTTCACAAGTAATTTTAAAGCAGTTTCGCAACACTGAAATAATTGAAAAATAAAGTGAATATTTGCATACGAAGAAATAGAAACTTTTTTTTTATAATTTTATATTCTTTTTAAAAATGTGTTGTTTTCTGTTCCTGCATAAAAAATTTTATCTAAAAATTTCACCAAAAAAATTTTTTTCATCTAATTGTCACAAACATCTTAAAAAATTTTGGATAACTCAAATTATCGAATAACTTAATTTAAATAAAATTATTATTTTTACTAAGAAGTGCAATAAAAATTAAAAAATAAAAGAATTATCCACTAAAATATTTTTAAATACAAGTTCAAATTTTATTAAATGAAAAATTAATGAAATCGAAAAAAAAAAGAAATTATTTAAGTAAATTTTTGACACGAACAATTTTTGACATGAGCAATCTTTTGTCAATAAAACTTTTGACATTTTTATGGGATTTTTAAACAGGGTATTTCTAAGTTTTAATTTAATATTCATTGTGAATTTGATTTGATTTTCAAAATATAATTTTAAAAATCAAAAGATATTGATTGTACCTATATTTTCAAATAATTTCTTTTAGAAATCAACAATCAACTTCAATAGGTGCGTAGTGCGTAGGATAAGTAGACACGCATAATACGCATATCGAAAACACACCAGGTAATATGACGCATGTTGCTAAATTTTTATTATGCATATTATTTAATATTATATTATGAGGGCATAAAATTTTTCTAAAACAAGTTTGTATTGTTTAAATTTTAAGTTTCGAAAATTCAAGATTATTTTTCAAAAAAAATTTCTGTTGTTAATTTTTTAGTTCGTTCTTCACGTTTATGAATTGACAATAAGCAGGTTAATTTGGCATTAAAAAAGAAACAACCAAAAAACAGAAAAATTATGTACCTACGTGTAGTCAAAATCAAAAATTCCAATAAGTTGCGTGGGCGCGTACTTCATTTATGTCACTTAATTCAAAATATAGAAGTATGAGAGAACACAAATACAAATTTAAGAATATTGTAAAAGAAAGCATTTATTTTGGCGTGTTACTTTGAAAACTTTCATCAAAACAATCTTAAAGGTTGCGCGTTATAGTAATTTTGACGTATCAATAATTTTCGACGTGAACGTTGGGGTCTACAATACAATACAAATGGGTATAAAATATACGCTTAATTTAACATGTGTGTGTCAAAAAATTGGTTGTATTTATTTAAATGTATATTATTGAAATAATCGCGTGGCTACCTTATCAAATTAGAAATCATATTTTTATAAATTTTCATTTATAAGTGCATACTATATGCAATTAAATTTCAGGAATCCGCAACAGCAATGCGAATTTTTTTGCAATCCACGTGCACTTTTATTTAGTAACAGCTCCTACATGCAAATGATAATTCAATGGGGTTCAGAGAAAAATTTTAAAACACCTAAAGGTATAATGGAAAAAAGTTATATGATCTCGGGGCTCGAAAATTTACCAGACACTTGATTTAAAGATGCTATTGTGAAAATGGCCATTTTAAACTTTTCATAACAAATATTTAAATATATATTCAATTACCTGTGGCTAAACGATGATTTTTGCGTTAATAGTTCACATACGTTGAAATATTAAACGTCAACCATTCATTCGAAACTCGACGCGTAAACAGGCATATTGCTATATAATTTTACTACTCAGAAAATAGATTAGGTAGGTCACATTGTATTCGAATAAAATTTACAGCTGATCAATATTGTTGTATTTGAGGTTTTATTAAACAATTGATATTGACTTTTACTATAATATAATCTTTTGGCATTGCATAGTAAGGGTAGTTGGTTTTAGATCGAGCGGAATGATGTGATATAAATTCTAAAACTTATGGATTGGACGGCAAACTGATATTTGCTGAATAATTTTTTCTTGATTTTTAAAATTAATAAAGAAGCCAATATAAAATTTTCATTAAGGAACAGTTAATATACATATATATAATAGTGTGTGAAGTTATGAACTTAATAAAAGCAATGTGAACACAAAAAAGATTTTGTATTTTAAGCAATTATACATATTAAGAGTTTTAGGACCAAAACAATATGGGAAAAGATAAAAGTACAGCAAATGTTTAATGTATTTTCTTTATATTCACAATTAAAATAAATAAAAGATAACAATAATATATGTATGTCTATTGAAACGTTCGAATATACCTTCCAAGATGGGTGTAATTTGGAATGAATTGTTTCCAAGTAAATTAAGCATAATGATATTTATTGGCTATATGTCATTATTTGTAAGTCAAGGTAAAATTGTTTTTAATTTTATGATACATAATATCTTAAAAGTTAAACTTTCTACTTGAAAGGTCTCTTAGTAACTGCATCACAAGAAAAAAATAATTCATATACTTACGACACGGTAACTGTTGTGTTGCTTACGGAAATATGCAAGCTTTTGATATCTATTACCTTATATTCACGAGAGTAAGTTATTTTTATATTTTAAATTTTTACCACAAATTTTCAACTAGTTATTCCAATTTTGAACAGAAATTCTCCCAAAAATTTACTCAAAGATATTGCTAAAGATTTAAATGTAATGATGTTATATTTTGTACCGGCTTTTTTATATTGTCTTTACAATAATCTAGCTTTTGTTAATTTATCTACTTTCGACCCTACCACATATTATTTATTGTTGCAGCTTAGAGTAGTTGTGACAGGAATTTTATTTCAGGTAATTTTTTAATTTGAATAATATTTTAATGCCGTCAATATACAAAAATTTGTTTTTTTGTTTTTCCATTCAGATAATATTTAAAAAATCTTTAAATCAAAGGCAATGGTTGTCATTACTATTATTAACAACTGGATGCATGATTAAACAAATAAATTTTAGTCCCATGGAGGAGAAGCAGTCTTCTACTAGTCCTCATCAAACAACTCAATCTTTTGATGACATTGAAGCAGATCATGGAATGTCTTCAAAAAATATGAGAGGATTTGATTTGGGAATCAGTACACTTTTTATATTAGCTCAGACAATTTGTTCGTGTTTAGCAGGAGTATATAATGAATACTTATTGAAAGATAGAGGTTCAGAAGTTAATATTTTTATACAAAACGTTTTTATGTATTTGGATTCTATAATTTGTAATGCTGTGATACTTTTGTTGCAAGGAAATTTGTTAAATGCCCTTTCTTTAAATAGTTTAAAGTCTTTATGCAGAATTACTGTAATTATTATTATTTTCAACAATGCTGCGATTGGTATAGTTACCAGCTTTTTTTTAAAATACATGAACTCTATACTAAAAACTTTTGCCAGCGCGCTGGAACTTGTTTTTACAGCAATTTTAAGTTACATATTATTTTCAATACCGATTTATTTAAATACTGCATTGTCAATTTTGATTGTTTCAGTTGCTATATACCTGTACACACAAAGTCCCGTAGTGAACTTGGGAAAAATTAAATCTTACCAAGTATCTGAAAATAATGTATCTACAGAAAAATTACTTACTGATAACGATATAGATGTTTAAACACAAGTAGATAACAATATTTGAAAAATGATAGATATTGAATTTAAAAATGTTTTTTATATTATTTTAATAATTTTATCGCTCATTATTACACATGCAATGTACTATATGTACATATTCATTTTTTGTTTTTGTTATTTTTAATGCTGATAATTTAATTAAAAATAAGTATGATATAACATTAAAGATAAAATTTATGTTTTGATAAAACTTTTAAAACGATATTCTTTAATAGGTTTCAAGACAAAATTACATACGAACAAAATTGCGTAAGACAAATTTCTAGTATAAAGTATTCTAAAAAAGTAGGGAATAGCAAGAAACAAAATATGTAACTTGTTTTCCTCAATTTGTAATAAAACTGCCCGTTCATGGAACAAAAAAAATTTCATTTTATAATAAAAACAGGTCAAAAAAAATTATATGCTATAACTATGTATAATATTATTTACGAAACTTTTTAATTTCAATTACCATTCAATATTTAGAATTGAACAAATAATTTACAAACAAATAACTCGTGAAGTAACATAGTAATTGAGGTATAGTTTATTACACTTTGCTCAATAAACAGAAAATTAAACACAGGAATCAAATTTGAACAAATATTAATAAATAGCATTTTAACTGTATTATTCGACTTAGTAGTATGGCGAACATAATATTGTTGTAAGTGCGTAGTACCAAAAATTTTATTACTTAATTTATTGCAATTAGTTGCAATAAAATATTTATTATTAATATATTCATACCAAATATTCATTAAAAAGAATAATTTTAATATCTATTTAATATAGTAATTTAATCAACATGAAAAATGATTATGAATGCAAATATTTTATTTGGAATTTCTATTTTAGTCAAATTAAATTTTAAGTTACTAATTTGAATATTTTTTTAAGATTTTAAATATCATTTTGTATTTCATTTTTAGAATGTACGACATTTTTATGTTTCAATAATAATTATGTTTTGTTGAAAAATTACAACATTAAGAATAAAATCATAATACTGACATAACAAATAAGCAGGTATTCAATTATTTTAAAATTAGTTATATACCTACCTGTTACAAACTTTATAAAATGTAGTCATGAAATTTAATTTGTACTAAATTGTTAAAATAACAAAAATATAATTTTATTTGAATCTATTGCACATATTTTAAAATTATATGTTTAGTAAAACTAAATTTAAAATTCAAGACTTTCAAAAATATTAAAGCTTTTAATAATGTTAATTTAATTTTTAATCAAAACTTTCTGTTTTGTTAAAAATTTTTTAATTAAATTAAGTTGGATTTTTAATATTTTCAAAGCATAAATACGTGGGTATTTTGTCATGATTTAAATTTAAACAAAACATTTCTGATTGTATTGCAAGTAACCTACTTATACTGAACATAAAAAAAATTTTGATTCTAACGTAACATTTATTTTCATCAAAATTCTTATAATCCAATTTTCATTAATATGAAAAAATTAAATTAAAGAAAAACGCAAATTTCTATTTAGTTTTACGTGAAATCAGTTTAAGTTCCCTCGTCCAAATTAAGTTATTTACAAGTTCTCCGAACAAATATAATACTATGGTGAAAGCTAATATAATCAAAAAGAAAATAATACGGGTGTAAATATTCAAAACGTCTAAAATTGGGTAAACCCAAAATCCACCAATATAACGTATAATATGTATCCATATCAAATACAAAATCATAAAGGTTGATAAAACTCCAAGTCCTGTCCTACGGTTAGGATAAACTCGGAATGTAGTAAACATTTCTAATGATATAAATATCATAATATTTGTGTGCATAATATGGTTAAGCCACCTAAAATTATAAAAAAGGAAGAGTAATAATAATTTCTTTTAAATATAAATTTTAGAAATCTCACCATGGAAAAATAAGATCTAACGCTTTTGGAAATACTAATTCGCGGTCAATAGCCATTAAAGTCCAGAATGTTATTCCCACATTCATTGCTATTGGAAAAGCTAAAGAAGCAAGCAAAAAGTCCTTTAATTTCCTGATCAGGGGAAGGTTATTAGCAGATACTTCATTAGATCCAAAAAAATCGTTTACAAGACATATTGCAAAATAGACAGCTTGCAATACCTATAAAGAAATAAAGGAAGTTTATTACAACAAAATAAAATAAAGTACAATGTAACTACAATATATCAGTAAAATAGTAGAAAAAAGATTATTATAAGTATTTCAAAAATATTTTATTTAAAGGAACAAAAAATATTACCGCATCAATGAAAGTTAGAAATTTAAATTTTCCACCAAAAGGCTTGGCCGCTGGCAATTTGTGTTGATGTTCCAGCTGTTTAGCGTGAACGTATGTATAATCGTAATATATTGCATAACTGAATTGTACAAAGGCTATAAGATGCACTGCAATTTAATAGTATCGACAATAGAATATATTTAATACACATTAAATTTTGAAAATGTGAATCTAAAAATTTTAAAACAGGTAGGTGTCTACATAATTACCTAAAGTTTTTAAAGTGGAATAAACCCCCCTATGAGCTACTTCCGCATTTGTTTTATTAGATTTGTTTTTTGACATTTTAAAAAACACTCTTTCGTTTTTTCTAAATTCAAGCTAAAATTAATCACTACTAATTTTTTATCACGTCTTAAATTTCAAAGTCCACTTTTACTAGGTATTTCGTAACATCAATCTTGAGTGCCCAGACATTTAATTATTCAAATTTATTACAAAACTTTTAATTTCCTAATTAAAATTCACTATTTTATTAATGTGGTGCACTTTGAATTGTACACTAATATTTAAAATTTTTTTGATATTTTATGATTGATAAACGTAAACAAAAAGTAAGAACTATGTTACATATACATCTAACACTTCCAAAGTTATAGGTAACCTCATTTAATTTTGCAGATATGCAGATTTTTTGCATCGTGGCGAACATCAATGTACCCGGTATGCGGTAAATAAGCCTACTAAGCAGTAACTACACCGTTGCGGCAAACCGATTTTTTAGCTTGATAATATTATATATTTGTCGCTATAAAAATATGATTGTCGTTTGTGTAAAATGCAAGCAAATCCAACAACGCATACTTAGAATTAGAAATTCTAATCTTATGTACTAATAATTTATGTTCTTATGTAAATTGTACTAAAGTATAAAATCTAACAGGCGTTTTTTATTTTTAATTAAAACAAAATGAAGTACCACTACATAAAAATCATGAATGCCAAGTAGATTCACTTCAAAAATCTCACCTCAACGTTCAGCTCAAAAAAGTTTTAATTCAAAAAATAAGACAGAAGTTTCATAACTACAAGACTGCAAATTTAGTATATGCGAAAGCGACACGAAACGTAGTCTAAAAATTTAATGAACGAAGAACTAGTATCTACATTGGGAACATATGTAATAGATTGGATTAGTGTGATGTAAACGCAGAGTCGAGCTCAGGGCTGCCGTTTGATAACACAAAATTTTAAGAGTACAAGCAAAGTGAGTTCTATTTGAATTTGTTTTTTTTTTTTTCAGATATGACATTTATTTGAAATATTTTTAAATAAACAAAGTTTAAAACCTTTGTTTTCTTTTATATTCTTTTATATTCTTTTAATTAAAATTTTAAATAAAAATTTTAAATAAAATATTCAACATATTTAAGTTCAAGTTAGAAACAAATAAATACGTCCCGTTACGAATATGATTTGACAATATTCTTTTTGAAGAGATAACTAGGACAAACAAAAAAATTGGCTTCTATGATTTTTCAAGATGCTTTTTTCTTTTGTGATTCTAACTCGCTTTCTGTAGCGTCACAATTTATGAGAAAATTCTTCTTTTCATTCAAACAAATTGAAAAATATTATCTCCCTATAAAATATTAATATTCCTTGTGTAATAATAATAATAAGTGTAATGGGATTGTAGTAGTACTTGCAACTTTCTTTAGTTTAAAAAACAACAAAAACATGATTGTTTAAATTTTTAAATTCCAGATTTTTTAAATACCAAAGAACCTGATCCACCCCTATAAAAAATCCGTTACACCCATGTTTTTATTTTCATTAATAACTATAAATTTTTTGTTGGTTTTGTTTACTTTCGTCATTTTAAGTATTGTAAGTCTAACGAAATTGGTTTGTTTAGTTGTACAGTATAACCGCATAATTCTGGCATTTATTGCAAACGCCCCTAATATTAAGTGTTTTTTTTTTATTATATGTACAACATACTTTCATAAATTTTGGTATTACATTTTTTTAAACGAAAAAAAAATGTTGAAATTTGTAGTTTACGTTTTATATATTTTATTTTTATTTAATACAAACATAAGTTGTAGCAAAGTATTTTTGAATTCTGCGAACAATCAATTCTTAAAAGATACGTTCTGGGAGAGAAATTCACCACCATGTGAATATGATAAAATAATTTTTCCGAAAGTTTATCCTGCAGCATTAATCTTGCCAAAGCAATTGGATATAGATAGCATCATTTTACCTAGGGAAGGTGTACTTATTTTGGGAGAATTATCAAATTTTGAATCACTTGTTTCTTTCACAAACACCGATCAAAAAGATATGAGCAAAAATAAAAATTGCAAAAATGTTAATAATGCAGCCATATTAAAATTTGACTCTAATTACACTAAATTTTGGTTTGACCCTCAAAGTTGGAAATCATCTGAAAATATTAGTAAAGCAACTCCAGATTTAGAACGAATTCCATGTTCATATGATACCGTTATATTTCCAAACAGTGGTGTCGTGTCAGTCAATTTCGAAAACATAAATTCATTAAGCGTAAATGGAATTGAAATGGGAGGTGAAAATACTACTTGGGAGATATTTCAACATGATTTATATTCTGATGTAGCGCATATTATGTTTCAGGAGGCACTTGACTTTACTGTTAAATTTAATAAATTCTTAGATAAAGATGAACATTGCAACTGTCATGATTTTGATTTATATTTTGATTATGAAAAAAGGGTGTGCTCTCATGTAAAAAAAAAATGCGAAATAAATTATCCTAAATGCTTAGATCCAATTAAACCTTTTGGTTATTGTTGCGACATCTGTGGATCAATTTTGACAATGGATATTGATGATTGCAAATCTTTTGACTTAGAACGTTTTAAAAACTTTATAAAATTGGAAATTAAAAACCAAGGTAAGAAAATACACGTATACATACACACATACACTAATAAATTTTTAAAAAACATAATGTATAAATTTTGTCTTCTAGGACTGGACGGATATTTAGATTATCACGTTAGTAAAATATATAATGGTCGTTACTTTATTCAGCTAATAGTTCTAGATAAAAATGACTATGATGAGATGAGCACATATTTTATAAAACATCTGAATAAAACAATTTTGCAAGAGAATTATTCGTTGAACATGAAAGTATTTTCTTTGTCTGGAATGAAGTTTGACAAGAATAACCCGGGACATTCATGGAAATATATTATTTTGCCATTTCTTTTCACTTTAATATTTTTTGCAATATTATACATGCATTTTGTTGCTGGATATGTTCAAGTACCAAATTGGTTATACCGAAACCGGTTTGGATTCTTCAGATCTTCGTTTGTATTTGCGCGTTTTGATAACAATCAAGGTGAAATAGAAATTCCCGAGAACTTAAACAGGCCACCTATACATGTTGAAGGATTATATGAAACTAATAATAGTGATGTTAATTTAGATGTTTCACGATCTTTTGATAATCCAATGTTTGATGAAAAATTGGAAGTTCCAAACTCTTCAAATATTGAAAATATATCCATGGCTTCTGACTCAACTGAGTTGACTATGATTTGTTTAGATGATAATTAAGTTGAATTTCAAATAATTTTATGTATCTAAGTATTGATAGTACCAAACAAACAAAAATTAAAGAACGCAATACATTAATCAAAATCAATCATTTATTAATGTTTCAATATCTTAACGTTTTCATTCTATATATATGTATGTATAACATATTTAAATACATACATATGTAAATTATTTATATTTAGGTTTTTACAATAAATAAAGCTATCAGCTCCAGACTAGGAGTACAAAAACTTTTTTGACAACGGAAATGAAGTATTTTTGTCGACCTTTGATGTAAAATTCGTCGTGTAAATATTGACTAAACTTCAATTATGTTAAAAATGACATTTTGTAGTTTGTCAATCATTTGTAAATTTCTGCATCATTTGAAAATAATATTTGTTATCCTTAAGCAAAAAAGTTAAGAAAAGTTAAAATCTAAAGATTTTTTTTTTGAAGTGGGCAAATTTTTTGCAATTGAAATACATTAAAAAAACTAAATAAAAATTTTGTCAAAATGTCTTATATGTTACCACATTTACATAATGGGTGGCAAGTAGATCAAGCAATACTATCAGAAGAAGATCGAGTTGTTGTAAGTCTTATGATTTAGCTATACAAGTTTATGGAAATTCTAACGTCACTTTTATATTAAATATATGTAGGTAATAAGATTTGGACATGACTGGGACCCCGCGTGTATGAAGATGGATGAAGTTTTATATAGCATAGCTGAAAAGGTTAAGAATTTTGCCGTTTTTTATTTAGTCGACATAACAGAAGTACCAGATTTTAACAAAATGTATGAGTTATACGATCCTTGTACTGTTATGTTTTTCTTTCGGAACAAGCACATAATGATAGATCTGGGCACTGGTAATAATAACAAAATTAACTGGCCTCTTGAAGACAAGCAAGAAATGGTAGATATAGTCGAAACGGTATACCGTGGAGCTAGAAAAGGAAGAGGTTTGGTTGTTTCTCCAAAGGACTATTCTACAAAATATAGATATTAAAACTATAATAATTATAAAGTAAATTATTTGATTTTAAATTATGTATAAGTATATTCAACTAATAAAAATGTAAGAAAATATTTTTAAAATGAATCTTTATTCTGTCCACCTATGAGTGCAATTTTGATTTGTGCAAACATAATATAATCTCATTTCCTCTTCAGCTCGTCTAGTTTGGGCTTGAAAAAATACAGCTTCTCTATGTCCACATTTTGGACACGCGTGATCTTCTGTCCTCGGCAATGTTGGATCCGATATCACATCTGGTACAATATGTGTCAATTCATCAATTTCGTGCATAATTTTGTTAACATAAATGCAATTTGAATCAGCTTCCTGTTTGTAATCGCAATTCCTACATGCATATAGTAATACTTTGCTGTCTTTGTCTTCTTTTGGGTAGAGCATGTTATTACATTCCTGGCAAAATCGAATACCCACGAATCCGGGGCCTTCATTTGAAGTAACTTCATATCCCGCCATTATGGTTCACTAATTACCAAACAAACAGGAAGTAAAATTTTTGCTTACTAATTATAATAAAGAAACTATTATTAAAAACATTAATATTTTTAAGGACTCACCTGAAACGAATTTTTTTTTGTTATGAACATTAAAATACGTGCAGACAGAGTTGCAAACTGGTCTGGTCTAATTTCAATAGATAAAGTCGGCTTACATTCTTTGTATATCGGTTGTCAGCGCAAATTTTACGAGTTAGTACAACCATAAATGGATGCAGTTTACCGTATGCGGCAATGAAAATTATAGTATTTTTTGTAATGTACTGTTTCAATTTATGTACTGTTTACACACCAAAACCTACACGACATATAAATTATGCACATGACATATGACTTTGCAAAAGTTCACAATAAGTTACATATACTTCATAAAATTCAGCAAAATTTCACAATTCCCTTAAAACTATGCAATTTGCAGACAATAATTTTTTTAGAAAAATTGAAAAATGGTAACCGGTGTGTCAAAATTTGACACTTTGAACACATGTTAATATCTGTAAAACTAAAAATATTCCTTCCCCGTCTTAACAGTTTTCAATTCTAGAACCCAAAAGATATTCAATATCAATATCAAATTTTATTCACTTGTGGACGTTGCACATTTTGTGTTTTAAGTGTTCGGTTATTTGAAATAAATATTTAGTAGACACATTTATATTAGAATTTAGAATAAAAAAAATAATGGTATGTAACTGTTGAATAGCTTCCTTAAATGCTCTGTTTAAATTTTACATTAAATTGATAGAATACAAAATATAATTTTAGGCCGAAAGAAAAGGAACATTTAAAGTTGAATATTTGCAAAAAATTGAAAGAGAGGTGCAAGCGAATTGGGAAAAAGAAAAGATTTTTGAGATAGATGCTCCGCTTGAACCTCGAAAATCTGTAGAAGAAAAATTTTTAGTAACTTTCCCATTCCCTTATATGAATGGACGTCTTCATCTGGGACATACATTTTCTCTATCTAAAGCTGAATTTGCAGTAAGATATGAACGCTTAAAGGGAAAAAAATGTTTATTCCCTTTTGGGTTTCATTGTACAGGAATGCCAATAAAAGCATGTGCTGACAAACTAAAACGTGAGTTAGAAGAATATGGATATCCACCCAAATTTCCGAATATGCAGGATGAAGAAGAACAAACTGAAGAAAAAGGTGATGCACCGAAAAACAAAGCAAAGGGTAAGAAAAGTAAGGCTGTTTCAAAAAGTGGTTCCGCAAAGTTTCAGTGGCAAATAATGCAAAGCTTAGGGTTAAAGGATGAAGAAATAAAGAATTTCGCAAATACTGAGTATTGGTTAGAATATTTTCCACCATTGGCTATTACTGATTTAAAAAGTATAGGACTTCACGTAAATATTTTTAATACAGTTTTTGAATTCTGAAATAATTTGTCACATAATTTTAGATTGACTGGAGACGGACATTTATTACAACAGATGCAAACCCTTTTTTTGACTCATTTGTTCGTTGGCAGTTCGTGCACTTGAAAAACAGGGGAAAAGTAATGTACGGAAAACGTTATACTATCTATTCACCCAAAGATGGTCAACCTTGCATGGACCACGACCGATCAACTGGTGAAGGCGTTGGTCCGCAAGAGTACACGCTTATTAAAATGATATTAAATGAAATTCCCGAGAAATTACGGATGGTGAAAGCTAAAATTTATATGGTAGCAGCAACATTGCGACCAGAGACTATGTATGGTCAAACAAATTGTTGGCTTCACCCTGACATTGAATACATCGCATTTCAAACTGTAAAGTCTGATGAAGTTTGGATTTGTACCCGTCGCGCAGCTTTAAATATGGCCTTTCAAGGTTTTACACCAGTTGAAGGAAAAATTGAGATTTTGGCCTCTTTTAAAGGACAAGAGTTATTAGGATTATCATTATGTTCGCCTTTAACTTCACACAAATATATATATACTTTGCCTATGCTTACAATTAAAGAAGATAAAGGAACCGGGGTAGTGACATCAGTGCCTTCTGATTCTCCAGATGATTATGCAGCTTTAGTTGATTTGCAAAAAAAGGAAGCATTCAGAATAAAATATGGTATCAAAGATGAAATGGTATGTCCATATAAACCTGTTCCTATAATTGAAGTCCCGACATTAGGCAAACTCAGTGCAGTTTATGTCTACGAAAAACTCAAAATTCAGAGCCAAAACGACAAGGACAAACTTATTGAAGCTAAAGAGTTGTGTTATTTAAAAGGTTTCTACGATGGCGTTTTATTAGTAGGTGAGTTTAGTGGAAAGAAAGTGCAAGATGTTAAAAAAGAAGTTCAAAAGAAATTGATTGAAAAAGATGAAGCTGTAATTTATTATGAACCGGAAAAAACTATTATTTCTCGGTCTGCCGATGTTTGCGTAGTAGCATTGTGCAACCAGTGGTATTTAAATTATGGTGAATCACAATGGTTAGGTCAAGCATTTAAATCATTGGAGAAGATGGAGTGTTATCACACAGAAGTACGAAATAATTTTGAAGCGTGCTTAAATTGGCTTCACGAATATGCTTGCTCAAGAACATACGGTCTGGGAACTAAATTGCCATGGGATGAACAATGGCTTATTGAGAGTTTGTCTGATTCAACAATTTATATGGCATTTTACACCGTGTGTCATCTGTTACAAAATGGCTCGTTTAGGGGAGAGAAACCCAGTCCAATCGGTATAAAACCTGAAGATATGACCCCAGAAGTTTGGGATTATATATTCTTTAAAGAAGCCCCGCAACCAAAAAACTCTTCTATTAAAAAGGAACATTTGGAATTGATGAAAAGGGAATTTGAGTACTGGTGTGTGTTATTAAAGGCTTTAAATTGAAAAATTAAATTCATAAAAATAAATATTTCAGGTATCCAGTCGATCTTAGAGTTTCGGGAAAAGATCTACTCCAAAATCATTTGACCTTTTTTATTTATAACCATTGCGCCATATGGCCTAACAGTCCAGATAAATGGCCACGAGCTGTTCGTTGTAATGGTCATTTACTATTAAATTCGGCAAAAATGTCGAAATCTGAGGGAAATTTTCTTACTTTATATGAAGCTGTTAAAAAATTTTCAGCAGACGGAATGCGATTATGTTTGGCTGATTCTGGGGATAGTATCGAAGATGCTAATTTTGTAGAAAGTAATGCTGATGCTGGAATATTGCGCTTGTACACATTCATTGAATGGGTTAAGGAAATGCTAGCATCAAGGTTAATGCTACGAAAAGAAAAAAACAATTCATTTAATGATAAAGTATTTATAAGCGAAATGAATTTAAAGACACAGCAAACTGATGAGTATTATAAGAAAATGTTATATAAAGAAGCTCTACGTACTGGTTTTTATGAGTTCCAACAATGTAGGGACAAATATCGTGAGCTATGTGGCAGTGCTGGAATGCACGTTGATCTAGTTGAGGAATTTATTCGGCGACAAGCACTTTTAATTAGTCCAATTTGTCCTCATGTGGCTGAACATGTATGGTCCTTATTAGGTAACAAGGAAACTATATTGAAATCTACGTGGCCTACTGTTGGACCAATCAATGAAATTGATATACAATGTTCAGAGTATCTAATGGAAGCTGCACATGTATTTCGTATAAATTTGAAAAATGCTTTACAGGTTCGTATTAAAGGAGGGAAGGAAAAGTCAGTCGAACCTAGTGTTAAACCAACAAGTGCTACAATTTGGGTAGCTAAAAATTTCCCACCTTGGCAAAATTGTGTTTTAAATACGATGAAGGAACTTTATGAAAAGAATAATGGTCTACCAGATAATAAAGTTATCGCGGCAGCACTTCAAAATAAAGATGAATTGAAAAAGTATATGAAAAGAGTAATGCCATTTGCGCAAATGGTGCGAGAAAAAGTTGAAAGCGGTAAAGGCAAAGCGGCTTTAGCTACTGTATTAGACTTTGATGAGAAAACGGTTTTGCAGAATAACTTGGAATATTTAAAACATACATTGGATGTAAGATCTTTAAATAAAACAAACGAGATTCTAATTAATGTTGAAACTATTTATTCTTTTTATGTAGTTGCAACAATTGGAAATTAAGCATACTGATGATCCTACTGCTCCCGCAAAGACGAGAGAAGAAGTTAAGCCGGGTTCTCCGTTTATTAATTATGAAATCGCACCTAATATATCGGTAACTCTTCAAAATCCAATTCAACGCTCTGGACTTTTTACCGTAGATACAGTCATATCAGATGGCGAAACCGTAACCACTTTTTATGAAAAAGTTGCGAGAATAATTGGTTTAAAAGGTAATTAACAAAATAAATTAAAATCTTTTGCTTGTTATTTATAATAACAACACATTTGTTAACTTTATTGGCCGAACTCCCTACACCAGTGAACAAGTAAACTTATAAAGAATAGTTATTGGTTGAATAGTTATTCAAATTGTGTAGAAAGTTTGAATAATTCAGAAACACTATTTAGAATAGAGTTTTATTAATATAAACTGATAAATATGTAACTTGCTAATTCTGTATAATTATAAACTAAAAAATGTTAATTATCTTTACTGTAGATTTCAATGCCCTAAAAATATGGCGGTTTCAAGATCCGGTTTTGGGTCCAAGAAGAATACCTTTATTTGAAGACTATAAAACTGGTAAAATAGAATTAACCGAAGGACGTTTGCAAGTTAGCAATGAGAAAAAAACATTGTATTTATTAACTAATGGAAAATCTATTGAAATTGGAAAAAATTTTATTTATGTCGTTGAATGATAATAATGCTGAAAACTTTTCATAAACTTAATAATTTATTTTGATTTTTGTAAGATTATCATAACAAACATACATATATGAATTTTTTAAATAAGTATGTATTTGTAAAAAAAATATGAAAAACTTAAAGTATAAAATAATTTGTTTTTGTATTATTTATTTTTTATTATCCCTATTTGACATATTTCTGTGCATACTAATTTTAGTTTTAATTCTTTTAATATTTTTGACTGTCTACATTGTCTTTATTTTATTTAATTCTAAATTTAAGTTAACAAAATTTAAATATTAGTTTTTTCTTTAATCCATTCTCTTACATAAGAAACACGTGAATAAACACCAGGATAATCTGGTTTTGCACATCCATAACCCCAAGATACCACCCCTACTAAAACATTATTGTGATTCAACGGGCCGCCGGAATCTCCTGGTTTATAAAACAAATCAAATAAAAAAAAATTAAATTTAATAAAACAAAAAAAAAATCATTACCTTGACAAGCATCTTTTCCACCTTCTATATAACCAGCACATAACATTCTTTCTGTTACTCCCCCATAGTCTTTATATTTTTCAAAACAAAGTTCTTGATTAAAAACTGGCACTTCGGCTTCACGAAGCCAATTACGCTTTTCCACTTCATTTTGCGTATTACCCCAACCTGAAACCCTACAAATGTCACCGTCCAATACTAATTCTTTTGAATCAGGTAATTTAATAGGTCGCTTGTTCTCATCAAATTCTATATTAGATTCTAATTCCAATAAAGAATAGTCATAATCTACGGTACTGATGTTAAACTTTTCGTGTTGGACTATTTTTTTTACTTTGATAACATTACCGCCACTTGCATAAGTAGATGTACCTAAACGTATTTTCATCCTATCAGCCAATTGACCGCTGGAAAATTATGTTTTTATTAATTATTTCTAACAAAATAATCAAAAATACTACAACGTATTGCAAATAGAAATTGATGCATATTCCTTGCATATACATACGTACATTATATTAGTAAGTATTTACGTATACATAGGTAATATAATAAATATCAAAAAAATTTATATATACCTTGTACAATGGGCGGCTGTAAGTATCCACTTTTCTAAAAAAATAAATTGAATTAGCACATTAAGCGTTTTCATAAAAACAGTATATTGTGATATATGTATGTATGTATAGCCAGCGCAGCATTCGTAAATAAATGATGCGAATTAGTTTCTTTGTTGACGTATGAAAATAAAATTTAAAAACTAACTAACCACTAATAATTGATCCACCACAGATATGACCATATGAAGTTTGTAAAGATATTTGATACGGTGCATCTGTAATATTAATTTTATATCCACCTACAATTCTACCATCTAACTTTGGTTTGCGTAAAATTTCTCCCACAAAACCTATTCCATATGCTTATAAATTTGAATAAATACAGTATTTTTAGTGTTCTCATTTTTCTTTAAAATTGAAAAACTTGATTACTTACCGTAAATTAAGTTTATATAAACGAATAAAACTAAAATTATTCTTTCCATATTTTATAATAATTGTGTAGATTTTCAATAAAAATTTCAAAAATATGTATTTAATTTCAAAAAAATTTCATGCGGCCACCTAAAGTTACTCAAGACTTATTGATTAATATGAAATAATTTTAATTATTATTTATTTTTATACTATAATTTCAATAAATTCAATCAATATGTACATACTTATATATATGTATGTACATACATATTAAATTTAATATCAACTCTGCAGGAGTTTTTATATTTCTTTTTTGCAGATAAAATTTAAAATTTTTATAGAACAGATTAAACTCAGCAAGAAGTACAGACCCAAATAGATAAAAAGGAAATTATTTGATTTTTAGGCTTAAAATAGAAATAATAAGTTAAAAGTATCTGCTTTTAAATTATCTGGTTGTAGTTAGTTTAAGTCGTTTATAGAAAACAATTTGTATTAACTTAAGTATTGGAATTTTATTTTAAAAGTCTTTGTCTTCAGATTAAAACTAGGTAAAGTGGATACTAAAACAAGGTTATGCATTTGAATTAAAAAACAAATTAAAACTTAAAAAAGAAGTTTGAAAAAAAAATTACATACATACATACAAACTATGTGTTTTTTTCTCTTTTCTTTATATTAAATTTATTATCCTAATAGGTACTTGTAAACTAGAACACTAGATATTATCTGTTTAGTAAGTAATATGTATACATATGTACATATATCCGTATCATAGAAAAATAAAAATTTTTATTCAAAGAAACACACAAATGAAATTTTTTTTATTAAAGAATGAATTTAATCGAAAATGTTTTTAAAAATTCTTTAAAACAAATAGGCATAAGAAAGACTTGAAAACAAATATTATTGTACTCGTATAATCTGTTATATTTGTTCTATGCCAAGTCTATGTTTATATAAAAGATGTCCCTTTTCGTTGACTTAATATCCTCTTTATATTTAAATTAAATGTAAAATAAATTTTAAAAATAGTAATATCTACATTTATACTTGTTCTATATTTAAGTGTTTTTGCAAACCGCTTCGTTTCATTCTTATTCAATTGGAAAAATTTAATTCATAATAAATATATTATCAAAACAATAATGTACATGTGGGTTGAAATACTTAGGCTTACATATGTATGTATGTACACATGTACGGCAAAATATTGAGAAAATAAAAATAAAATAAACAAAATCTTATTAGATAATTCATTCAAATTCATTCTATAATTTTAGAGATTTCCATAAACACAATACTGCAAAACAATAACTGCGAAACGCAATACTACAAAAATATTACGCCTATAAATTAAAAAAAATTCGTTAGATTTACCTGCGCTACTCATGTTATTTCCAGCAATCACAATATTATCAACTTCAATAATATTTTTAATAGAAAATTTAAAGGAAATTTTTTCTATATGTATAATATATGCGCACATATTATACATTTACATACATGTATACAAAAGTAAATTACATAAAATAACATTGTTAACATACGGATGTCTATTAAGGCCTAATCCAGATAGGAATTTTTTCATATAAAATCTATTAACATATTCAATAATTTAAAAATAACAATACAATATGTATAGCAAAAATTATTCTGAAATCAAATTAAAATTACGGCCTTATCATTACCTACGGTACACATATATATTGTAAATAAAACCTACATACATATGTACATGTTCTTATTGCAAATACCTAATACACTTTTATAAAACAAATCTTATTGTTTTTGTTGCACGTATAAAGTTCGTTAGTTTATTATTAAATTGTATTCGATAGAATATTCATAAATTTTTTTTTTGTGGCATTCGTGAAGCGTGGAAATCCGGTAATGTGTTGCAAATATGTGCGCAGAGAGTAAGCAAACAAACTCAATGTTTTCATTTGGATTGTTTGCTCAATTATAAATACCTACATATTTTACTATAAAAGTGTAAGTATTGGAAAACTACGAATATTTTCTGTAAATTAATGAAACTTGAAAGATTTAAATTTTAGAATTTTGAGATTGTGGGAAATTCTCATGTATAGTAAAACTTTAGTTAAATTAAAAAAAAATTTGGCCTTTTTATTATACCTTAAGCACTCATCCCTCGCTTAACGAAAGCTCGTTATACGTAATTTCGGTTTTACGGAATTCGAAAATTAAACCAATGACTCTTTTAACGGAAAAAATATTCGATTTACGGAAAATTTCTAAAATGTATTTTTTGCAAATTAACAAGAAATATATGTACCTATGTATACACCTATGTAAACAAAAAATTATGTGGTTGGATCGTAATGTAAGTAAAAAGATTCGATTTACGGACAATATTTCCGAAACATATTAGTTCCTTAAAGAGAAGGATGAGTGTATACATAAATAATGTTTATACCTACATAACATTTATTCGTTATATTTTTATTTAGTAAAAAAAATATATTAAATCTAAAATAGTAGGAGTAAAATCAAAATGAGTAACAAATGCTCACCTTTTTAGTTTCTTTTTCTTCGTGCCTCGCATTTTTATTTTATGATTTTATATTGTACTCACGTTATTTTATCAATTGATAAATTATAAATGGTGTAGAATCACGTTGCAAGTACACGTGATTTTTTTTTACTGTTTGTTCATTTTCCAGCCGTAGGATGTATATATGTAGCTATACAATTATATATACAACAAAATAATATTAACGGTATATATATTTGTATTTAAGCGATCTACATATACATACATATACAATTTTTTTTAGTTTAGGATTTTATATGTGTATGATGTTATAGAAAATTTTATTATAAAAAAAAACTATAAAAATATGAAAAGTTTATTCAAGCAGTTTTCAATGTTCGATGACGTTTTATATAATTATTATGTGTATGTATATAAACGTTGCAAATTATTTTCAATGTGTTAATAAAATACCCACAAAGTCTACTTATTTTGTTCTTTGTTTACTTTTTTTCTATTCTCATTCTGTATTTAACAAAATGTACAATCTAATATTATACAGAATGAGAAGTTTGGTATGGTAATTTTTTTTTATTTTTATTTATTTTTGTTGTTTTGTTTTATTTTACATTCACATTTTCATTTAGAAACAAAAAAATAAAAAATATATACTTACAAAATTATTATTTCAATTGTTGCAATCGATCTATACGGTTATTCGATAATTTTGTTCGCGGCAAAGAAAACAAACTGTTATAATTGAATTAAATTTTTTGTTTTTTTTATTTAGAATCGTAATTATATGTATAACATATGAGTAAAATATATAAAAATTATTTATATAATACAAAAATTATAAAATAATACAACGGTATTTAAAATTTTTTTACAAAATTAAATATTCATTATATTTTTATCGTTTATTAAAAAAACGAAAAAAGGAAAAATAAAATAATTTACATCATATAACAATAATTAAATAATTATAATATATTTATATATGTTATGCCCTTCGGTGATCAAACGGCTGTGTAATATTGCTGTGGAAAAGGAATACTTATATTAAATATCGGATATAGTAACAAAGATTTTAAATTATTTTGAAACAATTTATTTTCAATTAAATATACATAAATTATTTCATAATATTGAATCAAAAGGTCGTATTTAATAAAGTGTAATAGGTAAAAAACATAAATCTATTATATTGTAGAACATTTGAATATTTCAAAACAAGTGAAAATTTATTATAATAAAAAAAAAAAAAATATCAATGAATCAGTTTAATACTAATTACAACTATTTTTGAATTTGGAAAATCAAAATAGAATAAAATTCTAAAAATTAAATAGTGCCAAATCAAAATTTTTGCTTTTGTAAAAATAATAAAAAAAAAAACTTAAGGAATATTCCTATAATATATATATATATATATATATATATATATATATTTATTCATACATACATATGTGTAAAAAGTTAAAAAAATTAAAATCTTTTTGAAGAAAAAATAGAAAATAAAAATGAATGAATGAAAAAAAAAATTAAAAGTAAAACTTACATATATATATACATGCACATTATAAAAGCTAAAACATATACATATATAATATTGACAAGTTTAAATTAATAATTGACTTTATTACTTTGGATTAATTACTATATTTTTATAATATATCAATTAGAAATCAAAATACTAAAAGGTCAGTATAAGTCTTTTTTAAAATAAAGAAATAGAAAATTTCTCCAACTACTTATACTCGTATTATATATACACGTATAATTAATAAGAACCACATAATATCAAATAATCATGAATGCATCCATTATTAACCTTTTATATACATATAAATAATGTATTACAGTGATTGATAGCATTCAAATTTTTGTATAGATTGAAGTATATATCTAAGAGTTTAAAAGAGAAGCTGCCCATAATTTGCTAATATTACGCATTTATTAAAGAACATTATTTAAAAATGTAATATTGTTACTAATTATTATTACGAAAAAATTTGTTAAAAAAATACGAATTTCGTAAAAATTTATAGCAATGGTAATGCGAAAATTTTTTTTTAAACTTTACTTTTTCGTTGTATAAAAATTTTTGTGTAACGGTCCAATACGAATACGAGAATAGAATAGAACGGTCCAAAGAACTGTGTGATATCTGTACTAATGAAAGATTTTAAGTACTGTGTGCCGATTGTCACACTATTTCATAAGTACTTCGGGTTTTTTTAATTCGTTAATGCGAAATTTCAGCAGTGTAATATCATGAATAGTTTCCATAATATATAACCAAATGACTTTCAAAGTTGTATGGCAGCTAAAACTAGAAGTCAAGAAATTTCAACTATTTTTATCCGATATACTTAAGAGCCGTAATAATATATTTGCTTGTGGAAAATTTTAATACTCTAGGTTCTATATAATTTCTGATATAAATCATTTGTGAAAATTTGGTAAACTTAGCTCATTAAGTTTTTTAGTTAGAACGGACGGACATACAGGGTAAAATCGTCTCAGAATTTGATGCTGATCAAAAACTTACCTATATTTCAAACCATTATTTCTTAGAGAAACAATCGAATTTATTGTAACCTTCGAACTTATGTATGTTCGTATGGATATAAAAATTAAAGAGATATATAAAATAGCATATCATTTTATTTATATTATGAGAATTTCAAATTAGAAAATATACATATATACTTACCCAAATACAAACTTAAAAAACAAGTCTTAAGTTGTAAACTAAAAAAATAATATCTATTAAACCCCCAACTAGTAGTATTGTAAAATCACAATAATTAGCAAAATAAAACAAAATGAAGGCAAATGATTTTTTCTCTCGGTTTTTCCGTATGGTGTTGTGAGTTATGACAGTGTTAAACTTTAATTGTATAATTGTATTAATTAAACAATTATTTATATAATTTGGAAAAATTGATACCTATGTAGGTATTTCGTAAAATTTCAATAAAAAATAAAATTAAATAAGCGCATAATAAATTAAAGTTTTTAGTTTCATTTTAAATTACAAAGAAATTTAATATATTTCGTTTTACTTTTTTTATATTATTGATTAAGAATTCATACATATGTATGAATTCATAACTGTACAAACTGATATACGTAACTAAACATACTTTACACCTTTACACGAATATGAAACATAATTAATAATTAGCATAAAAAATTCTTCTCATTCTTAAGGTTAAAAATTTTTATTTAAATGGAATCTATATGATAAACTGTAAAATATTTTAATATGTATGTATGTAATTAAATTAATTTCAATTCGTGCCAGAAAATAACGTGCAAACATTCATATACCACGTACTTATGTATGTATACAAATTCACCCAAAATAAGAAAACAAACTATAATATCAGAGTAAATTTCAAACATCTTCATTTTTTTGAATTCAATACAAAAAAAATTTCTAAATACGACATTTTGTCTCTTTTTCTTTTCTTTTTCTTATTTAATTTTGTTATGCTTCGTAATTATTTTTATATTACAAAACATTCGTCCAATGCAGGTGACTTTTTTGAATGGGAATTAAAATGTGAATAATACACATTTTATGTATACATATGTGCACTATACTCACATTACTATAGAGTGGATCATGTGGCGTTACTCGTATTGTATCATGCAAATAGAATTAAATACAAAATTTTTATATAATTTTTATTAAGTATATTAAATTAATTAGTCGTGTGGTAATAACTGTAAAGGATGTAAGAGAAATAGTTGTGTGAAAATGTGTACATACAAGAAGGCGGTATTTACGCACTTTAAAAAAATTCTGTATTTTTTTTTATCTATAACATATCTTTGCAAATATTCATAAAACACGTATTTTTATTAAAAAAAAAATTAATAATTTAAATTCACCTTTTTATATGTGTACACATATAATTTACAAAAAATACGATTTTTAATTTAATATTTAATTTTCATAATTTTTATAATTATATTTTAAATGTTATATTCTAACTTAGAAACTAAAGTACAACTTATATACAACTTCCTATAATATTTTAGCAATTAAACCATTAATGACAAAAATCTAATTATCTATTTAAAATTTTCAAATCTGTGTTAGCACATTTATGCAGTATTTGGTAACTTGTTCTATGTAAAAAATGTAATTTTCTCATTACTTAGATTATGCATATATGATGCAGAATTGGACCTTCATTCTAATTCTGAATATATTTATCCATATTGATATATAAATAAAAAACATAATATAAGACCATTTCTTACCGAAATTGCAAAATATTTTGATAAAACTACCGGCATCAGGATGTCCAGATTGGTACGTTTCAAATTTTTTTTTGGGACGTGTGACAAGTTTTTAACCCTTTATTCGTTTGCTACTTCATTTACAAATTAAAAACATTTAGAAAAATATTTTTTTTTTGCAATATCGCTCTCTCGTGTTGATTGGTGTTCTATAACCTTCGTTTCGATCATTGCGTAGTTGAAAATTTGTTTCTTACTACAACTTTGTCAAATTTGTAATAAATGAGGAACTTATTCATAATTTTTCCTCGCATACAACAATAATGTACCTACATTGTACGTGTATACTTGTATTTAGGTATAAAACAAAAAAGCTGTTGCGTTTACACAATTTTATAATTTTTATCAGCACGAACTTACATAATTCTTAGTTATAAAGGTAACTTGTTTTTTGCAGCTGCACGTTTCAAAACATTCATATGACTAAACTTTCTATAAAATCGCATTTGATACTCATAATAAATGGATTTATTAATTGCTTTTAATAACTTAGAAATCCTATTACATTTGCGTTTATTAATTTATAATGCTTTTTAGCACTTTTCCAAAAAAATTTTTAAAAAAAGTGCTTATTAATTTCATTCTGTCAATCCGTCCGTCCGTCTGTCTATCACCCCGTTCGTCTGTCCGTCCGTCCGTGGACCCGTTTACAAAAATTCTACGCCCTTGAAGATATAAAACTAAAATTTCATATGTACAACCTTTACTAGAAAATTACCTATCCCTCCCCCTCCAAAAGTTTTAGCGGCCTGAAACCCTAAAAATTCCTTTTTTTTTTCTATCTATTGCAGCGAAATTATGAGCATTTTTCAAAATTTGCAAACGCAGAAAAGTAGTGACTGGCTTCTTTAACCGCGAAATACCATACTTGAACTTTAAAAAAACAAAATGATCATTAAAATTTACCGTTATCTAAAACCGATTTTTTACAAATTTTTAATATCGTTTTTCTTATCGACCTCAGGTTGTAAACTGAAAGTTTAGCAGCTCTTAAATAAGATACTAATAAATAAATCATTTCATTAGAAGAAAATTTTTTTCACCTCAACCCCATCTCAAATTTACGCCTCTCGAAATTTCTAAAATTTGAATTTTTTGGCTTATATTTCCGAAACTGTAAGCTTTTCCAAATTTTTATAAATGCAGCATGGCAATGCTGATTTTCATGCTATTAAAAAATATAATTAATTTTCTTAACTCTACCCTCAAAATCGAGCATTATGTTAACGCCTGTTTAAATTTTTTTTTTGTTTAATTTCAAAGAATGCATATACAAAGCTCATCCTAAATGTATCAATTTATATTCATGTAAGTATATAAATGAAAGTAATTTTAGCAATGAAGGACACAGCTAGATTGTTTTTAAAAGTAATATTTTACCTTGTTGAAGAGAAAAGAGCTACATTACAAATCATTGGTTTGACCCAACTTTATTAAATTACATATAAATTAAAATTGTTCTAGTTTAGCATCATAGATTTTGATTATTATTTACATAGGCACAATTATATTTTTAAAATAATTTACTTAAAGCAGTTCCAATATATGGGTTTCATTTTTATGTTAAAACCGTCTAAGTTAACCATTTAATACGTTTAACTTCACTACATATCTACGTATATACATATTTGATTATGTTTAAACTATACCTTAGATAGGGCTTTTGATCCATTGGCCAAATCACATTAAAGCTCGAAAAGTTGATACTGACTCACAGAACTGTAGCTTTTCCTTATAATTTATGATCTTTACTTTAATAGTGTTGTGTGTGTATGCATGTATGTGTATAATAAAAATATTGCCCTAGCATAATATAAATTTAGCACTTATTTTTTATTATTATTATGTTGTATCTACTATTTACTTCTTTGCACAGACGTATAAACATAATAAAATACATAATACGTGTTAGTACAGTAACTAGTTTCAATGGTTGGCAGGAATATTGTTTATAAAGTTTTAATAAAGCTTTTATAACAATGAGGCATTTGAGAATTTAAAAGGAAAAAAAATCTAAAAAACTTGTTTTTATTAAATTTTTACTTTTTTTTACATTTCACGCGTTCAAAAATGTGATTTAAACAATATTATGTATAGTGAACATATTTCGTACAGAAAAATTCATTGCTGAATATTTTGCGTAACTCATAAAAAAATATTTTTCTAAATAATCGATAACGGTAGCACATATACATAGTGAGCTTTAATACAGCTCGTGGTCATTTTTTATAAATTTATAGTGTCGAATAAGTTCTATCAGGCCACAATATCCTGAGAGCAACATTTTATGTACTCATGTATGTATGAATGTAAAAATGCATGCACGCATGAATGTATGTACATACGTATTGGTATAAAAGAAATTGTTTAATACTTAATGATTTTAAGTACAATATCTTGATTCGAATACAAATCTACAAAAATCCATTTACAAAAAAATGTAATTACAAAATCAAACAAATTTAACCTTTTCCGTTTTCCACGAAAGATTTTCGATAATTCAGTTATAACTTAAATCTTAATATAAAACACGTTCGATAAATCTGAAGTGCAAAATCTGCAAAAATTGCATGTTCGAAAATGGCAGTTCTCCTTAAAGTTCAAAGGAATCTTTTGAGTTTATTTTATAACTACTGCAAAAATATAGTAAATTAGAAGAGCACAATAGATATTGAATTACTGGAGTATGTTATAAATCTGCAAAAGTAAATATTCAGTGTTATGCGGATTTGTAAGTATGCATGAAAACTTTTTTAAGATTTATTTTGGAATTTTCAGTGTTTGTCTGAATTATCGAAAATTCCCATCATACCGAATGAGTTATAGTCTATTGTGAATGCTTTTATATTCTATTTTATGACTATCAACAACAATTTCATATATATAATATGACAATCAACAATAATTTTTAACATTAGAAATGTCAAAATTTTTAATTTACCAAAACAAAAGAAAACATAATTGTATCTATATATCCTGCATGTATAAAATGTAAAGTTGAAAAAAACAAGTACCTACATCTATAAAAAATTTGATAAAGAATTTCTAATGTTTATTTTTGTTAAAACAGTTGATTGAAATTGGTTTATTTGATTAAATTAAATGGATATATAAAATGGCCGGTTGTTTAACAGATTTTCATAAAAATTATTGTATGCAAAAAGAAAACAAGGCAGATAGCGAAATAGATTTCGATGAACTTGAAGATGAAGCTAATGAAAATGATGATTCGGAGATAAATCATGATCACTCGGAATATTTTGAATTTCCGGTAAGTTAAACCATTTATCTATTGAATGCCCTATAAACTAAATTAACTAATTTTTTAAAATTTAGAATAGTTCAACTTGTTGGATATGCAATGGATATTATGGACCAAATTTTGATGAGCCTTTATGTGGAACATGTCATGCATTTTTATATCCAATTGAAAGTCCAAATGAAGAAAATCGTGAACTTGTAACTGAGATATCTGATGATGAAGATTCTGGAAATGATGAACCCCCGTTTACAGTAACCGAAAAAGACGGAAAACAAGAAAGAGACGTTGACGACGATGAGATTGTTGCACCTGCTCGAAATATTGATGTGGTAAGGTTGGGTATTCGTCGGCAAGAGTTGCCTAAACAAAACGAAGATATCGATACAAATGAGGATAATAATAATATTAATTTTGATGACGAACATTTGCCTCTTATAAAACCTGTGCAACTAATAGAACCTCCGTTGCAACTTTCACAATATGTAAACATGTTGTCAGAGCAAAATTTTGTAGGTCGATCTGGAAAGGATATTTCAGCTTTGCCTGTAGAGGTTTTAATATCAATATTTTCTTATTTAGACGATATATCTTTGTGGAATGCTAGTGAAGTATGCAAACAATGGAAAAAAATATTAGAAGTAAACACATCACAATCAATGTGGAGGAAATTCTTAAAACAGCGTTGGCCATTGTATAGAAATTTAATTGAAGTTCAAAATTGGTTTAAGGTAAATTTAATTAAATGGTTTTGTAGTAGATTTATAATATTAAGACAATTTTAAAAGATGTATTCAGCCTTGATGTCTTCATGTTTCTGCAAAACCTGTCTATATCAAATTGCATTTAATTCACATCAACAAATAGGAAATAATGCCATCAGAATGAATCGTCTTAGATTTGAGTTTCGGTCGCTTAATATGGTACAATCAGAAGGAATTGAAGCCTTACCTTTGGACCGTCAAAATTCACACTGGCAAGCAAGCATTTTGGGACCTACAGGTAGTCCTTATGAAGGTGGAAAATTTTTCCTGAAAGTATTCTTTCCTGACACGTAAATAAAAATACTTAATGCTAATATGCTTAATAAATAAATTTTTTGATTATCAATTGTTTTTTAGATATCCAATGCTTCCCCCAAAAATTAGATTTTTAACAAAAATTTTGCATCCCAATGTGTCAAGGCACGGTGATGTCGGTATTGATATTATTCAACACAATTGGTCAATTGCCCTTACCGTAGCTAAAGTACTATTATCCTTACAAAGTTTATTGACAGATCCATTTACTGAGGTATTAAATTTACGAAAGGCAAATTATATTTATTAATCGATTCTCCTTCAGGTTTGTATGGAACCAGAAATTGGTTATATTTATGAGACAGATCGAAAAAAATTCGAAAATTTGGCGAGATCGTGGACATGGAAGTATGCAATGTATGAAATGATACCACCCGAATGAAAAAGCTTCGTTAAAATCTATAGGCATAGACTGATTAGCTTTTAAAATAAAAAAAGGAAAATTAAAATTGCCACGTTAAAAGCTGCAAAAAAAAGAAAAAAATAATGGAAACTCCAAGTGCCATTTTCTGAAATCTTACACACTAGCTTTAGTTTTTTAATTTTCAATTTAACTTTACGTAAACTGTTATAGCTGTATTGTTTTATTTTTCCAATATTCACAATGATTGTTTTATATAATGTTTTTGATTTTGTCATTTTTTCTATAAGTTAATCAAGAAATAAAAAATAAATACAAATCATTTGAACCAGTCTTTCCCTTATTTATACATATGTATCACTATAAAGCTGTCGAATTTAATTTATTATTTATAATTATGATTTTTATTAATATAATTGAATATACATGTGGCCTTTTTGAGAATGTACATTTAATTCTGTTTTAGAATATTTTGTTCTATTATAATTTTTAACCAGGTTTTTGCATAATTTTTGTCCAATATATAATTTTTAAAGATCATTTTTTAAAGTCATGTGTAGCTAGTATATCAATATCTAAAAAATTCTATTTGCTTTTTATATTTCAGATTTTAAAACTCAGAATCTTAAATAATAGGAAGTATTCAATTATTTACATATATTAATTGAAGAATTATCATCCTCCTTCAAAATATTAGTGCAAATGAGAAAGCGTCGAGTACGTATTTTTTACATAACTTAGCTTACCACAAACTTAATTTCAAACATGGATTGGCTATTGACGAATCCCCAAATATTTAGTACATTTTCATCTTTGGGTTTTCTGAAAGATGATATTTATGAGATTAACCCTAATGCTTTAGGTAAAATGCATGTTTGAATTATAGTTGCTTTTTAAACTAAAGAACTTAATTTTTCAGCTACCTTAGAAGAAATTAATTTAAAATTAATTTACGAAGATCAAACGCTACGTACATTTCGCCGAGCTATTGGTTTTGGTCAACATGTCAAAGCAGATTTAATACCACTTCTAATTCACGTTAGAGAACCAGAAATTACAGATGCTGTTATAAGAATTTTAGTTAATCTAACAGTTCCTGTAGAATGTTTATTTTGTGTTGATATAATGTACCGAACTGAAGTAGGTCGCAACACAATATTCGAACTAAATAAACTTCTTATAACTAGCAAAGAAGCTTTTGCTGACACAAAAAGCATTAAATCTGTTTTAGATCGTATAAAATCCATTCTAGATGGAGAGTCGAAAAAATTGTCATTAGCACAATGTGATAGTATCAATAATTGTTTATTGCTATTACGAAATATATTACATATTCCAGAAAATAGCCTAACAGGTCCTCATAGCAGCAGCCTCAACAACACAACGGGAGCAAATGGCGGACAAACATCTTTGCAAAACACGATTGTATGGAATTTATTCATACAAAGCATTGATAAAACTTTGCTATTTTTAATGTCTTGCCCACAAAGAGCCCATTGGGTTGTTACAATGGTGCAACTAATTGCCCTAATGTATAAGGATCAGCATGTTGGTACATTGCAAAAATTATTAAATATGTGGTTTGAAGCTTCCCTTTCAGAAAGTTCAGAAGATAACGAAAGTAATACTACCCCACCAAATAAAGGGAGCGGGGATTCAAGCCCAATGTTGACATCATCCGATCCAACTTCCGATTCATCGGACAATGGTGGTAGTGGAAACAAGGAAACGTCCGAAGATCGCCGTCAGACGTGTCTTAATAAAGAAACAGAGGCAACATTGCAAGAGGTAAGCCGTAAAGGTCATGAATATCAAAATGCTATAATGAGAATGCCACCAGCAATAAAAAAGGAATCTAAACACTTATTACAAGAACAACAAGATTTTGAATCAACATCTCAAGGAAATTGTTCAAAAAAACAATATGTAGGGGACCAAAGATACCAAACAATATCTAATGAGTCAAAAATAATTCAAAAACCATCTCCAACAACAAAACCAGCTGATCCAGAAAACACTTCCCATGTTATATTTGCTTCACCACCAGCAAAATCAAAAATTGAAATTGTTGTAAGAACTATTTCATTGAAATTAATATAAAAGTCAGAATTAAATTTTTTACAGAAAAATAACCACAACCAGGCGTTCAAAAGTCCTCATTCTGGAATATTATGTAATGGCAAGTGTCCTGCGCAAAAACGTGAATGTCCGTCTTCAACTTCTGAACTTTCCGATTGTGGCTATGGAACACAAGTTGAAAATCAAGAATCGATTTCGACATCGAGCAATGAAGACGATAGTCCACTCCAGAAGCCTGTACATCATCAAAAACCAAGGACAAAGCAACATCCAAACGTCTCTCCTTTAGAAAAAAAGGAATGGAGGAGAAAAAAGTTAGTTAAACGAAGTAAAAGTAACATGTGAGTATACTTACATTATACATTATATAATTACATTATACATACAATATATGTAATATATGTACGCAATATATATACATGCATGTGTTGACATTATTGAAGTAAAAATTTAAGGAAAGGAGATCCAAGCATAATATGTACTTATATAAGTACATGCTCGTTTTTGCATTATATTCATGTACATACACATATACATAATCATACAATATAAGCTTTCGGAGACAAATCTTATACTTATCAACTTTATTTTTTATTTTTAGAATCAATATGAAAGGATTGATACAACATACCCCAACTGATGAGGATATCTCGAATATATTGAAGGAATTTACTGTTGATTTCCTACTAAAAGGATATAATTATCTTGTTCAAGAACTTCACGCACAACTTTTAGAAAATTTGGTACCTATTGATTTTTGTGCTTAATCTAAAATAAAAATAAATTTTGAATTTCAATTTTAAATTTTTGCAGAAATTTCCCATGGACACATCTCACTTCTTTTGGTTGGTTACATACTTTCTTAAATTTGCTTCCCAACTTGAGTTAGATTTAGAACATATTAGTTCCGTTTTGAACTACGAAGTTGTTTCATATCTAACTTTTGAAGGCGCGATGTTGTGTGAGCAGCTGGAGTTAACGTCTAGACAAGAAGGAGGTGATATGAAACCATTTTTAAGAAGATTACATTTAGTAGTGACGGCAATAAGAGAATTTTTACAAGCACTTGATACATATAAGAAAATAACACATTTATCCCAAGAAGATCGTCAATATTTAAAAAATTTAACACTACAAGTTTGTGCAATTGAAGATTTGAGAAATTTGTTTTTACTATTAATACGCAAGTTCAATCCGATGTGGAATAGTAGACAATACCTGCAGGATATAATTGTTACAAATCATGACCTCTTAGTATTATTAGATAATGTTACAAAGTCAGAAGATAAACATTTAATTAATTTCAATATAACAGAACATGTGCCTCAGTAAGTAATTTATACCGACACACATACATAAGTATACGAAATATGAATTTACTTACATATGAATATTGCCGATAACTCATATATTTTTGAAAGTCAATGAAGCAATGATAACTGTAATATCTTGACAGTTGCAATTAAATTTAGTTTAATTATAATTAAATTAAATTTAGTTTAAAATTTTATTCGTTTTTAATACTCTAAAATCTGAAATATTTTATATAGTAAAATAATATAAAATATATTATTGTGCAAAATAAACCCAATAATTATAATGATAAATAAAGATTCTTAAAATAATAAAATTATTCTAAAAATTCCAGATTTGCTCAAGTTGAAATAATGCATCACTATGCGCTTTTATTAGATGATTTTCGAGAAAACGGTGAATTTGTGAACGACTGCGTGTTTACAATGATGCATCATATTGGAGCTGATTTAGAACAAGTTCAGTTATTATTTCAACCACTTGTACTGAAAACATTTTCCCAAATTTGGGAATCTGAATTTGAAGTTTGTGATGTAAGTTAAATACACTATTTATATGATGTTATTATATTATTATTCCTATTTTATTCAATAAGATTTAATTTCAGGACTGGTCTGATTTAATTGAATACGTTATTCATAGATTTATGAATTCACCACGAAATAATGCATTTGTTGTATCATGTGGATCTTTAACAGAAATGACAAAAGAACATAACATGAAAAATAGTGATTGGTAAGTAAAAATAATATTTTAGCCAGTTGAAAGCCTTGGAAGTACTTTTGAAAATTAGTTTGTCTGTAAATTCATGATACTTTTGGACAAAAAAATAAAAAACACAATTTTAATTTCATGCTCCTATAACCTTTAAGAGTTTAAAATATTTTTCTTATTTCAAAATAAAGTCGGAATGTCGGTTAAAAATTTAATAAGATAGTTTTTTTTTTTTATTTAAGTGTATGGACACAGGAAGAAAAAGATGTTTTGTATTGGCACTATGTACAAAGTAAAAAATCAAAAGATATTGTTGGAAAAATTCGTCAATTGTATAAAGAAAATGGAAATAGTGAAAAATCTCGAATGTCTGTTATACAACAATTATTGCATCAGGTACCATTTCAATTGAATTTTTGAATATATAACTTTTAATTTTTTAATTTTAAAATAACAACCATATATTAATAGATTTATATTTTAACTATAAATAGACTTATAACAACCTTTCTTTCCATAAAATGTAGCAGTCTTTCAAGTTTTTCTATTTTAGTTCAAATTTTTTATGCATTTAAAGTGAAAAGAAAAATTTTTATAAAAAAAAATAATTATTCAAATATTGAAACCATTTCCCATATTTTGTCTTCATCACAACATTTATAGTAAAATTTTAATAATTAAAAGAATACTATTCATGCGTAGAGGGAAAAAATTTCAGAAAAATATAATGTGTAATTAAGTATAATTAAAATTATTCAAAGTGAAAATTGCTGAAGTACGTGTGATTCACTGGCATCTAAACTATTCAAAAACTGTGACCTATACAAACAAACATTAAGGGGTTAATTGAAAATTTATTTTATCGTTAGTAACATATGCACATTAGACGTATGTGTTTATTTTAATTACAAAAATTTAAATTTAAGTAAAATTTTACTTTAGTTGTGATGAAGGAGTTAATGTTAATACAATAATTGTTGTGTTAAAATATTGTGTTTTCTCTATTTAAAATTTTTTTGTTATAATTACATTTACATATTTTATATTTTAGTTTTTCAGTTCCTTACCATATTTTGCATAAACAAAACTTTATTAATTTTTTTTTAAATCAAAACTGAAACTTAAAAAAAAAACCAAGAAGCTAATTTTAAATAGAAAAATTTCAGCTAATTTATTTTTGGATTAGATCTGCTCCACTATTCATCTTGATAAATTCGGCGTTTTGAAATTCTGCTACTAAATATTTTTTACTTGTATGAGCACATATTATCGAACGATAATAATTATAATACGTCTTCTATTAAAACTGCGTGCGACGAAATGTTCGTAATGATTAATCTTCATAATAGCCAAAATAATAATAATTGTTAAAAAACGTAAATTTATAGGATAAAAAAATTTGTGTATTCGTGGAAATGCGGTGAATTTTTTCCAAAGAAAAAAAAATAAAAGGGATGATAAAAAAAAAGAATCGAGTTGAGCAAATACGAATATGTTTTGGTGAGACCATTAATTCCAAAATAAATTTATTTTTATTTTTATTAGATTAAAAAAAAAAACATAAAGTAAAGATTAAAACATAATTTGTTTTAGTGTCCTTTGGTGAAATTCATTTAAGAATGGTGAATTTTATTTAATTTTAAGATAATTTAAACAATAATTAAATAAAGATTATCATAGTATTGGATTTAAATATTGGAAAGTTTAGTTTACTGTTGCCAATTAATAAATAATAATTATCATACACATATTCTTAACAAATTTTTCAATTGCAAAATTATTTTTAGTATTAAAATCTTGAGTTATGGTTGCCATAAGTCTTTTAAACTATTTTTTTTTTATTACATATGTACGTACTTATATAAGTGTATTCAACCTTGCCCATACCTACATATTTCATGCCAATACGTACAGATGTAGTTACTAGAGATCCGGAATTAAATTAAAATAATAATAGCAAAAATTTGCATATAGAAATATTGTTGCTTCGCTTCAACAACATAAGAAACACAAAAGAACAGAAAATAATTTGTTTCAGTCATTTCAATAAAAGTCTTCTACATTTTATAAAGTCTTCTATATTTGATAAATGATATTTTTTTGAAAAAAATCCATTTCAAATAAAAATGGAATAAAAATATAATATTGCTCCGTTTGGGTTTAAAGTAACCAGTCATTGCTTTCATAGTAGATGTGTTTAATTTCCTATCCAACAATATAAATTTCAATTCCAAGTGTCGACATGACATGGCTTTTGAAACTGCAAATGGGCTTAGGTAACTTTCAAAAAAAAAACCATCCAAATATTTCTAAGCTCATGTATTTAAATTAATATTGATTATTGTATTTTAATGATTAATTTCAGAATATTTTAGACAAAAACTTTAAATAGTTATCTGAGTATTTGGCTCACTTTTGTTTTAATTGTCTTCAAATACTACATAATTACTTTCTTAAACTACTAATGCATACATGTATATACATATATACATAGTTTGTAAATAGAATTAACCTTAATCATGTGTATGCATTGAATTATTATTTCTATTAATTAAATTTCAATATTTTTTTCCAATGACTATAAAATCTATAAAGTTTCTTTGAATTTTTTTTTCTGCAATAATATATAAAAATAAAATGGTTTTTAATTATTATTTTACTTATTTTATATTTTATAGATTATATAATATGTATCCATATGTAATTTATTGATTAAATAAAATTGTACTTGATTTAGGAATAAATATAATTTATATAAAGTATTTAAGAAAATCAAAACGTTATTTAAAAAATATTGTCAGTTTTTGTTAAATAATATTTTTAAAAATTGAATTAATAAACAAAAATAATGATTTTTCTTTTTTTTTTGCAATTATATATTTTTTTGTCGTCTCTTGTTTAAAAATTTTATTATGATCTTGCGATATTGATAGGATGTAGTGACACTCGTTGAATATGATGATTTAATGAAACTGGAGGATACCGAATACGAAAAGAAATGTAACAAAAGACAATTATCAAGTAGCACATCAGAATCAGGAATTGATCTTAAAGATTCATTAACAGGAACTAGTAATACATCAAAAAATCAGAGCATGGACAATATTCAGGTAAATTGAAAAATATAAAAGAAAAAAGTCAGAAATCAGAAATTTTCATAAAATTTAATCAAATGTTTTAAAATACATAAGATTCCTACTTTAAAAATAATTTTGAAAATCTTACTACCATTTTATTAACTGATTCAGTATCTAAAAGCTCTGTTGGTGAAAGAAGGAAAATCACGAATTATACAATGGCTTCAAAAAGTCCTCTTAGAATGTTGTTATGTCAAACTAAATATTGATTATGGTAAACTTGAACAACAAACTGTGTTTGAAAAAGAAATTAAGATTCGGGTAATGGAATCAATCCCATATCATTGTATATGTAAGTTATAATTAATATCATACCGATTTAATATTTACAAAAAAATTTCTTAGAAAACAGCGTTTGTTTATAAAAAACGGAAATATTTATAAAATGCATTTTAAATAAATTAACAATATCAATATTCGTAATTTTAAATATTAATTTTTAATTTTAATTTTTAGATTAAGTTTTAGATTTGTTAATCTTTAATTAAACATTAATTAACTTTGCAAATTTAAGTAAATATTAGCCAATATTAGATTGAGTTAAAAAAAGTATAATACTCTGTATATTATTAAAATAAATATTTTGTTTTATTAATATATACGCAGTTTATGTACTATTTTTTGTTCACAAATTACCTAATGTTACAAAATGAAGTTAAAAAAAATTATTATATATTATGAACATAATTTTAGTGAGAAAAAAGTCAATCCCATTAGTACCATGGAACACTGATCAATCTTCTGCGATGATTTATAAACCATTTGTAATGTTATTGCACAAGTTGGGTTTTCATTTGCCGGCTGATTCTGGTAGTATTTTTGCAAGAATTCCTGAATTTTGGACAGCAGATATTATGTACAACATTGCTCACAGATTAGGACCAATTGATAAAAGTATGCATTCTTCTTCTTAAAAGATTAATAAAATTTAGTGTATTTTTTACAGATATGTTAAAATTCGACATCAATTTATTACATAATATAGAGCAACAAACAACTGAACTTGGTACTGAAGAAGAGACAAAATGTTCCGATAATATAAATCAACTCTATTCAATACCACCAATTAAGCATTCTAATTCTATTATAAGGTAAATCAAAATTAACAAAACCACAAAAATTTTGTTCAATTGGAAAATATTTTAATCCTTTTCTTAAGTTCTAAAAAAGAATATCTGCTAAATTTAATGTTCACTTTTACTTTCAAAATAGTAAACGTATATTATTTTAATATTTTTTCTCAATAATAGGTTTACACCAGATCCAACTTCAACACCCTCAGTTCCCAATTGGTTGCAACTTGTAATGAAAAGCAAATGTAATGGGAATTCGAATAACGCTAATAATAATATGAGTAATTATGTTAATAGTTCAAATACTAGCATCAACAGCAACAATAACACAAATAACATTCAATCAGTAAAAATTTTAGAAGCTATTGCGGAAATTGAAAAGCAACAGGAAACAATGTGAGTATTACTGAAAAATTTCATTTTGAATCGGATAACTTTATATCATAAAAGCAATACCAATTTTTAAATGATAATAAATATCAAAATACTTAATCACAGATATTTTATTTTGATATTCTTATTCATCATAACTATTAAGCTGCATACCTAGATATTTAAATTTGTATTGTAATGCAATACGTTCACAATGTGAATTGAACATAATAATAATTGTAATAATGATTGCAATAAAGATGTAATACCATAACGATTACCTTCGATAATTTACCATGTAATATGTAAAATCAATTCAACTTTCAATGCTTACTTTTTTTATAACGTTTACAGACCAGAGGAAGATGAAGAAGATGATGAAGAATTAACAAAACAGGATATAAAAGAATTAGAAATAAAAGTTGAAATAGAATTAAACGAAATTGGGGAAAAAGCAGAAGTTTGGAATTTAAGAGACAACTCAAGTTTACTTTCAAAAGCAGAAACAATAAATGCTCTGGCTAGCGCAGTAACTCAAGCATTAAATGATTCAAAAACTGAGTTACAATCGTTTACATTGCCAATGAAAAAATCAAGAAATCCTTTATTGCAGCAGCAATCTAGTGAGGATGATTCTTTGATGAAATCGATAGATGAAAATCGTGATGATAGCAGTGGTTACCAAACAAGGCGAGGTAGTCAAATGGATACTGATTTCAATGCATTATCTGCAGTTATTATAGACACAGAATTTTTGAATAAGTAAGAATATTTACAAATATTTCTACAAAATCAAAAAATTTATTTTATGATTTCAATATTTATAATTATAGTGTCAGCAGCACAGAAACCGACTCTATTTCATCCGATTTAACTAGAATGTATGTAAGCGATGAAGAGCATGTTCCAAATCATTAAAAAAAGCAAAGTTAAATGTACCTCTTATATATGTAGATTATAATAAATGGAAAATATATAAAAACATTTTGTTAATTTTTAATAATTACAAAAATTTTATTGAAAATTGTATTTTAGTATGTATATTAAAAAAAATAGTATTTAATGAACGGCAAAATTAGTTGGTTTATTCTGAAAGTGACCCAAGAACATCTCAATTAAAAATAAAATAATGCTCCTTTTCAGACTAAAGTAACCAAAAAGTGTATATTAATTTAATTTATAGAATATTATTCGAATATTTATTTTCGTTATCCGACAACATACAAAAACTAATAACAAGTTTCAATTCCAATTACTGGCATTCTAATTGCTTTGGAGATGAAAGATTTTTGAAATTGCAAACGGACTAAGATCACTTTCAAAATAAACCATCCAATTAATATAGTATTTTATTTCAAATTTTTGAAAATAATTTAATGTCCAAGAAGATTTTTTGATTTTATCAATTGTAAGGATAGATTGACCGTTATACTAGCTTACTTCAGTTTTTGAGTCTTCCAGTGATCCTTTTGTATATTCTTGATCAGTTCATTCTTTCAAAGCTCGTACAGAACGGCTCGTCTTGCCTTTCATTTTTTTTGTTTTTCTCGTAAGAAGGAATATTCAGAGCTTACTGTCTATGGGATAACGGTCTTATTGAGGTGATTTTGAAGAGAGTGAGCATTGAAGTATTTTTTGATCACAGATTGGTTTTAAGAACTAAATATGATTATTTAAGCAGTTTGGTTATAATTACAAAGCATTTGTATGTATCCAATGAAAAGCCGATCTTGGAGCATACTTGCTAGGTTTTGGATACCTTGTCGTGCAGTGGACTTGCATCTCCAAGAAATCTAATGACACATCTTCACATAGACAGGCTATAACCTAGTAGCGTACTTCAACATAGCTTCCAAGCCAAATTACAGTCTATCCTGAAGGCCCACATCCTCAATGTACCGGATACCCAAGGCAAAGTTATGGATATCTAGACTCCAAATAGCTGTGAAAAAGGTTTTCAGGCTACTGATTGCACACAATCTCACTGATAGTTAGGAAGGAATCGCAGAAGGACACTGACCAGTGTTTCGTTCAAAGCATTCAGTCGATAATTATGGTCTTATTGAACACAATTGTGGTCGAAGTGATGATAAAGACGAAGAATTGGCAACTACATGCGCTACGGCAGGTGCCTTTGAGGACAGGTGTCGTATTAGCCCTCTCGGGAAATATCGTAAGCCATCGTGGTGTGTGAAATTGATAAAACCAGAAGAAAAACGAGAAAGCTGCAAAATGCAGTAGTACAACTTAATAGTCAATAAAAATGGAGTGAGGCGGGGGCGGAAAAGGAATTACTGCATATCTAAAGTAGAATACCAATGTATAAATGTAAGATTAAGGAGGTTGCTGAAAAAAAGAGCCTTCAATAACAGGGTACACCATGAGAGATAACGGCACATGAGATAACTCAACTCAAAAGAACATAAAATGGTGCATGTTGTGTTAATTCTAACTCTTTGTTATTTCACCCTAAAATTATCAAGGGTACTGTTAGCTTTAAACTACTGTTACACTAATTTTGCTACATGTTATTGTATTTCCTTTTTCTTAGTAATTTTTTTCTGATCTGTTTGACCTTATTTATATTATTACTTATTTTTTTAGTGTCTAGTAGTGATCTGTATGTTTGTATTTTTTTATCTCTTTTTATTTCAGTGTGCTTGTTTATTGTATTCAAATTCCCCTCCAACTTCTTCTTTCTTTAACTAAAGTTGCTTGTTGTTTTTTAAAATGATAGTTACTTTTTTACTACTATATAATGTTTATTATGCGTTTCTGATCATATGCTTGTGACCAGATATAATTGATAAAATAAAACACTTCGCAAAAAGTGTCTTAACTTGCGTATATATTCAAATGTATACTACTGTGTATTAAATAATAATTTCTGAAATTAAGTGAACATTCTTTATAAGTAAATAAATGCTAAAAAATAAAAATTATCCTTAAAAAAAGCATGTACATATATTGAAAGCCGCATTCTTTATTATATACATTTTATTTAAATGAACAATTTTTCGAAAACAATTTTGCTTAAATTAAATTAAACAAATTTGCTTAATTTACGCTACATACAAACTACACAAACACTGGAAGTACCTATTTAATTTGTATGTATTTCTTAAGAAGCTTTTATATGTAAAAGCTTAACACATTATAATATATAAAATCATAGTATTTTAATAATAAGGTTTTATCAATTTTATTAACGAGTCTTTACATTGTTAATTATTTATGTACATAGTTATTAAAACTATTTAAATAAATAATTTGATGCTATTTTTATAATTAATAGAAAAAGGAAAAAAATTTATATTTACATAAAAGAAATGATCCGATTAACCATATCTCATAATATCTTGAATTGTTTTTATCACACGTTCGTCAGCAAGTATTTTCATATGTTCAGCATTTGATACTTCTATGCTTTTGATCTCCGGTTTTTGTAAAGCTTTCCATTGATTACAAGATTGAAGAGAACGAGAATTAACTGTTCCATCTCCGTCGCCGTAAATTAATTTAGGAACTTCATTGGCGATGTCATTTGTTTTATAAATTAAGCTAAAAAGCAAAATTCATTATTCTCTCTCATATAACGATTTTAATATATAAATATATTTCTTACCCTTCAACGGTTGGAAGTCCTGTACTGTAAATGCAATGGAGTTCCACGTCCGGTGGACTAAAATTTGAGACGTATTTAATATTATCTTTACGCATTTCCCATGCCGTAGGATAATTAATATCACTAAAAGTTGAAATCTTAATAAACAAAGTATATCTAAACGAATATTCAAAATTTACTTGAAATATTGCTCCAATTCAGAAAATGTGTAATTTTTTCCTGGAGTTTGGATTAGTACTTCTCCATCTTTCCAAAAATAAGGTGATGGTAGCAAATATGCTAAAGATGGACTTGAAATTTGTTGATCTCTCATCGTTTTTGCGCTTAAAGCAAAAGCACCTAAATCATCGCCTTTAAAAATTTGGTTTTAATCATTTGATAATTAACTATACAAAAATGTTAAATATATATACCCATTGCAAAAACTTTAACAGCTTTAAAAGTTCCTGCCCACGCCCCAGCTATACTAATCATTCTTCTAATATATTTTGTTTTCCATTCTTGGCTTTGATATTGTAACAATAAGAGTGTCATAGGACTTCCCATGCTATGCGTGACTAGAGTTACACGAGTATTATTATTTTGCTGATATGTATCTTCCACAAGTTTTTTCATGTTTATGAACCAATCTTTATTTTCATCTGCAGAAATACATTCTTTAATTTTATACAAAATTTAATTCAAAAAGGCGTTACTTGGTGCTTTTCTAAAATCATAAGGGGCCCCTTTAAGATTGCGCCTTCTTTCATATCCTAAGGCAGTAACTAATCCATCAGCAATATTTATAAAGTAAGCTCCTTTAGATGCTTTACTTGGATCTATATATTCAACAACTTCTGAATTTCCCCAGCCTGGAATTCTTAGTTCTACACCAGGCGCATTATGTGTTGTTCGTGTTACATTATCGTAGTATAATTTTACGTTATCTATGAAACAATCAATTACATAAGGAACTAATAGTTCCATATTTAACCAAATATTAAACCAATTATCGGTTTTTTTATCACAAATGTAATGAACAACGCTTGGTTTGTCTAATCTTGCGTCGACCTGGCTGCCGCCATCTCCTGGAACTAAAATTTTTTGTATTTTAAAATTAAAATTTATTGCAATAAGAATTTTCTCTTATTAGCTACTGAACGCAAGGTTTTTCTAACAAAAAGTTGGTGTAGAGCCTTCATCATATAAAGAGTGGAAAATTTTTAAGTAATTTATTAAGTAATAGCATATTTCGCTACAATTATATACGTTACATTATAATTTATTTCAAGTGTATAGTCGCAATTGAAATAAATTATAATGTAAAAACGTAGATTAAAAATTATTAACGTCATTTGGTTCAAAATCTCAGAACTAAACTTATCAATAAAAATATTTTCTTATTATGTTCGATTTTTCTAGTAATTGTAAATATATAGACTTACGATTATTTGAAAAATCATGATTTATAGAAAAAGCTTATCAATTTGATTTTTATTAGGCCTCGGAAAGAACCTTTCTTAAAAAATCTTCTTTGTTTAGTTATTTAATGTCTCACTTTTTGTCAAAACTCATTGCCGAAATTGCAATGATTAATTGTAAGGTCAGATCAGGTCACTGAATATCTCCAAATATATTTCATTTCTTTAAAAACGAAGCATTTTGTATCGTTGAAAATAAACTTCTTTGTTATCAGCTTTTCCTTTTTTTGTAAACAATATGCTGAACAACAATAATTTATAATATAATGTAGATTGGTATCTACCTACGTACATATTATATACCCAACCTTTACAATGGTTATTTAAATAACTGATGTAAGTAGCTTGCACAGGGCTGAAAATAGCTATGGCTTAGTTGATTTACCAAAATAATCTAATTTAATTAAAACAATAAATTATTGATATGGCCAAAATTAAAACTTGCATAACCAATAAACTATTTTTAATTGTAGTTAGTTTTCAACTTACCAAAAATTACTGGAGACAGTTGTACTGGCACAGGACCATCTTCCATTGGAAATGAAAAAATAACACATTTCTCACAATACAGTAAAATTAGCAAAAAAATATTACAATAATAATGCATCTTAAATTTTCAAAAGTTAACTATAATTTCAACGTTTTTTATTGATAATGAAATTAAGAGTAACTCGAAATTAAATTTCTAATCTCTTAATGTTTACACGAAATGTTTCATATTATGTATTGAGATTTCCCTTCAGCTTAAATTTTGAACACGGTGCTTGTAGAAGTGAATTAAAAACAGAAAATTAACTCACGCTCGAAAACACATTAGTCAATAACAGTAACGATTATTTAGTAAATTTGAAAAATACATTTTAAGTTGATTTTTTAAGCGCTATTCCCCACAAAAAAAAAACAGAAGGATTAGCATAATAATAATAAACAATTTAATTTGAATTGTCAAATACGGTTATGCCACACAAAATTAAATATCTGTAAAACTAAATTTACTTTACTTAAGGTAAAAGACGGAAGTGCAAAAAGACGGCCGCCGAGTTCTCACTTTTAAATTATCCTAGAATACTTCACCGTTTTAGAATTTTTCAAATTTTTACTTATTTTACTAAAATAACAGATAGTCCCTTTATAACAGATAGTCCAATAGGTTTTGGACCAATTTATTGCCAATTGAATAGGTTTTTGTGTAAATTCTCCATTATACGAGAATTGTTATCCATTATACGAGAATTATTTCTAGTACATACACATTTTAATATGGACGTACAAATATGAACCAAATTTTTTTTTCCAATCTCATAATACATACAACAATTACTCAGGCAGCACAACTTATTAGAAACTAAATCCACGCACTCATATAAAGTTGCATCAGCAATTGCCAAAAGAATTTTAAAAACTGCACTACAATATTGTAATTACAACTACGCAAACAAGAAATTCAAGAATTAAATGTACTAGCTAAATGTACTAAAGGACCGTGCGTTAAAAGACCGTGGATTCATTTTAATTGCTTTGTACAACCCTTCGTAACTTAAATTTTTAAATTTTCGAAAGTAATTTTGACAGAACTGGTTATACTAATATTATATACCATATTAACATTCAACGAGTAGTTGTTTTATCTTATTCTAACTTTCAAATAATATTTTTGCAAGTTTACCAAAGCTGAGAGAAACAACACAAAAATAGTACGATGTATGAAAGCATTTACAACATAAGATTACCAGAAGTAAAGCAGGATTTATGTATTGCAATTATAGAATGTAACAAAAGAGGACTGCTTCACTGTTCGAAATGGTTGGCCGAATTAAATCATGGTTTATGTGATATTGAGATTTCAAAAGATTTTACTAAAAATATGATGTCGGAGATTAGTGACGAGGATTATGATAATTATTGTGTTGCAAAATCCTATTATGATACAAGAGAATATGATCGCGCTGCGTATTTTACACGTAATTGTAGTTCACCGGTTCCAAAATTTTTGCATTATTATTGTACCTACATGGCGAAAGAAAAAAAACGATTAGACAATATAACGGATGCCTCAAATTTAAATAATACTAAACAAGACAAAGGATTTTCAGATTTATATTCTATATTAAAGAGCGAATATAATAAAAAAAGCTTAGATGGGTACTGCCTCTATTTATATGGAATAGTTTTAAAGAATTTGAATTTAAATCAAGCTGCAACTAAAGTTTTAATTGAATGTATACAGACAACACCAATGTTATGGAGTGCTTGGATTGAATTAGCACCATTAATAGCAGATAAAGAAAAATTATTAAGTTTGAATTTACCAAATCATTGGATGAAGCAAATATTTTTAGGTCATGCTTATATTGAGTTGTATCTTAATGACGAAGGTTTTAAGCAATTCGAAGCATTAGAAGCAATAGGATTTGAAAAATGTACATACATATTATCCCAAATAGCAATTGCTTATCATAACAAAAGAGGTTGATTCTTAAATTTTCTTTTTTTTAAATCTTCCATATAACTTTGATTTTAGATGTAGATAAAGCTATAGAAACATTTCAAATGCTTCAAGAAGCTGATCCGTACAGGCTAGACAATTTAGATACTTTTTCAAACTTATTATTTGTGAAAGACTTGAAAACTGAAATGGCGTCATTAGCGCACAAAGCAGTCGAAATCAATAAATACAGACCGGAAACTTGCTGTGTTATAGGAAATTATTATAGCATTAGATGTGAACATCAAAAAGCAATTACATATTTTCAAAGGGCTTTAAAATTAAATCCACAATATTTATCGGCGTGGACCTTAATGGGACATGAATTCATGGAATTGAAAAATACTAATGCAGCCATTCAAAGTTACAGGAAAGCAGTCGGTAATTTTTTAGTTCATTAAGATTTTAACATTTTAATTTATTTTTTTTTTTAAGAAATTTACAAACGTGATTACAGGGCTTGGTATGGATTAGGTCAAGCATATGAAATTTTAAAAATGCATTATTACAGTCTATACTACTTTAAAATTGCACATCAATTGCGACCGTACGATAGCCGTATGTTAGTTGCTTTAGGTGAAACCTTCGAAAAATTAGAAAAAAGCGCTAACGCAATAAAGTGTTATGAGAAAGCTTGTAATGTGGGGGATATTGAAGGTGTCGCTTTATTTAAGTTAGCATATTTACACGAAAAGTTGGGAAGTATTGAAAACGCTATACCCTCATATCGATCATACTGCCTGGATGAAAGAGCTACAGTTGATAAACAATCATTATATCACGCTTACATTACATTAGGAAATTATTACGAAAGCAAAGGAAACTATGATGAAGCATCACATTTTGCTTACAAATGTTTGGATTCAGAAGAAGTATGCTATTTAAATTGAATTTTACGTTTTTGTACATAAATGATAATCATGGGTTATCGTAGATAACATGTACTTTTATAATTTCATTCTTATGATTGGGCAAGATGCTTTGGCTTAACTTTTTTTCGAGAAACACCCTTTAAAAGAATAAAATGGATCTTTAAATATACAGTCTTGGATAATCTGCAATATATTGAAGTCTATTGTAACTTTTGAAGCAATGTATTTTTGTCTTATAATTAAGCAATAAGACATTATTTTGTATAATATGATTTTTAAGATACATTAATTTTTTTTTTATTCTTAAGATACTATGTATCTTTTTAATTCTTAAAATACATAAAAGTTTTTGTATTTTATGATATTAAAGACAGATTTTCTTTAAGCATTCTTTATGTCACGATTTTCTTATGCATTTCGGTCATAAGAAAAATAAAGCAGTGTCTTCTTAATTATTTTTCGAAAAATACGAATACTATTTGCTTTACACAAATTTAAAAAATTTCAAAAAATCTGTATCTGTAAAAATCTACAAAACCGTAAAACAGTAACAGATAGCACTCATTTGGAAAGTAAATATTTATCCTGTGTTATGCCTTTTAAATTATTTTAATAAATTCGATGATTAATCAATTTAATGATTAACTTTTAGAAATAAGATTGCAAAGAAAGTGTAGAATATTATATTTAAAGATACTTTTATTGGATGTATCGTCCGACAGAAATATTCTTACCCGATCATAGATTAGGCAGTACATATATACAGATTTTAAATATTTATTTTATATAACTCTCCCAATTTTAATATTAGAAAAAATCAGAAGCCAAAGCTTTACTTAAAACAATTGAAAATAAAAGAGCTCAAAATGCTGCTGCGACGCAAGTAATAACTGAAAAATCAATAAATGAAACTGATGCTGGTATGAACACAAGTGAAATGTCGTTTGCAACACCTTCTCGAGCTCGACCTGCTAATGAAGATACCGACATTATTCGAATACATATTGAGGCAGATTGGGATTCAGAAACCGATACAGGCGAAAAAAATAATGAAGATTCTATGGATATATCTGTTTCTATGGATTAGAAATTATTTTTACATAATTTACTTAGTTTTTACATAATTTTGTTTATAAATAAGTATATTAAAATACAAAAATTTTTCTTTATAAAAACGAAAATTTTTAAAATTTTGATTTTGACCGAAAACCAAAGTATGTATATTGGAGTATATTTATATAAGCTATTAAAAATTTGAATAAGTAAACTATTTAGTTTTAAAGATTTTTAAGATTTATGTTTAAGAACATGTTTGAATAATCGCAAATCCCCTTCATTGAAATTTTAATACTTTCTACTCCAAAATAGATGTCACTAGTTTTAAAGATAGATGAATATAGTAATAATATTTAATTAACATACCCTTGCGAATTACTATAGAAACTCGCTTTTTTCAGAGGTCGTAAACAAATTGTAAGAATTAAAAAGTTAAGTTTGATTAGATTTTTATTTTTCAAAAAAAAAAAGTGTATAAATAAAATTGTTAAAAAACCAAATAGATTTTAAGCTAATTTTAACCTAATAGATGGAATAGGAAAATATTAAAAATTTTTAGAAGATAGTGGATACAAAAGACAATATCTACATACTACATACATACATATAACACGTTATAGTAAAAGGATCTTCAAAATTATAAACTACGAAATAACAAAAAATTTATAATAATATAATTTTGGGATCATCGCAAATAATTTATTTAAAACTGTCATACATATGATTATATTATATATTACATTGTTAATCTAATTTTAATACTGACATAAAAAAGCTAGATCATGTTTAAAGGACGAAATTTACCTTTTATGACAGAAAAGGATAGCAGAATAAAATTAATGAATGAAAGAATTAATTCAACTGAAAAGCATTTCGAAGAACTTTGTTCAATTATTGGGGCATATACGAGAAAGCTCGCCAGGTGTTATTTTGGGTTTGATCTGCTTTATAATTTGATTTTAATGTTTTAAATTTTAAAGATTTCGAGATAAAAATGATGATTTAGCAAAAGCGTTTTATCAATACAGTGAAGGAGAGCAAATTAATAAAACATTATCGAATGGAGTAAAAAGTTTTTCAAAAGCTTTGACCATAATTGCTGATTATCTGGACTTAGAAGTTCATAGAATTGAGCTTAAAGTATTGTTTTCAAAACATTTGTGCATACTTGAATAAATATTAGTAACCATTTTTCTAACACAATAGTAAAAGCTTTAAATTATTACATAAAATTAAATATTTTACACATTTTTTAGATCATAAACGAATTAGCTCAATATGAAAACATTTGTAAAAATACAAGGGAAAGTCTTCGAACAATTTCAAATATACGGGAAAAAGAAATACAACGTCAAAAGCATCTAATTGACATAAAAGCAAAATTTTCGGCAAATACGGTGATTTTTTCCATTATTGAAAAACTTTGAAACTAAAAAAAATTATTTGCAGTCCGCTGCAGATTCAGAGCTTCTTAAAGCAAATTTAGAAGTAAATCGAACCAACAAGCAAATTGAAGAAATTATTGAAAATTTTGAAAAACAAAAATTGCAAGATCTCAAAATGGTTCTGCAAGATTTTTTGTTAATTCAAATAAAGCAATACACTAAAGTTACAGAAATTTTGTCAGCAGTTTATTATGATGTTTCAAATATTAACGAAACTCAAGATTTTCAGGTAAGAGCATAATTTTGCTTTAATTCCAAAAATTCGGCGAATCAATCCAGTACGCATTAGTAAAATCAAATATTTAAATTAGTTTATAGTGTGCATTGTTCATTATTTGCAAAATTTTCAGGACTTCAAACGGCTTTTAAAATCAAAAAATAAAACGAAGATATTTGGAACAAGGGAAAATTTTCGTTCTCAATCATTAGATAATCTTTCAGTTGGCATATCACCATTACGTCAAAAACGAAATAACTTTTCAAACAGCTCAAGAGATTTTTCGATTACTGGAACAGACGAAGAAAATAACTTAGATGTAGGTATAAAGCGTCTTTTTGGCGAGATCAATTGGATCACATATCAGACAACTCAATACTTGATCTAAGCATATCAGACAATAAGTTGTCTGATATATATATACATATTTCAAAATCATTAAATATTATTTAATTCATAACCATCAACCTAAAATAACAATTTTAATGATGTTAGTCATAAACATAACACTAGTTAATTAATCCAAATTACCTACCATTTATTGATTTTATAATCATTTTTGTTGTTACAATAGCAGCATCAAGATGATTCTGAATACGGCAGTGACGAAAAATCTTTCCATGAAAAGGATACTTCTACTAACAATGATGATACTGCAAGCGATTCTGAAAGGAACTTTGAACTAAGGAAAAAAAATTTTGGTCAAAAAGAAAATGTACGTAACTTTGATACGCGCGTAATGTACGTAACCTTTTTTTTTTGAATAACAAAAAACTTTAAAAATTTTTACTTGGTAGGTATAGCTAGATTATTTATTTAAGTGTTTATTACTGATTGGTTTCTATTATTTTACAATTCCTGCATGTCACTAAATAATTTAAAGTTTTTGATACCTTTTGTAGGTATTTAAAGCAAAAACTTCACGTGAAGGTATACCAGATTCATCGCCTTTGGCAACCATATCAACACGAACTCAAATACAATCTCAAGGATTGATGTCTGTTAAATCGATGAACGGGGTTACTAAGTATCAGGCAATAAATTTAAATAAACATAAATAAAATTTATATATATATGTATAAATATGATCTATATTTTCATTACAATAATTAGTAAGGTATGATTTTTTTGTGTTTTTTCTATAAAATAAAATTAATATTCTGATTAATATTCTTATTTATGCTTTTATGTGTGAAATAAAGTGTAAAACTATTATTTAACATTTTTTCTTTTGCCGTTTTCTACTTACTATTTAAAACAAAAAATTCAGTTATGGTATGTTGAGATTTTCTGTGCAAGTGATAATTTAGAAAAACAACAAAAACTTGTTCAATTTAAATTTTATTTTTCTGGCCCCTCTACACCAGCCTGATTCATTAGATCTGCGATACTTTTTTCCAAATCATCTATCCGTGTGCCCATATCATCTATTCTTGAAATAATTTGATCTGACATCGATTGAAATTTATCTTGCACATTTTGTAGTAGATTTTGCACCTGCAAATTATTATTTGACTTATTATTTACAATTAATAAAAATGTTCATTACCTTTTATTAATAACTTTAAATAAAAAGATTATACACTTACATATATAGTCAATTCCTGCATATTTTTGGGATCTGGGTTATTACTTGTTAATGAATAATTTTGTTCTAAATCACTATCCCCTATTTCAGATTTCAAGTCGGTCATTTTTATGTCTTTTATTACAAACAATTAATATGATTAAAAATAAAGCAAGACAGTAATTTCACGACTAATCTCACCCACAAACAAAAGCAAACTCAAAATTAAATTGATTGTGGTGACAAAGTACAGTGGTACCAGCCATCAAATTTATACACATAAAAACAATGTTTGTTACAGTATTTTGCCATAATAATAGACCAAACAAAGTAGCGCAAGCGTAAATTTTATATTTAGTTGTTATAAGTTCCTATAGAGAATTTTTTTACTTAACTTAATATCTACAAAAATACACATCGATAAATTATTTTTAATCACGTTTTATTTTATTACCTATTTAAAGGCAAAATACGAAGTAAATAAATAAATATCCATAACTTTGAAAAAGTTTCATTTTAGAAATTGGAAGTAAAAAGAAAATTTCATTTTTAAATGATTTTTTAATACTTTTGCAGTTTTTACGACATATGTAAATATTTGAGGCATAAATATTTAAAGATTTTATGAGCTTTAAAGATTTATGTTACGTATCAATTCGTAAAAATTAATCTAATGCTTAAAACATTATTTTGAAATTCAAAATTGTTATTTTGTAAAACATCGCACATCGCTATGTTGTATAAATAATTGCTCTTTTTTTCTAAAATTTTTTGGAAAAGTTTTTCCAACGAATTTTACTTATGTTATATACATATTCTTTAGTTCCATATTGTAAAAAATCGTTTTCAACCGAGTTCCAAGTTCAATATTGTTAATATTGTGAAGCTATCTAAAATATATTACAGATTTAAAATTGTAAAGGTACAATAATTTTTGAGATGCAACAGAAACAAAACTTCCTTTGAGTGATTCAATGTATTGCAGAGTAATTTAAGAGTTTTAACGAAATCGAAGTTGAGGCCATAAACTGGGCTGTTCACTAGTCTACCTTTCCTTTTCTTTCTAGGGCGATTTTTTATCTGCCCACTATTTTTAAAAAATTACATGTGCATTACTCATAATTTTGTAAATTCATTAATCATTATTTTACATTGAAAAGCAGATTATGAAAAAAAAATTTATTCCTATTATGACTAAAAATTTGAAACTTAAAACCAAAGTTCTATTGTATTTCTCATATATATATAATATATTTATTATATATAACTTATATATAACTCACCTGTATTTGTAAATTGTAATTTGTATACAGTTAAAAAGTTAAGCAGTTTTTCTTCTTACTTTTTTTTTTGTACACTTGGGAATTTTTGGGAGAGGAATAGAGTACGCAATAGATGTCTGCCTATTCTTTTTAATGTGTTGCAAAACGCGAACAAAATCATTGTTTTCGTATGTAATATATAGATAAAAATATTAAGCATTTTTAAGGCGCACAAAACCCGTTCTGTAATTTATTTTATTAAAAGGTGGTAAAAGTGGTATTTCGATATTATAAAAGGAAAGCAATTAAAAAAATTTGGGTGTTAAAATAAAAAAAAAGTATGTATTTTAAAAAAGGGCAAAATAATAATGTTAAAAAGAATTTTGAAATTGTAATTAAGAATTGCCAATTAATGAATATTGTTAAAAAATAATAAATCATAAATTTTATTTCTATCTCATTATTTTAACGACCATTATCTTTCCTATAAATACAAAAAACTGCAAAAAATTGAGCACGTATATTACTGAATAATGAGCTTAACGAAGTAAGTATGATCAACATTATCCGATTGTCAATATCAACAATTAGTTGCATGAATAACAAGTGTGCGGTGTGTTTAGTTTTTGTTTTGTTTTGAGATACTTGCACATGCACTATAAAAATATATGAACTCTTTTGCTTAGATATAATTTATTGCCGCCACTGGCAGTGAAATAGCTTAAAATCCTAAATTCTGACATTATCTGTTTCCATATGTGTATGACATTATATGCAAAATATTGTTCAATTAATTTTTTTCTTCCGCTCTTATTCCAAGTTAACAAGAGAAATCGTTCGCCGTTGTCGCTCACCGTTATGGTTTTGTTTTCGCAGTTATAAAACGTAATAATAAACATCATATAATAAAATTTGTTAAAAATTATACTGTTTTAGAGTCATTAAAATTTATATCTATTATTTATTATCCTTCTTACAAATTACACATATTTAATAATGAATATTTGTAAATAATGTTTTATAGTTTATAAGGCTAGACAAGAAAATGAAATAAATACGGTCCTGTTACGACTTTGACAATGCTCGGAGCTTTTGCTCCGAGATAACTAAAGAGATAATTAGAAAAAATTTGTGTTAATTGTTTTGTTCAAGATGCTCCTTCCATTATTACTTCTAATTCGTTGTTCTCAGCCATATAAATATAATATTCAAAATATTCAAAAGCAAATCGTATATAATACGTTTGCTTCACTTTCACACAAATAAAATAAAAAAACGAATACCAGATAACTCATCCATTAAACAATATTAAGTATCAAGTAATAACTGAATAACTGAGTAATTTTTATTTACCTTAAAACGTACATACATAATATGTTAATATTAATTTAATTTGTCAAAAAATTAAATACATGTATTAAATTTTAGTAAAAAAAAACGTTCACAAGACTAAGCTTAATATTTTTAAGCTGAAATAACTGAGTTAAAATTTAATTCTATAAGGGTCCGTAACTTAAAATACATACTCAAAAAAATTTTGGTAAATTTCTTTATATATATTGAGATAATTATATGTTACTTTATTCTTGTTGAAGTACGGATATAGAAGAATTAACTGTAATTGTCGTGATATTAATGTCATGTGTATAATAACATGTTATCTTCATTGGCATATGATAAAACTAATTACCATACCATACCATATGTTAGATGTTACCATATAATAAAAAACATCTTAATGCTACACATCAAACCATAGGTAATATTTATTAATTAATAATAATTAATATATATTATTAATTATTGTTAATTAATATAAAATATTAATTTTTACACCAATTTTAAAAAATTTAAGCTATGACGATTACATCGAATTTCACACCGATGCGAGTCAATGCATCAAAATAGCAGCTGTTCTATTGCAACGTAGGCCTGATGATGGCGAATTACATCCTGTTCATTATGCAAGTAGAAAGACAACAGAAGTACAACAGTATTTTTTGTGTTCAGTTAATAAGACCATAGTGAGTAGTTTGCAGAAAACGAAAAAGAGAAACGAAAAAAGAGAAACTGAAAGCCATTGTTGAAGTTTTGAAAATGATCCATACAACGATATCAGCACACATCACGATATTTTGTACAAAACTGTACAATGAAAAATTATTACATATATGTATGTATGTATGTATATTGCATTAGACGGAATGAAAAACTTACTTGTTCGTACTATTCACGAAGATGGTCATTTTCACCATGCTAAAATGAAAAAACAAAAAGAAAAATTTTACATGATTTAAAGAATAGAATCGATTCCTGTTTAACCAATTATATCTATTGAATTCTAGATAAAAAAAAAATATAGAAAACCAGAATGTTTTAACCATATTCCGGAAGGCCATAAACCATTAAACACTTTTCATATCGATAATTTGGGTTTGATGACCGCTACTGATCGATAAAAGGGATATAGATATATTTTAGCCATTCTTGGTGATTTTCCAAAATTTTGTTGGCTGTTCCCTACAAAAATTATGAATGCAGACGATACACTGTTGAAAAGGAAAGTGATCATGAGAGGCCACATAAAACTGAATATAGCGCAGACAAAACAAAATTTTAGATACAACAAAACAATTTTGGATAAAAACTTACATACCTACTCTGTTTTTAATTTATCATGATATTTTTTCATTTCCTTATACATTTTGCTTTTTGCGTTTTATGTTTCTTTTATTTTGATATCTCTCCTGCTTTTGTCCAAATAATTAGAAATTGAATTTAGAGTTTTTGTATATCATATTAAATTTGTTCTCAAATAATTACATATATTTGAGAACAAATTTAATATAAAACATTTATAATATGTGGAGAGATTTTTGTAAAAAATATATAATTAACAAAATCACAATTCTTTTTTTAACGTGGTCGTAGAATCAAACACATCAATTAAAAAGGCGAAAAACATTAACTTTAATTTTGTTTAAATTATTTTATAAAGTTAGAGTTGAGAATAATTAGTATATTATCTAATAATAATATTATAACAATAATTACTGTTGTACTGTAAAAATAATGTAAAATATTTTTTTGTTTGAATTAATTTTTTATTTTTTACAATTTAAAATTTCTGAATCCCACATTGGTATGTACATAGTACGTACATGCATATCAAAAATTTCAGTATTTTGTGTATCTTCATTTACATACGTTAATAAATATTCAACAATAATTTTTTTCTACTTTTTTTTAATTAAATTTTAAAATATTTATAATTTTATAGCGCTAAAAAAACATTTAAACAAACTTTGCAAGAGTCGTACTTAAATACGAACAAGGTTTCAGATTTTTTTATATATTAAAACAACAAATATGCTCGGTAAATATCAAAATTAAAAAAAGTTTAGTGGAGTAAATCTACGAAAAATTTACACAAGAGTACCTAATTTACATAACTTGTAAATACCACTTTTATTTCTTTTATTAATTTACTGATTTCGATTTGAAACGAATCCAAAGTTTTTTAAAGTAAAGTAAATATTTTAAAACCCAAAAATTGTTTTTACAATATGCAGATTTTCATAATATGTAGGTTAAATTTAATACTTATAATTATTTATTTTATAGTAAGAGCAAAACTTTCCAAGTATGTAGTTTTCGTTAATCATTCAGAGACGGTTTGAAATAATAATTCAGATAAAAATAAAATAATGTATCAGTATTTTAAGACATTAATTTTTTTTTATTAAGTCTAATTTGTTCTAACAATATAATTTTGAAATTTGTCTTTGGGATTTTTTATTTTAAGTACAATTACAATACTGAACAAAATTTAAAATTATAATACATACTTTACCAGCAGAATTAAAGGTAAATAAAATAAAAAGCAAAACACATTATTTTATATCACAATGTTTTCATTGAAACACACCAACTAACAATTGATTTTTTAATGAATAAAAATAAAATATAATATTAAAAGATTTGTCCAATAAAATTACAAGAACCTTTTTTATTCTTGCATTGAAACCTGAAATAATAGAAAGAATTCTGATTTTATGTAAAAATATAAAACTTGAAATTTACGACAAAATTGTTCAATTAGAGCCTTGGTTCTCCAGATCCTCAACTTCATTAATATTAATGAGATTAAATTCAGTTATATATTTCCCAACGAATTCAGCAAACTTCCCGGAATCGTGTAGTTCAGCAGAACGTTTAAAAACTAAAAACAATATATATACATATATTAAAATTATGAATTACAACTTAGAATTCTAAACTATTCCATACCTCCTGATACATATTTTTCTAACATATATGTTTTCATTCCAGTACATTCTTGTGCTATTTTAGGTGATAGCGACGATGTATCATTAAGTTCTGGAAGTACCACTCGCCAATTCTGTCGAACTCTTTCAGTATCAATATTATAATATCCCTGCCTCATTTTTTGAAGTAAATCATAAAAATTTTTTGGGGGTAATACTGTTTCTCTGTCTAAAGGCATTACAAAACAACGAAATTTGCTGGTATCGATGATAGCGGATTGATTTACTTTAAAATCATGCATAAATCTGCCGCTGCGCCCATCTTGAAAATCTGGAACATTTATTTTAGCATAGCTCTCATCATCCGATAAATCAAGTTCGTATTCTTCTCGAAAGTATGATGGTAATGAACTGAAAACAAAATGTATTTAAATGCATGCGTCATTTAATTTAAAAAGGAAAATCTTACCCTTCTGCTAAATCACTACGAAGTCCATTCATAATATTATCTACACTACGTAGAAAATCATGCACTTCTTCTGGATTAACATACGCAGCTTGATTCACACTTTGACTATCGTATGGAATATCACACATGCCACGAAAATGCATACGATTTTGTGAAGGTGAGTACAGCCGATAAATGGTAACTCCACCTAAAATTCCCATTAGCATTACTGCTACTGCAGAGAGAAATAGGAATATAGTTGTTGAAGCAGACATTCGTCTGCGGTAAAAGATCATTGATTCTGTGTCGACATTACTGTCTTCAGAGATTGATCCTGCAGTCTGAAAAATTACAGGATTTTGAAAGTTTAATAATCTATTTTAAATGTTCCACATTTTATTGAATAAGGTAACAATTTTATATATGTACATAAATATATAAAATATACATACCTAGGTAAAATAAATTAATTTAATCTTTGCTTAAAATGCAGTTTAAATTTACACATATGTAGGTATATGTATATCTACAACTACAAATAAGAGTATGGACAAACTAATATATTTTCAGTTTGTATTTTGTAATATTTCAATTTTGATTTTCGACTAGCTTTGCGATTTTTTTATGAAACAGTTTTATGAGTACATTCGTATATAAAAGTAAAATTAATGCATCTATATATGGATAAATTTATACATACATATATGCATGTATACAAGCATTATATAAAATGAATATTGATATTTTTGATTTCCATATACATACATACATATAAACATATGTACATACATAATATGTACATACGTGCGAATACAGAAAATGGAGAAATCAATATTTTGTTAATTTTTACTTCGAGTCGATGAGCTCAAAAAAAAAAAAAGTTTATTAATTTTCCGTGTGATTTAAATAAATGCAAACGTATTTACGATCAATGAAAATGAAATTTGTAAAAATTTTTGTTTCAGATATTCGTACATTAATGCATAAATACATATGTACATACATATATGTAAAAATGTGTACACACTTTAAACATATGTATGTTCGTACTTTTCAGCTTATTTTTTTTATTATGCATTTGCAATATAAAATAATTTCTTACCAAGGGTGCGCTGGGAATGACAAGGTTTCCTTCGGACACTAATGGTAATGCAACCTTTTCAGGTTTCTTTTCAATTGTAGATTTTGTTAAAATCGTCATATTAAAAGTTTTTTAAAATTTCAAGCAATAAAAAGAACTTTTTGCACCAAAATGTAGTTTAGCAGTACCAAGGTTTTTCTTAATTGCAGATAGATTAACAACACCAATTAACAAAATAATTACGCGTTACAAAATACAATATTTTTTCATTGCGAGAATCGAAGGTAGTTGACTTATCACTTCATGCAAAATTTAGAGCTGCCGTAGCAAATTTATTTCTAATTACAAAAGTCAAAAGTGTTTTGACATTTTTACTTTGACTAAAATATGTCCAAATGTAAAAATACTGAAGGAAACACACTTTACATTATTTGAATTGTCCATTTTAAAAATAAAATGAAAACACAACTTTAAATGTAATTTCAACAGCCTCATCATATATCTCGCTTTTTTACTCACTTTTTATTCATTTTCGAATCAGAATCCCCAGTATTTTCGAGTGAACGTTTCAGTTACAAAAACAAAGAGAATGAATTTTGCATGTATTTTAGTCCAAATAATTCTTCTCACTCGAAAATTACATTATACAAGTATATAATAGTTACTTTACAATTATATAATATATGTATAATATATACTTATATATTACCCCAAACGTCTTTTACATACAAGTATATAATAGACGTTCAGTCGATAATTTGAGAAAAAATGCAAAACTCCAATTAAAAAATGAGTAATCTAATTGGAAAAGTTAAATGTCCAAAACTGAATAGAAAGTATGTAAGTAAAAAAGCGTGATACACGATTAGACTGCAAATGAATTATCATAGCTACTAACTCAAATATATAAAGCTCACCATAAAATTGTGTTGTAAATAAGAGAGGTAAGAAAACAGATATTCCCCTCTATTATGAACATCGGTATCGTCCGATATATTATCGGCAGTTCTAATCGGTTTTAGGTTTCTTCTGTATTATGAACCGATACCGATAAAAATATTTCAACCGATTAAAAGAAGCTTTTTCATACAAATTTTTGTTTTTGTAAATTGGAGAAAAAGTTTTCAAAAAATTTTTAAAACTATTTTGAATTTGGTTTTGATGTGCTAAAAAGTTGTTGTAAGCAAATTATTTTCTGTTAAATTTGTAAAATAAAAATATATGTACATATATCGGGAAAATGTCGCGTGCATTATATTTTGAAAGTGAAGAAACGGTAGTAAGTGAAGAAACGCAAGCTATTCAAAGACGACATATAAGAGATTCAACTAATCCATTGGATTTAGACAACAAAATGTATGTTTATGTACCTATTTTATTTTATTATTTATATAATATGTACACATTTTTTAGGTTTATCCAGAATTTCAGATTATCATTCCTTGCCAGGTTTAAGTCCTCTTCCATTTTTTCTACTAACCGCGCAATTTGTTTTTTGTTGCTTACGATTTTACTCCTAAATAAAATATATGAATAACATTTTGAAAGAAAATAATTTAGAAAAAATGCTTACATTTTAAAAAAGCAATTAATTACACCAGTTTCCTTGATAAAATGAAGATTTTACAAAAAAAAAAATCTGTCGTCTAAAAATTTATACCCGCTTTTAAATCGGTGAAAACTTGACAATTTATCGTTTTCATAATACCAGCTAATACGTTTCCTATACAGGGAAAAAAAGCTTTCCCGACTCCGATAAAATTTACCGGTAAACAATGTTGGTAATACAAACACAAAATTTTGCCGATAAATGATCGTTTATCGGCCGACACCGATATACATAATAGAGGGGATTAATTTCTAATATTTTATTTTTGATACATTGTTTTCCATTATAAACAAAACAAAAAGAAATATTCAAATTTCATCTTCAAAATGGTTTTCTACTTTTTATAAATATTTATTATAGGTCTGTCTGATATAAGAAAGTTTTTAAAAGTTAAATAAAGTTTTTGAATGCAAATCGTTTGGCTGGGATAATACTTTTTGAACAAAAATGAGAGAAAATGATAACGTTCTCATTTTCTCTTATTCCTACTTTTGTAAAATAAAATTTAGTGTTTTAAAAACTTTCATAATTTTATAGCTGTCGAACCATATGTTTTTCTGTGTTACGTCAGAAAGTTTTATTTTTGAAAAAATAATTAGTTGTCAAATCTCAACAGTTTGCTATATGCAGGGATTTTAATGAATTTCACGAAATTTATATTTTCCAAAGCTTTTTACTTCCCTTTTGAAAAAAACAGAAGGTTCATACAAATAGCTCTTGAAAGATGTACTAGTTTTGATTTATCTTATATTTACTTCTTACTCTGGTCGTCTAGTAGAGCGTAATAAAAATATATCAACGAAATTTGGGTAAATCATGGCAGTTTCTGTTTTTTCTCTTTTCGCTATTAGTTTTAAAGAATGATGTAAAGGACATTTTGATTACGTTCAATTAGACTTACTTCGAATTCTGTCCTTGAAGCAAAAAAGATACTTTTTATATTTTGTTGATTGCTTATTTCGGCTGCGAATATTTTGATTTATTTGTATTTTCTCAAAATTAAGTTACTTATAAAGTTAAATATTTTTTTAAAATTTTTTATATTAACACCGAAACTATTTATTAAGAAAATACAACTTATTTTGTTGTCTAAGTTACATCAAAAGAGTCGTAGAAACCTTAGAGTCGTTTATTTTTTAGCAAGTCTTTAAATAATTTTTCTTTGCCATAGTGTCAAAAAACTGTTTTATTCATTTTCAAAGTTGGTATCATGTATTAATATTTTTCATTTATTAATTCAGCAATATTTGACAATGGGCAAATATTCATTTTGATTCTCTTAGTTTAAAAAATAAAAAGACATAATTTCTTAAGGAACCAAAGGAAAATTTTGAAATACTTTTAAAGCAAAATCAGCATTTATAGTAATTTGTTTTTGTGATAAAAAAACTTTGAAATAAGTAGATAATTGTGTTAATAACTTATCAAAATTTATAATAAAAGAGACGTGAAATCAAAAGCTCAAAAATTTGTAATAATTGACTTTTCTTTTTATCTTTTCATAAAATTTAATACTGCAAAGTGAATTAATAAACGTGAATATTTTTTATCCAAGGCTTTTAACTGTACATTATTTTTTTAAATTTTAATACTTTAAAGTAAATTTTGATGGTTCTGGTTATTTGAAAAACTTTTTAAAAAATTTATATGTAATGTAAATACATTATCTAAAAACTAAAAAAAAGTACATTGCCAAATTTCTATATAGTAATGAGAATTTGGCTTGGTAAGTTGCATAGCAAAAGTGTAATCAACAAATATTAAAATCTGTAATTATTAGCAGTAGGTAATATTAACTATATTTGTTGAATTTGATAAATATGTTTCATTTCGAAATTTTAAGAAAAATTTAGTACAATTTATTGCAAACATGCGAAAGCGAAAAATAAATAGAGTTTACCTAAAAAACAAGAAAATCCATATAATAGCTAATGAAAGCATTGCTGCTATTTGGAATGTTAATGTATAGATGTACATATGTATGTATGTTCCAAATTAAAATTTTGTTTTTCCAATTGAAAGTAGAGTAAGTAGCTCATGAAAAATTTAATATTTTTTTGTTAAATGTATTAACGATGAATTTAAAACATGGGGCATACAAAATTATGATAGTGAAATATCTTTTCTTTGATTTTTAATTTAAACGAAGTGAATTTTTTTAATAAGATAAATGTCTTACAACCAACCTACCTAAATATGCTTAGGGTAATAAATCAAAATTTGAAATAAACTATTTTAGAAAATTTAATGCATATTTTAAAACAAATTCACATAAAATATTTTTTTTTCAGTAATGGTAATATTTTCGTATATGTACCTACCTACCAACTTACCCCTTAAACTTTTTTTCATAGAAAATTATTTGAGTGCAGTAACCGAGAGCACTTTTTTTTATAAAGCGCAAGTCCTGTTTGTCAAAAGGATAACTTCAGCGCAGTTTGGGCAAAAGTGATTTTTTATAAGAAAGGATGTTTTTTTAAACTATTCTTTGTAGCCATAGAACAGGAAACAGGATATTTTAGATTAAATTCAATAAATAAGTAAATAAAATTAAAATATAAATTAGTGATTTAATTTATATTTTGCCATTAAGTGTATTCGATAAATTTTTTTTATTTCAAAAAATCTGTAAAAGTATATTTTTAATTAAGTATCTATAAATTAAAAATTTAGTCGAATTCAATATAGGCGTGTTCACGAAATATTTAATAAAAGAAAATTATAAATTAATTTATCAAAAATTGAATAGCTAGCAAGAAAGAAAAAAACCACAAGAAATAATAAAAAAAATTAATATTTTGAATAAATCATTCATTAAAACCAATAATGAATATACAGATGTTTTAATAAATTTATTCTTATTAATTTTAACTTTGATAATCATATATGTATACGTACATGCAATTTATTTCATCAAAATCTTATGCGTACTAAAACACGACACGGTGATTTTATCTTAAATATTAAATTTACGTACCTACACTGTATTTATTGAATTTTTTAATTTACATATCTTATGAATATTGAATTAAAATGTTTTCAATAATTCAATTACAATCGACAGTGTAAAATAAAATGAAATTGTTTATAAATATTTATAAGGCAAAAAAATTGGAGTATGCATTTTATGTGCATTCTACTAAATTTGTTCGATAAACAGGTAGGTAGGTAGGTACTTAATGTATTTAGTGATACAAGAATTTTACAAAGCAAAAAAATATAGGTTCAATGACCGGAACTTTATTAAATTGTTTAATAGGAAGGCACATATTATAGTTTTTTTTTTACAATCAACTATCAGAATTTGACAATTGAAAACTCTCATTGTTTTTTTAATACAAACAGACTTTGGGAAGAAATCTTAAAATTATAGATTACGAGTATTATAAATTTTATAGATTATTTAATAAATAAATTTTTATTCATAATATTAAGAACAATAATCATATTTTTTATTAATTTTGAAAATTGTAATATGTAATACTTAGTGATGTTAACAAAATTTTATAAAAAATTAATGTTACAAAATTACCATGCTTTGTCGATATTTTTTTATTAATTACATTTTTTTTCATATTTCAGCCAGTGAAATGCAATTATAGCAATTTCATATTAGTAAGTTACGAGATATACGTTTTAGGAGTTTAATAGAATTTTACTTTAATTCTTCGATAAAACAATAAAAATATAATTAATAATTCTGGATACTTTGTAAAGTATAAATATAAAAAGTAGAAGGAGCTTATCTTCAATATTCCTTTCGTTGGAATGTTGGAGCATCCTCAACGATTTGGCCGCAGTATCCCTGATTCCTCCTCTTCAACGGCATCTGCAACAAATCGAAGCCATTATTACGGTAATAACAACATAAATACTGGTCTAGGGGGTTGTAATATTTCATGGCAGCAACAACAATCTCATTATCCAACTGCACTAGGTTCACCAGCACATCATCGTAATCCTTCTTTAGTATCGAATTATAGTAGCTCGCATAAAATCGTCACTTTTAGTAATAATTCAATTAGTGATTGTGTTAACATAAGCAAAATTGGTTGTGGTGGACAGCTCATGGCGGGAAATATGAAGCACGGTAAGAATATTAACCTTTTTTTCTTATAAGTTTAAAAGCCATTTACAAAAGGAATCCAAAAGTGGAATTCCGGCGACATGTTTGAAACATAATTTGTTGCATGTATACATAATTTTTGGCAGATATATATGTATGTACTTTAACTTTTTATTTCTATAATCACAAGCATATATATACATCTTAAAATTTTATACTTAATTTTTTTATTTTGGTTATTAAATTTTTTGTGTTTGTTTTTTATATACATACATACATGCATATATATAAACCACTTTTTCAGGGAAATCACAGGAGGATGTCTGCTATGTTGTAGCAAAATATGATTATGCTGCACAGGGGGCTCAAGAGTTAGATTTAAGGAAGAACGAAAGATATTTACTTCTTGATGATTCTAAACATTGGTGGCGAGTTCAAAATAATCGAAATCAATCAGGTTATGTACCGAGCAACTACGTTAAGAAAGAAAAGCCATCGTTATTTGATAGGTAAATAAATTTGAATTTTGTGTTTCACAAATATTATTTAGCTTTTACTGCTTTAACATTATTTATTTTTTTTTGATTTCGGCATTTTAATGCAAATAAACTTCCAACTATCTCTAATTTCACATAGGAAACTTTATTTCAGCATTAAGAAAAAGGTTAAAAAAGGTTCCGGTTCAAAGACATTGCCAAACTGCTCTCCATCACGACAAATGGAAAGTCCAACAATGTCTCGACGTTTACCGCCAGATCCTTCGGAAGCTATTGGTACGGCTATAGTCAAATATAATTATCAAGCTCAACAAGCTGATGAACTATCACTGACCAAAGGAACTCGAATTTTAATCTTGGAAAAATCTAATGATGGATGGTGGCGTGGACAAAGTGGTAACTCGGTAGGTTGGTTTCCTAGTAATTATACGACGGAAGAGTGTGAAAACGATGGAGAATTACATACATATGCAATGGCAGAAAATGTTCTGGATATTGTGGTATTTTAGTAGAAGTGAAATTGTGAAGTTTTAGTTATTATCTATAAATTTTAGGTGGCGCTTTATAATTTTACGTCAAATAATGATCAAGAATTGTCTTTTGAAAAAGGGGATCGTTTAGAAATAATTGACCGACCATCGTCTGATCCAGATTGGTATAAAGCAAGGAATAATCAAGGTCAAATTGGTCTAGTACCCCGAAATTATTTGCAAGAGCTTTCTGAATATCTAGCAACGCCTTATCGTGGAGGCGTTCAAGGAAATAACGGAGGAGGTGGTGGAAGTGTTAGTGGTGGGGACTCTATTGATCGAAGAAATGACAGTGTAAGCAACGGTCAACCATCTCAATCGGGATCTTCATCAATGCCATTAGAACGTCCGAATTTAGCTGGTAAAAGCTGGTATTATGGATCTATTACAAGGATTCAATGTGATACGGTATTAAATCAACATGGTCACGATGGAGATTTTCTTATTAGAGATAGTGAAACAAATGTAAGTGTTATGTTAAACTACCTTTTTAATATTTGAAAAAAATCTAAAGAATCCGAAATGAAAGGATAAAATAAAAAAAAAATTAAGTATGTGTGGGACGGATAAAAAATCAAAAATTGGAAAAATCATATTACATTGTGCCATATTAATTTATTTTTTAATTTTAGATGGGAGATTATTCTGTTTCCCTGAAAGCTCCAGGAAGAAATAAACATTTTCGTGTTCATGTCGAGAATAATATGTATTGTATCGGACAACGTAAGTTTCATACATTAGATCAATTAGTTGATCATTACCAAAGAGCACCAATCTACACAAATAAACAAGGTGAAAAATTATACTTAGTTCGACCATTACCGAAAGCTAATGGAACATAAAAAAATATACAATTTAGATTTATTTTTTATTTAAATTATATAAATTAATAAAGTATAACTTATCGTAGAAATTAAAAATTAAGTTAAATATTAAAAAAAAAAATTTTAATTTGAAAATTTAGATTTAAATACAATATGAAAAATAACCAAAATCAATCGAATGATTAAATGTTAATTTTACGTATTTTTATATTTTATATAATTTAATAGTATAAATAATCACATACATTAAATACATACATATACAATACATATTTAATATATGCAAGTATAGTAATAATCATGAGACATTTATTTTTGAAAAACAAAAACTTCGAAGCTTAAAGAAATGCTACAAGCATACATTGACTCTACTATGTGAAATAAATATTCAAATGAATTTTAAGAACATTTACAAATTAATATTTGATACACGTTTAATTTTCTTTTATTTTCTTTAGTAAAAAATAATGAAGTTTGTAAAAATAATCAATTTTTTAATTTTTAAATAATATTAAGCTAATAGAAAATACTGAATAGATTTATTCATACTTGAATAGAACCAAATTTTATATTTCTCTTATTTATCTTAATGCGAAATAGAAGAATTGCTATCAAATACAATAAAGAAGATTTTAACAATAAGTTTTTTCTTATGTTTACAGAAGTTCAAAATGGAACGAACTTTACTTTAATTTTAAACCACCTTTTTTGTTTTCGAATTCATATACCTGAATATTAAATGTTTGATGGCAACATTCACGCATTAGGACTTTGAAATTTAAGAAAACAAGTACTAACATTACAAATAGTGATTTGAGTATTTAAGTAAATATTAATAATGATATCTATAGACAGAGTCGTTTTCTTTTAAGAAAAATATGTAGTGTTTTAAAACAAATAAAAAATTCTGTAAAAAATAAGCTGATTGTTTATTAAGGATTTACCAGTGATTTTGTTGGCTTCGATAAATCTGTAACATACATCATACAAATAAAGGCAAAATCATTATATAAGAGACAAATACTTAAATTCCAAAGTAAAATTAATGTAACCGAATGTAACTTGATTTTAAGTACTAAACTACATAGTATCAAATAATGGTTTGATTGTTTCAACATTTATTGTCACCCTATATAATCGATAGCCCCAGATGTGGTAATCTACTTTTATAGCTTTGTTATACATATATGATAATGCATTAAATTATTAGATAACATTTTACTAAATATTAATCAAAATATGAAATTGCAAAATTAATTTCTAAGCTCTTTACAAAAAAGCAAACCATAATTGATTGAAAAATAAACGATAATTATAATACATATTCTGTAAAATGTCCAAAACATTATGAAAATAAGAATTACGTTGAGCTATTATAGCGAAAATTGAAAACATTTAACATGAAAATAATAAATTTTGTTAGAGTTAAATTTTAGGTTTTAGTAAGAATACCATAGAAAATTTTTAGTTTTTGTATTTGTTATGTGCTCATTTCATATGTCAGATTTTATAATTTTCCGTCATTGATTATTTTTTATGCACTTAACTTCATCGAAAAAATTAGTTTCAAAATTGCCTAAAGCTTAACAAAACTTTCATGATAGCTCAAATAACTTCTAAATTTGAAACAATGAATCCTAATAATTAACATAATACAGACATTTTACCAAAAAACAAAAAAAAAAATTATATATAAAAAAAAAGAAACAAAAAACTTATCATAGCTAATATAAATAACTGTAAAAAGTTTCCAGGGTCGAGATAATGCTATACTAATGCCAAATACAGTGATTCCTCATATAATGACATAGGGACCTAAAATTTCAGTTGCATAAGTTGTAATGAGTAAATATTATAAGATTTGTGATTAAATCAAAAAAATATTTACACATTTCAGAATGAACAATATTTGCTTAAAAATTTTTTTTTGTGAAAAAAGCAAAAACAACAAATATTATATCACAAATGTGTAAGTTATAAAATAAGGATTAGAATTTGTATTGATTTTAAAAACTCAAAAACAGGAAGACACTTTAAAAAAAAAAGACAAAGCCAACAAGAAAATCGGCTTTGATAAACTCCACAAAATATTTTTATGCAAGCATAAATTAAGTGTCTTTTTCGAAAAAAATGTTTTCTTTATTTTGAAATATTAAGTAATTTTGTAAACAATATAAGTTTTAGCTCAAACAGAAAAACAACTATAGTCGTTGTAGGAGGAATATATCGCTATATGAAATAGAATGTCCCAAAATATGTTGAACGAGGAATTAGTGTATATCTATCAACCGACCAAGCTGAAATAATTTTTCGAAGTGTAGTTTGTAAATTACAAATTATAGAAACAATGTTCAATGCGTATTTTTTGGGTAATCTCATTTTATATCAGTATATTTTCAAAATCCATCTGGAAATATTATTAAATTTATCCAAATTATTTTTATTTTTACAAGTCAAAACAAAGACGTGCTTGAAATTGCTTTGAATTTTTTCTTATAATTCTTAAAAAGAATTTTATTTGCAATTTAGACAGTATTCCATTGGAAGACCGGAAAGGTCGAATGCGTTCAAATTTGCTTTTAATTTAGAACACGAATTTTTGCTAAATATTCACATATAAAATGTGTATATATATATAATATTTGTATATGCAGGATCAAGAGAGTTTAAAATATTAGCCAATTTTCTTCACACAAGTAAATATTATCCAATAACTCTTCGGATTTTAATACAAATTTGAAAATTTATTGGAATTATTTTCGACATTAACTATAATAACTAATTTACATTCATATATCTATCAGGCTATTAAGCATGACTCACAAATTTTTTGTGAAGGCAATTTTAAATCTGATGATTTTATATTTGGGAAAAAATAATTGAAACTTAATTTGAAAGTATCCGACCATTTCTCTCTTCCAAATGAAAGGACACCGACTAAATTACAGAAGATTAAAATTTACAAAAAAAAAATGTTTAAAATTTGATCCACTGAATTCGGAAAATATTTTCAGCTTAAGGTGATATATTCGACACTAGATTATTTTTATTATTCATTTTTTTTTTCCAACTTAATATTTCTTATAGAATAATTTAAGTATTACTTTATGTCATTTTTATAATATACATACATATAAATACAATAAATATTTTATAAATACATAGAAAAAATAAATGTCATTAAAAGGAAATACAATTATTATATTACTTTGTTTGTAAAAAAAAATTGCATAGAACGATATATTTGTTCAAAAAAATCTTATGTATATAATGTGTGTATTTATACATATCGCATAATTGAGCTAAATGAAATAAATTTGATTATTACACCTTCTCAAAAATATGCATAAGTTCCAATTTTAGTTCGTAAAAAAATTATTTGGTATTTGTAATTTGCATATTTAGTGAGTAATAATTGAGCAATAAGCGAATGAAGTATGATCAAAAATATTTGGCTAAATTTTTTTAATTATTTTCAGTAGTATAATACGTGTAAACTCACAAAATTTCTCAGGTATTATTGGCTGAACAAAATTATATTGAACCCATATTTTCAATAAATGTTTTAATTTAATTTTGTTCTGTTGTCTCTTTTAAAATAAAAGGGTAATATTTTTCCAGAAATTCACATATTCACTGGATTTTTATAAACATGACTTGTTAGTAAAATTCCAGACTATTGGTTAGGAATTAGGGCTAGTAGAGCTTCATTCTTGTTTTAAAATTCTAGAATTTTATTCTAATTTTTTTATAATGAAAATTTGTCAATGATTAGTTACGTATAAAATGAATTTTAAAACTTTCAAAAGGACAAATTTCATATATGTATAGATAAAAATTCGAGCGAAATATTGGTAAAATATTCGAATATTATTTACCTTTTCCTTGTATAAACATGTATGTATATTATCATCAATAGTTGTATATTAGTTGTAGCAGAAACTATTAAAATAGCTCTTAATAAAGATTGTTATTGTATTTATTTTAACGAAATTGCTCTACAAATTAGAGTTTTTGTTAGGTTAGAGGTTACTAAGGTTTTGATAAAATTTAAATTTTTTCTTACTGTTTCTAATAATTTCAGAGTTCCAAATTTATTACTCACATTTGATTTAATTTATAACCAACATTTGATTTAATTTATATTCACACTCTTTAAAAATTTAATGTGTTAAAATTATTTATATCTTTTAATTAAAATTATAACTGAAAAAAAAAAGTTATTAATGCATTTCCAATTTTACACGTTTTATATATATGTACATACATATATTTGCATCGCGTTCATCAAGTCTTGCTCATCAAATTTTGCAGAACAAAAACTATCAAATATTATACATTAATAATTTTTGTAAACGAATAGCAACATAAAATAGGTCTTTATTACATAAAAAAATTACGAATAAAATAAATGTGAATAACAAAAATCAGAGTTTTATTACGTTTCTGTTACTTTCGCAGCATATTGTGCAATACACTTAGTAAAATTGTATAAGCGATTAATATCTCTATAAAGAAATTTTTATTTATTGTATTTTTTAAAATATCTATGCATTTTTATTATTTCATTTAAATTTTTATTTCAGATCTTTCGAATTATTCAAATGCAATTTTATAATTTTGGAAATTTCTTGTTGCACTTAAGAATTTTATATTTTCATTAGAATATTGATTATATTGATTGTATTTTCATTTGAATACATACATATATAATTATGTACTATTTTTAAGTTACCTTTTAAAGTGAAGTATGAAAAAAGTCTCTGAGGCATACCGATACCTAATTAAGCACATATAGATATACATATTTTTTTTCAACATATAGATTCCACATATAGATATCAAATTTTTCCATATAACTAGCCTATGTGTACCTTGAGGTAGCTGCGCTTACCTAAATACCATATGTATATATGTAATTATATGTATACTTAATATATTATATTTTATGAATGTTTTTAAAATTTGCCAGTTATAATTTTTTCAAACAGTTGCTAGATGTCAAAAAATTAAAATCGTATATGTATTAGCAAAATTTCATTAGTAATTTATTAAATATATGTATGAACATTTCTTTTTAATTTTTCAATAGGTAAGTATATTAATGTATTACATTTTTAGTTTTTACCAACAGCAAGAAGTGACTGGAGATTTTTTATTAGGTAATTATTGTATTCTTTGTAGCAAATGGGAGAAACGTTAATAACATTAATTTTAGTGCGCTGAGTATCGCCATAGGTTTCCAATTTGCTCCGCAGTTTGAACGAAAAATATTTAAAATGCGCTTCTGAAAAAACATTTTCAACATCCTCAGGGTTTAATTCGAGGTATTCACCAATCTCTTGTGCGGTTTTTCCAACAATTTTTTCTGCTGTTTCATTAAAACAACTCACCCATCTAGTAGAAGTCCAATCTCCAATATTAATGTTTAACAACAAGCGATATTTAAAGTTTGGGAAAAGTGCATTACACTTTTCGCAGCGGAAATGACCATTACCTTCGTCGATTACTTTTTTATTACACTCTGCTTGTGGACATGCTTTATATGTAGGATTTGTATTCTTTATTAAATGCACAACAGCTTTCACTTGAAAATAATCTGGTTTTTCCCCACCTCCAAAATTTTTGATTCTTGTTTCATAGAAAGTTATGTAATCACTTGCAAAACCAGCTCCACCTGCTAAGGTTCTACTAGAAACATTCGATAATATACTTTCACCCCCACCATTATCAAACCATCCTCGTAACTTATGTCCTTCAGGTAAATCTGGATTTATTTTCAATACAGACCCATTTCCTATACTTACAAATTTTCCACCTAAAAAAATAAAATTTTCTTTTAAAAAATTAGCTATAGGCAGTACCTATATGAGAATGTTATAAAAATATCCGATATTTACTACACGAGTTTTTTTCCTTACGTAAAATTTGTATAAATTATTCTATTTTCCACTAAAGGATTTATTTTCAAAAGATCAAGTTTATACATGGTAGGTACCTATGTGTTTAAATTCTTTTTTTTTAAATTTTACTTACCCCCGAATTCAGTAACAATAGCGTTTTTGACAGCAATAACTGGTTGAACATATCCATCATATTTAACCGCTTCATCACCCCAAAGGGTGAGCTGAACAGCAGCGTTGCTTGTATCTATTAGTGTCAATTCTCTTTTTTTAAACTCACGATTATTGGTTTTTCCAGTGAAAGTTTGAAGATCACCAGCCTCTCGGCATATTCCGATTACATCCACTACTGATTTTGGCTCCATATTAGAGATTTGACTGATTGGAACCCAATTATATTGAACTTGTGGAATATTTGCTTCATTTTCTGTACATGGTTGAACAATTGTTTCAGAAGTAAAAGTAATTTCGTAATCATTGTTCAATGATGAATATTGCTTATTGGCTTGTTTTAATTGACACTTGGATATAAAGTAAATTTTGTCTACTTCAATCATATCAAAATATTTTTCGCATTCATTTCTAAATGCAGTTGCTCTTATTTCCCCTGATTCATCCATTAAATCCATACTAAATAGCTTACCTTCGCCTTTCGCATTGCTCCACGTTCTTATTGGCGATTTAGCAACTACTCGGACTTTAATCACCCACTTTGACTTGTAAGGGCTTAAACTGGATATAGGGTTGGTTAAATGAGTTTGAAGCGATTGATTTAAACTGGAATTAACATCTTCCGTTCTAACATTTCTTTTGGAAGGTAAGTCAACTGATTTATGTGTAGGCCTTTCTGTAAGTTTATTTAATGTCGGTTCTGTGTTGGAATCTCCAGTAAATGGTTGAGGATTTCCAATTCTTCTTCCAACTTCCTCTCCAGATTTTATAATTGTTAAATCAAGAATAATTAACACGCGTTTTTCTTTACTCCCATTATCTTTACTTACTACTGAAGATATATATCTATCAACACGTATTACAGTATAATCTGATAGTTGACCTGAAGTATACAAATTATTTAGTTGAGTTGCTAACATGGCAAAACTGTTAAGATATTTTCCATCTGAAACTAACAATCTGAACCTTTCAGAACCTTCAGATCCAGCAATCCTCCTCGTCCCTAATATTTGTAATATTGGCTTATCATAGTCAACGCCAGAAAGTATTGATTCAAAACAGCCTGAAGACAATTCAATCTCCATTTTATATTAAATAAAACTTGAGCTTTATATGCTTTATATAGTTTAGGTGTGAAAATTACATATGCAAGTATGAAGTAAAGGAATACCCAATCGATTTAAATTTTGGCGCACTTTAAAAATAATAAGTTTGTTAATTGTATTTGTTCTTCTACACAAATTTCACTGCCTACAAATTTCTTTTATATAACTTATTATTTATCATAAAACTAAAACCAATAAGAACACTTATTTTAATTTAAATAATTAATAAAATAAATTGAAAAATAATGTATGTACTTGTTGTTTTGCATTTACGAAATTCGAATTTGAATGTATATACCTACATATGTATGTGGCTATCTCATATATCTATATGCAATGGTAGAGAACTATCGACAGTATCATTATTACCGACACACATCAGTATTATGAGTGTCTTCCAAATATCTGAATATCGATATTTTTTAAAGTCGATATAATGCTATCGTTAAATAATTTATACAATTCATTAAAGTTTTGTTAAGATGTTATTAAATTTTATTAAATTTTATGAAGTCATAACAATAGTATTTCAATAGTGTACATTAGTTTGTGTTTGTTTTTGGTGTTATTTAACGAAGTTTGAAATTTTTTCGTTTATGTTCGCTTACTTGACTAAGCCTGCATCAACGAATTAGAAATATTTTACTAAAGGCGGGATCACCTTTTTTCTATCTTGCTTACACTTCCTAAAAAATCGTATATTGAAAACAACAGCGAAGCTAAAAACTTCAGGGGCCTTACTATGTAATTCGATTTTCACGAAACGATTTTCGTATTCGAGAAAATGGTAAATTGGAAAAAATGTCAATTTGAAATTGACATTAAATGCTAAATGCGTGAATTATAAATGAACTTGGGAAAAATTTTGGGCAAAAAAATAAAATGAGTGTTGTGTTAAAAATATGTATATTGTTTTAAAAAAATTTAAAATAAATTTGAAAAATGTAAAAGGGAAAAAAAATTTTACAAGAAAAAAAGTGCATAATTCCAAATTGTTATTCTCATTTGAAGAACCAAATGGAAGTTTCTACTCATATTTATGTATGTAATACATATGTACATATGACTTTATAAAATTTTTAAAAACTTTATAAAATTTTTGCATGCAAACTGTCTAGGATAATACTTTTTGAACAAAATCAAAATTTTCAGTTTTCAGTATAACCAAAAAATATTTGTTTATGTTTGATAAAAACTTTGAAATTTGACGCTTATCACCTATTTATAAAGTTCTTAAAAGTTTTTTCAAGTTTTCTGTCTGTTCTTTTTTTTTAAATGAGAATTTTTTTTCTTTTTGAGAGAATTTTCGTCATTGTTTCTCTTTTTAAAGTTTTTGCAAGGTTTATCCCAGACTTATTTACTTTAATAATTTAAAGAAATATTTATTCAATAGTGTTAAATGTAATTCATAAATCGTAATTTATTAAGTTTTTAATTTTGAAAAGAAACATTTGTTCTTGTTTGTTTTAAACTACTATTACTTTGGATGACATAATATTACCAGGAGCGGGCCTTTTTTTAAAGCTGGATTAATTGGTTCGTCAGTTAAACGACGAGCTGATGTATTTTATATGAAAATTTGACATTCTTTTTTATTTTTAGCACAGCTTTTTTTCTTTCTCTCAAAAAGTTGAATCAACTTCAACTTTAGTGCGGAGGTTTTTTTTAAAACGTCAAATTTATATATACTGAACTTTTAAAATTGCATATAATTCTTGTCAAAAGTAAAAAAGTAATGAATGCATTATAATACAAAAAGCGATCAGCTTTTTCCATACGAGCCAATGAACAATCAAGAGAAAAAATAGTTCGATAGACTTTAAATAGCTCAGCTTAAAAACAACGATACGATGAATCTAGTTTGTATTAAATACAAACTAATTTTGCTTAAGCCTATACACACGATAGAAAGTAAAAAAAGTTGACTGAAGAAGTTTTCTTTTCAAATATTTTATCAAATAGTATTATACATATTCCATAACATTTTGATTCGAAATATAAAAAGAAATTATATGGTATAGTTTTTGAGACGCCGGATGCTGACGATATGACGTCTTTGAATGCAAAAAGTAAAATAAAACATTAGTGTGAAAATATATGTTTTTTTTAGAATGAATAGTTAATTAATGAGTAAGTAAATGATGGCATATCGTGGTAGTTTAATGAGTAATAACCAAAATATTAATTAAAATTTGGAGTTATTTTGTATCCAAAATTCAACAGATTAATGAAACGTCACTTCAACAATTTCTCACATTGAAAAATGTTTTGTTAACATTATCGTCATAAAGAAACAGCGCATTGCAAGTAAGGAAAAATATTTTAAAATATTTTTTTCCTTTCATTTTAAAAAAACTTTGACCTATAAGTTAAAAATATTTATAGTAGAGGCCCAATAAAAAAAGAAAATAAGCACGCTCGTGTTACGACTTTGGCAATGCCCGGAATAAAGAAAGACACAACTAGAAAGAATTTCGGCTCATTTTTTTTTTAAGATGCTAAAGTATTTCTAAGTCGTTGGTTTACATATTATTCTGCGCAGGTGCGTGGCATCACAAACGAAACACTTAACAATAGTCATGTGGTAAAAATTAAATTTTATATTCTACGATATAGATTTTATATCGTTTGAGTTACGGAGTTTAAACTTAATTGTTATTTTTATTCGGTTTTGTGTGTTGGTATTGGCGCTCAAAAGTTTTTGATTGAAAAAGTTCATGTTCGACGATGTATTGAAAGTATTAATACTTTACTTATATCGATACTTGTCTAATGTCACTACATTGAATTGAGCAGCAGTGACTGAGATGGTAAGCTATTAAAAGCTATTGAATATTTTATCCGTCAACTGTTTTGAGTGATAAAAATACTGCCACGGATACCGTAAGATGATAGTCTTCTACAAAAATATACATTTTTTACTGGTTCTTTAAAACTGCATTCATCTGCTTGCCAGCTTTAAATTGAGCTTTTCCAAATTGAAGTAATTTTTCTCTTGATAGTTAAAATCCTGAAATAAGCAGAGTTTTTCTATTTACAAATTTTTATTATTTACATATGCAATAAAATTTACAATTTAATCTGAGTCTGATGAAAGTAATGTACATTCTATTTGGCATCAGTCTTTGTCTAACGGAAAATACTAGAAATTAGGCAGTGTTTGCACATCAAGCAAAATTTGATGATTTTATTTGATTGTATGGAAGTGTAAATTTGATGTGTAAACGTACAATCAAACCAAGCAAAATCGAACGAGAAAAATAGAGCCTTTTTCAATTCTTATCACACTTTTGAACAAAATTGGAAATATAAAATGGCGAAAATAAATTTTCCTCGTTATGTGTGCTGTGATCAGCTGTTTACTGTTGTTAGCAAAGTTTAGTTATTGTAAAATTTATTTTTTATAGTTAATTAAATTATTTTTTATTAAGTCTTTAAAAATAAATAAAAAATATTTCAAAAGAAGTATTAGTTGGCGACAATTTAATTCAATTTATTATATCATTCGAAAAAATGGTTACTGGATATGTTTATGGAAAACATAAAGCATATTACGATTTAGGGAAGGAATTTGGAATAAAAAACGAAGAGGTAAAGGAAAAATAAATGAATTAAAAACTTGATCGTTTGGCTATTTCCTCCGACAACAATGAACAGCTGATCACAGCGCACGTAACGAGGAAAATTTATTATGCCTCGTAGTGCAATGAAGATTTAACGATGCTCAGGAAGATTGTCAGAGATGTTTTCAATATCTGCTACAGCAAGGGGTCGCGTCAGCCCTACAAAAAGTGCCTGAGGAAATACAAAATAGGGCTCCGTGGGGGTAGAATCTCTTCACTGGTGTCTCGATAGTGGACAACTTCTCACCGCATGGGGCGGCTGGAATTGATGGTATATTTCTGCTAAGCTGCAAAACATTGGGAATTTATAGTTCCGTTCCTTCTAAAAGTTTTTAGGAGCTGCCTCTAACTCTGCGCCGTATCTAAGTAATAGAGACGTGCAAAGTCGATCTTCATTCCAAAACCGAGAAAGAGGGCCCATGAAATCTCAAAGGATTTTAGACCGATCGGTCTGACCTCCTTTGCTTTAAAAGCTTTTGGAGCGCCTGTTGAACCTGAGGCTATGAGATAGACAGGGGTCAACTCAGCTTTTAGAATCACAGCACGCATATTGGGTGAGCACGTCTGCTGACGTCATAATACATGAGGTCGTTCGGATGGTGGAATATTCCATTTAATATTCCAGGCCAATGTTGCCATGAGCTGGCGGCGTGTGCGCTCGACGTTGTCCAACATTCCTTTGGATCCCGGCTCACCATAATATAGTCCGAAACGAACGGGCGGATGAAATGGCTAGGTATAGGCGTAATAAATACATCGTGCGCTGAACGCAGGTGAAAAGCCCATATGTAGTAAGAAAGTTGTGGCCAATTCCAGATCTGCTTGATTTCTTCATGGCAAGGGGATTATCTAAAGGATTTACGCTTATTGAGGAATTTGAGGACCTAAACTCTGACCGTACAGCAATAATTTTCACTGTTAGCAAGTCCATAATATAACCTACTTACAGGTAAAGTACTAAAGAAATTGCTGATAAAGCGGTCATCGGAAAAAATTATGTACCAAGACAATGGAAGGTTGCCGAAGTAATTGCGCTCTTAAAGCCACGAAAGTCACCTAATATTAAAAACTCATACAGGGAAATTTTATTGTTACCACTGAGATCGAAAGTATTTGAAAAACTGTTTCTGTTAAGGTTAGTGCCGATAATAGAAGAAAGCAAACTAATTCCACAGCACCAATTTGGCTTCAGATCGGAACACTCTACAATGGATCAGTTCACAGAATTTCTAATATAATTGAACACGCCTTGGATAACAAAGAAATTAGATATTTCTGTTGAATTATGAGGTCTCATCTGGAAGTAAGGTATTTTCATGTCAAATACAATGGTGCAAATTCAAATTTAAAACCTATTCGAGCTGGAGTTCCCCAGGGTAGTATTCTCGGAGCAGTTTTATGTATCCTGTTCACTAGAGATATACCAACAAACGATGCTTACTTTATAGCTATATTCTGGCTATTCTGGCTACGAGAAGCAGTCAATCATATGAGTTAATGGACCAAAAAGTGGATAATTAAATTAAATGAAGTAAAGTCGGTACACATAAATTTCAACAACAGAAATATTGAACCGAGGAGAATATACCAAAACTCAAATCAGATTCCGTATGCCAATACTGCAAAATATTATAGCAAACTAAATATAGCAAACTAAAATAGAAGGAACACGTTAAAAAAGAAAAAGGAAGAGATAATAAAAGCTGATCTCTTCATAACGAAATAGAAGATTAAAGAGGTTGACGCCTTTTAACTTGGCTCAGTAATATTAATTGAAATTGTGGAAAAATAATAGCATTGAAGTTGTGCCCAAAAAAAAGAAGTTGTGGACTTCGACCAATGGGTCGAAATAATCTTAAGTCAAAATTAATTTTGACAAATAGAGAAAATATTCATAATTATTATATTAGAAATAGAAGAAACTTATGTAGATACACCTAGAGCTAGGACAACGAAAAAGCAAAATAGTTTAAAATGTATTGCAATAAAACTATTTAACAGTCTTCCTACTAGCTTTAAAAATAGTGAAAAATTGGATATTTTTATATTTTTAAAAGTAAGCTTACATGTAAAAAATTTTAGAAGTTAGAATTGTATTAAATAATATTTATGTAGAAAAAAATGAAACAAAATCTTAGTTTTAAATTATTTATAGTGTTTAAAAAATAGTAAATGTTAATCATAATTAATTAATTTCTTATACATAATTTTATATTTTCGTAAAGTTATCTGAAATTAATAAAGTTTTTATTGAAAAAAATTGAAAAAAAAAATACCAAAACAAAAAAAAACTTTTTGAATTTTTTAAAGTTGCTATAACAGAAAACTATAAAAGTGTAGCACTAATCAAATAGTTAAAGATTGAAAATTAATTTTTTTAAGCAGATATTTAAGAAAATTGATCTTGTAGATAAGGTGATCTCTTCCATAAGAATACGTACATGTAAATTCGACAACTGTAAACTGTAGCTCTATCCAAGCAGATATGTATTGCTGTCAATCGTGTGAGGAGCACATGGAATAACTTTACTTCGTCTATATCTACACAATTTTTCAGAACTTGCCTCCTCTAGAAAAATTATAAACTGTCAATTTTTTTTTACGACTCAGTGATGCCATTGTTAAAATATTTGCGATAATATGGACATTTTCATTTTGGTTCATTATAAATCAAAATTTTATTATGGCTATATTTCTTAAAAAATATTTTTTTTAATAAGTGAAACTTTAAAAATCTTATTTTCATCAATAATTCTTTTTAAATATTTTAAAGTGTTTGTTCTATATTTATTTATTGGTTAAGTGTGAAATAAGTTGGAATTTTCCAACATGTAAATTGTAAATACAGGAGCTCATTTATATTCTAATGTTTCAATTGTAAAAGATGATGCGATTGTGAAAGAAATATCATATTAAAATTGTCCCTTTTTTTAGATTGAATTGAAAACATTAAAAAATTATATAAAAAATTAACTATAAAAGCGTGAAATATAAAATGGAAAAATGAGCGAGAATAGTATAGCTAAAGAAAGAAATGGCAGTCTATTAGGTGAAGCATCAATGTTATGTTTTTCAACCTCAACTTCAGATTCGACCATATCTAAACAAAAAAAAAGTGATGGTTTATCAAGTGCAAAACGAAAAAAACTGAATGATTCTGATGAAAGCGAATCTATTTTATCAGAAAAATTTATTGAATATGATTATTGTGAGGGCAAGAATATTTTTTCTACGGAAGTATCCCTTAATTCAGCAGCACGAAGTGAAAATGATAATAATGATGTAACGATAATCCAACATTTTGTTTTATCTGATCTACCTGATATTTCCTCTAGTCCATTAGAGTCCCATAATACAGATGAATACGTTTTATTTAATGACGTAGTTGATTGTGAAGAGAATGTAATCGATTCCTCTATTAGGAGCTTAAGAGAAGCATCAATCAATGAAAAGCCGGACATGACAATACATGCAATGAGACCTGGTGATAACAGTAAAACTGGAACTTCTATATGTGGAAACAAAAATGTTGAGGAAACTTTTGAAGTTAATGTTAGCACAAATTTGATTGTTCACGACGAAAAAATGAAAAATGATGAACAACAGAAAGTAAATCCAAGCTCCGAAGTAGCAGAACTGCTAAACGATGATGAGGTTGTTGACACAGTTTCTTACAATACTGAGCTAACATCTTTAAAAACAGCAACTCGTACACAATGTTCTAATATATCTACTGATAACATATCAGTAGGTATAGCATCTGCAAAAAAGCGTAATGCTTTGGAAAGATCAAAAATAATACCAGGCGTAATACCAAATACAGCCAAAGTTTCAATTGGTAAGGTCAATTAAGTTATGTCAAAAGTATAAATAATGAAACCCCAGTAAATATTTAATTTGAAATTTTTTTTAAATTTACAACGACACGTGTGTTAAATCTAAAAAGCAAATATTATTGTCAAAAAACTTGTAATTAAATATGTTCCAGGCTAGTTATTTTAATTTAGGTAGGTGGGTTTAAGTTAGATATATTCTAACTAAAAATTCTATTCTAAGTCAGGAAAAAAAATGAAGTTTAAATTGAGTAATGCAGCTTAATGGCGTTAATTTTTTAAAATTCCTATTCATTTTTATCAACTCAGTATTTGCGCTTCAAGATTTATTAATAATAGTTGAGTTGATACTTTTGAATGAACGCCCATGTGTACTTCAAAACTTAATATTTACAACATTTATCGAAACCCTACTTCAACAATTTAGTTAAAATGTTAATGAAAATATTTTAGTTCGCAAAACTAAAGAAATATATTGTGAGTTTAGAGTTATTTAAAAATAATTTAATATTTTGTTACTTCAAAAATTTTTTCAATAAAATTGGTTATTTATTTCTCTAAAATGCTTTGTTCGGACGTGTAAAATATTTTGCACATGTTTGCATGTAATTTGGAAATTCAGAAAATAAGTTCAAAGAAATACAGTAAAGTTTATTTATAATAAAATGTAGGTACCGAATAACATTTAGTTTACATATATAAAAATTTCAAAATCAAGTTATCTGCGCTATAGCTCACAATTATGAGAGTCTCAAATTATTATTATACTATTAATATTTAATTAAATTAAATGATAAACCTTAAACTAACTTAACTGAGAATTCTTAAACTTCCAAACTAGTGCAGGTTCAAAATTTTTTTCGATGTCTTTGTATATGTTTCTAGCTCTAGAAAAAAGAAAATTTTTTAAAAGTTTATTCAAAAAAAAAAATAGTTCAAAACTTGAGAGTAATTTGTTTTTTATATCATTGCTTATTTCTTTTATATTACTTATTTAAAAAGTTCATGGACTATATTGATTTTGTGTTAATTGAACATACAAATTTTGAGAGTAGTAAGTGAGAAGCACGAATTAACATGGACTGATAAAAACAACTTATTAAAATTTTTAGAAAAAGAAAGCGTATTTAGAATGTCTTATATAAAAATAAATGACTTGTTTTAAAGCAAATTTTTTAGTATTATCGTTTAAGATAATACAAAATGCTGTAAATTCCTTCCATAAATATGGACACAACATAAGCTAAAAGTAAAAAGATTGAATGATTTTATAGCGAATAAACACATCAAATCTTTTAAGTCCCCACATTAGTAAACGTATAGAGTCTTAAATTTATTTTAAGTTTAAGAAGAATTATTCAAATTTATTCTTCTTTAAATTAAGAAGAATTATTCAAATTTATTATTTGTTATAAATTAAGTCATAATTTTTTAGGAAATACAACAATATCAGTACCTCTCCTTAAGAATATGGCTTTATTAAATAATGCGGCGTATGTAGATAAAACAAGCATTTCAAATGCTACTGCAACACAAAAATCAAGAATTTTAAATCACTCTTCGCAACAAAAAATTAATGCTCCTAAAATAGTATCAGTATCGCAATTGGTAAATCCGAGTACTAGTTCTAATATCATGCAAGCAACTATTATTTCAAAAAATTTGAAAATTGATAAGAAAGCTCAATCAATTGGGTTCCCAAATTTACCCCAATTAACAGTATTGCAAGATGTATCTCTACCTAAACAAATATTTGAAAATGAGTCTGATTCGCCGAAAAATAATATTGTAATTCCAAACGAAAAAGATTTTATTAATGACGAACAATTACTTCAACAAGGACAAACACTAAACCATATTATTTTACAAAAAGACAACCAAGACCCTGCCATGGAAGAACAACAAAAAAAAATGCAGGAAACAAATCAAAAGAGTTCTGAAGCAAAAATTTTGTTAGCGAATAAAATTAATAACGAAACGTTGTCTTTGTTCATTCCAACCAAGGATCTTAAATATGGTTCAGTTGAAGAAATTGATGGAGCAAATAAAAACGACAACATTAAAATTTTTAGTGACATTGGGAAACATATTACCCACACTTTCAATAAAAACAATATTGAGATAAGTAAACATGATAATAACGGAAAAAATAACAATAATGAAAATAATTCTTCTGAAAATATTGCTAATACTGTTAATAACAGCAGCAATGACAAAAGTTGCAGTGATAACAATGAAAATATAAATATTGATTGCAAAAGTATTGAATTCAATGGTATACGCGACAATAATATGAACATCAGTATCAACCAAATTAAAAATGATAATAGTGTTAAAAATAAAAATAGTAAAAATGATACTAATACTAGTAATAGTAAGGAAACTGGTAACTATAACAATAAAATTAATACTACGGATAACAATCACAAAAAAAGTGATAAAAATAAAAACTTTAATAATGATGACAATAGTACCAATGATAAAGATACTAGCAATAATCTAGACATAATTAATATAAAAAGTATCAAAAATAAAACTGAAGAACACAATAATGATGGCGTCAGCAGTGCCCTTAATACTGACGAAATAAGTACGATAAAAAATACTGAAAACAATAAAGAGAATGCAATTGATAAAAGCAACAAGAATATTGATCAAAGTAGTAAAAATGATGGGCATAGTAATAGTAATAGAGAAAATAACATTAAAGAGAACTGTGGTTATGATGCTAATAATAAAGATAGTAGTTGTAACAATAATAAGAACAACAATAATAATGAGAGCAACATTAACAAGTGTAAAAACAATGGTATTAATAAGGAGTGTAAAAAAGACGATAACGATAATAACAAAACCGGAAATAAAGGCAAAAGTAATAATGATAACAAAAATAATAACCACAATAATAATAGTAATGCAAATAATAATAATAATAATAATAATAATAATAATAATAATAATAATAATAGTAATAATAACAATAATAATAATAACAATAATAATGATAATAGCTATAATAACAATAATAATAATAACAATAATAATGATAATAGCTATAATAACAATAATAATAATGAAAATAACAAAAAAAATAATAATAATAAAGATAACAGTAAAAATAATAGAAACAATAATGATAGTAATAATAGTAAAAATGATAATGATAGCAATAATAATAATAATAATAATAATAATAATAATAATAATAATAGTAATAATAATAATAATAATAATAATAATAATAATAATAATAATAATAATAATAATAATAATAGTAATAATAATAATAATAATAATAATAATAATAATGATAATAGTGATGATAATAATTGTAATAATAATAATAATAATAATAATAATAGTGGTAATGACGATAATAATGATGATATCAATAATAATAATAACAATAATAATAATAATGACAATAATAATAGTGATAACAGTAATAATAGTAATAATAGTAATAATAATAATAATAATAATAATAATAATAATAATAATAGTAACAATAATAACAATAATAACAACAATAATAACAGTAATAATAATAATAGCAACAACAATAATAATAATAATAATAATAATAATAATAATAATAATAATAATAATAATAATAATAATAATAACAATAATAATAATAATAATAATAATAATAATAATAATAACAATAATAATAATAATAATAATAATAATAATAATAATAATAATAATAATAATAATAATAATAATAATAATAATAATAATAATAATAATAATAATAATAATAATAATAATAATAATAATAATAATAATAATAATAATAATAATAATAATGATAATGATTGTAATAACGATAATGATATTAACCATAATAATGATGATAATAATAATAATAATAATGATAATAATAATAGTAATAATAATAAAGATGGTAACATTCATAATATTAGTAGTGATGGCAGCGCAAAAGACAAAAACACAAAGGAAGACCAATTAGAAAATGATAATAAAGTTAATATCAATAAAAATGATTTTGTCCATCGAGAAAATGATCGAAATAAGATCGTTTTAAATAATGAATTTGTGCACATTAATAAAAGTGAAGAAAAATTTGTTGTTAATGTTGATACTTCCTTAAAAAGTAGCGGTTGTAGTCATTTTAACAATAAGAATATTAATAATGAAAATATTGCTAGTGAAATTTCTAATTTTAAAAGTGGTAAACAGATTACTGATAATGAAAAAAATAATAACGATAATCAAGCAAATATTGGAAAAAAACAAGAAGATAGAAAGTATAATATCCATGAAAATAGAAACTATAACGAAAAAGATTATATTGAGGATTTTCATAAAAATGATGATAATAAAAGCAGTATTGTCGAAGATGATGCCAATTGTGTAAACAAAATTGAGAAAAATGATGAGGGTAATACCCAGAAAGAGAAGTGGAATGTTGAGGATTTCATGTTAAATAGCCTAAAAAGCGATATATTTCAAAATAATAATGAAATGATTGGTAGCACCAAAAACAATATTAGTATTAACAGTATCAACAATTCTAATTCAAGTAAAAGCAACCACACCATCAGTTCCAACACAAATAATAGCTCTGTAAAAGATAAGTGTAACAAAAGTAGGAATGACATCGATACTAAAGATAATAATGAGGGTACAAAAGAGGATAAATCATCTAATATTTCGCAACTTTCACCATTATCGAAACCGAACGAGTTAACTACGAATATGGCAAATGCTGCAGCACAATTGCGGAATATAATGTCAAGTATAAATTCACCGACTTTAACATCTAATCTAATATTACAGCATTCAGAAAAAGTTGCAGCAAAAAGTAGTGAAGATAGTCAAAATATTGATACTCTTGATGGCTTTCAAACCCAAGCACCTGAAGAATTAAATTTATTCAAAAATTGCAAAAATTCTATTTTGCCATTAGATAAAAATGAATTAATATCTCAAGATGTTTGCCTTACTGAGAATCAACAACTTGTAACAACGACTTCAATTAAGGAAGTAGACACGATGGATAAAACTATTTTTACCGAAAAAGGCGTTATTAAAAATACAAATGTCATGGCAATACCAACGTCTTTGGTTTTTTCATCTTCCCTTCCTATTGTTTCTGAGAAAACGAGGGCATCTACCGATATAAACAAGAGTATTAGTAACTTTGTTACGAATGTAAAACATAATTTAAAAGAAAGTGAAAGTGAAAAGGATAATATTCAATCTATAGGAAAATTGACGTTTAAAAATGAAATTGACCTACAACCAAAGTATGTTAAACCTTCCGAGGAAGTTCAAGTCAATAACAAAAAACGATTGATGGAAATTTCACCTGGTAATACATTTGGTTTCCTTTTTTTTATATATTATTTTTTTTCAATACATTAAAAAAAATTTTTCTTTTTTTTGGTTTCGTAGATAAATTAGCTGTTTCGCATGAGATAAAACATGGGTACAATTCATCAACTTCAATTCCAAAATCTTGTAGCTCGAGTACATTGTCAACTTTGGCAAATTCTAATAAAGTGAGCAAATTAGAAAGCTCTCAAAATGTTTTGTTAAAACAGCTATTGCAAAACTCCACTACAAATTCATCTAACAACAAGAGCACAAATTCTCAAATTAACATACCGGGGCCAAGAAAGATACAAAATTTGAGAGCTCCAAGTTTAGGTGTAGTCAGCTCTTTAGAGGCTCAGTTGGCCCGACCTGTAATACCGCCGGTTGTTACAGATTCACAGTCTGCAACACCACTTTCATCAAAAACATTGGCAGATCCTAAAGAAAATATAATAGGCCATAAAAAGGAAAATAACTCTTTAAGTTCATCTAGTGGTAGTTTTATCAGAGAGCACAAGACCAGTCCTTACGTTTCACGAGAAACGTCATTCATTTCTAATCCACAACCTATTAATGTCAAACCTGAACAAAGTGAACCGTCATTACAAAATCAACACCATTTGCATCCTCAGCAATTACAGCAACAGCAAAAAATTCAGCAAATTGTGCAGCATCATCAACAGCTTCAGCTGCACCAGCAAATGCAGCACATTAAAGAAATGCAACAATCTCAACAGCAACTTCAGAAATCCCAATCAGGCGTAAATCAAAATCAGCAGGATCAACAAATTAATTTATTATTACAACAACAAAGTAACAGTGATGATAACATAAATAAGTTTAACATGGCACCTACTGTTGCCAATACTAAATTAATGAGAGAAGATTTCAACAAGATTTCTAATGCTGCATCAACAGAAATAAATCAATGCAAAGGCGAGTATCCTACTGTCAAAAAGGATCATTCGTCGTTATTTTCAGCGAGCACTTCAAGTAATGTAACTGATAAAAATATTAAATATAACGCCCAAGAAGTAAGCCAAAATAAATTAAGCAAAGAAACTGGAGTCGATCGTCTTGCAGATCCGGGAAAATCTAAACTTAATGTTGATTCAAGTAGTGCAGGTGTTGGTGACATTAGAAAAATTGCTACAAAACGAAAAAGAGACTTCCAAAAAAATAAAAAACAACAGGTTTTAAATAAAGAATCAATGATTGGGGCACCAAAAAAAAGGGGAAAGAAAGCCGATAAAGTAGAACAAGATTACGACGATTTTATTGACAACTTAATGGCACAAATTAGACAACTTCCAGCATTGCAAGTATTGGAACCCCTACTTAATCGTAACTTCAACGTGTGTAATATTTATGGTTCAAATCAAATAACACCACGATTGAGCAACTTTCACGAAAAAATAAATGTGTTTAATGGAAAGGATATTAAGGATTTTTATAATATGGAACCGTTTGGTCCAGAAAATCCATTTGAAAATGATGATGATAGTGAATCATCAATACAAAACGGATTTTATGATCAAGAATTTCCAACGTATAGTACCTACCCATATTTGGTTAAGACAACAAATGTTTTGGAGTCAACATTGAAAAATCGTGATTTGGGAACTCCAAATAGCATAATTTCATGTTCAAGCGGAGCCGAGAGTGATGATGAAGGTAAGTTCTTTGCATTTTTAATTTAAAAATTATAAATTTTCATACAACACATTTAAAGAGAGAATAAAGAAAATTGTTAACCAAAATAAATTTAATCAACTAAGTTGAACCTAACAAAACAATACTTACAGGTAAAAAATTAAATATATTGACAAACGATGCTGATCAGCAAATGAATCAACTTGAAATTCGAAATAAACTTCAATCTAGTAGTAAAAATTCATCTTCAGTGAACGTAATCAATATTTCATCAAGGAAAAGAAAGTATGAGACAAAAATATTTAAAGATATCAACGGTGATTATGATTCATATGAAACAAATGATAAAGATAAAACAAAATTTTCTCGGAGGCATTCAAACAAACAACCGAATTTGACAGTAACGCTTACGTTAACCCCGAATATAGCTGAGAACATTTTTGACATATTAAAAGAGCTGTCACATATTTTACGAGTACCTTCGCCTGATGTTTTAAAATTAATAGATAACAAAGAAGATCTCTCTTTCCATGTTCAAAAATCTACAGCAGCTTCAATGTCATCTTCAGTTGGGGGGTCAACAACTTTAATGTTTGAAAATAATAATAAACATAATTTAACGATAAAAAATATGATGAATACATTGCAATATTCACTGCAACCGTTACCGAAAGAAACGGTTGATATACAAGCAATTTTAAATTCTAATTCAAAGTTTTGTCGTCACTGTGATGTTTTGATAGTTAATGCGAAATTGAGATTCAAAAATCCTCAGCATTCGCAACAAGAAAATTTAGATATAATTGATGGGGAAGAAAAATCAGTTTTAACATTTAATAAAAATGGAGACCTTTATTTCTGTAGTAAAAGTTGTTACAATCAGTATCAATGGAGATCTAGATTAGTTAATTTTGATTCTTGTAATAAAAGTTTGCACAACCGTAGTATTAACCACACAAGCAATCATAATAATATCAGCACTAATATAAATCATAATTGCAATAATAATTATTATAAATATTACAATCATAACAATATTAATAACAGTAATAACACCAACATAAACAGCGACAATAACAGTTTTAACAACAGTGGCAATAATATCCGGCATAATTCTTGCTACAACCATAATGACTTGTCCGACAATGACAATGAAATTGAGAATCACATTCAAAACAGATATTTATTTAATGAAAATGATAATGATAATGACGATGACAATGAGAATACGGATAATGATAATACTAATAATGAAGATGAAAATAATGATGAAGATGACGACGATGACGATGATAATGATAATAATCATAATAATATTAACCATCGTAATAACAATAGTAATAATAGGAACAATAATGGTAATAATAATAGCAGCAGTAATAATAATAATAACAATAATCATGGTAATTACAATAACTATGAAAATAATAACAGTAATAATAATTATAACGACAGTAATAATAGTAATCAGAGTAATCACAGTAACCACAATAATAATATAAATAGTATTAACGGCAACAACAGCAACGATAGAAATATTGACAGTAATGGTAGTACAACCAGTTTCAGCGACGGAAGCCATGGCAACGATACTTTAAGTGGCAATTGCTGTAACAGTTACCGTAACGAATGTAATAATGCCAATAATCTCCAGAGAAGTACTTTGAATATCAACAGTAATAATAACAGTACAATAAATAGTAATATGAATGATAACAATGGCAGGAATGTGAATAACAATAATAATAACCTTAATAATAATAATAGTAATAACAATAATAATAATAACAATAATAATAATAATAGCAATAATAATAATAATAATAATAATAATAATAATAATAACAACAATAGTAATAATAGTAATAATAATAATAATAATAATAGTAATAATAGTAATAATAATAATAATAATAGTAATAATAATCATAATAATATTCATGATAATAATAATAGTAATAATAATAATCATAACAGTAATAGTAATCATAACAGCAATACTAATGATAATTCTAATAGCGATAGTAATAGTAATGGCAACAGTAGTAGTAATAATATAAATAATAATAATAATGATAATAATAATAACAACACCAACAACAGCAACAACAACAACAACAATAATAATAATAATAATAATAATAATAATAATAATAATAATAATAATAATAATAATAATAATAATATTAATAATAATAATAATAATAATAATAATAATAATAATAATAATAATAATAATAATAATAATAATAATAATAATAATAATGATAATAATAATAATAATAATACTAATAATAATAATTATAATAATAATAACAATAATAATAGTAATAGTAATAGTAATAGTAATGGTAATAGTAATAGTAATAGTAATAGCAATAGTAATAGTAATAGTAATAGTAATAGTAATAGTAATAGTAATAGTAATAGTAATAGTAATAGTAATAGTAATAGTAATGGTAATAATAATAGTAATAGTAATAGTAATAGTAATAGTAATAGTAATAGTGATAGTAATAGTAATAATAATAGTAATAGTAATAATAATAGTAATAGTAATAGTAATAGTAATAGTAATAGTAATATTAATAGTAATAGTAATAGTAATAATAATAGTAATAGTAGTAGGAATAGTAACTATAATGTTAATAGTAATAATAATAATAGTAATAGTACTAGTAATAGTAATAACAACAGTAATAGTAATAGTAATAGTAATAGTAATAATAATAATAATAGTAATAGTAATAATAATAGTAATAGAAATTGTAATAATAGCAATAGCAACAGTAATAGTAATGGTAATAATAATAATAATAGTAGTAGTAAGAATAATAGTAACTGCAATAATAATAATGATGAAAATAATAAAAATAATGCTAATAATAATATTAATAATAATAATAATAATATTAATAATATTAATAATAGTAATAATAATAACAATAATAATAATAATAATAATAATAATAATAATAATAATAATAAAAATAATAAAGAAAATAGTAAAAATGATAAGAATAGCAATAATAGTAATGATAATAATAATATTATTAACAATAATAATAATGAAAAAAATAATAACAATAATAATAATAATAATAATAGTATTAGTAATGATAATCTTAATAACAATAATTGTAACAGTAATATTAATTATAATAGTAAGAATAATAATAATAATAATAATAATAATAATAATAATAATAATAATAATAATAATAATAACAGTAATAATAACAATAAAAATAATAATATTAATAATAATGATAATAATAATGGCAATAGTAATAGTAATGGTAATAATAATAGTAATAGTAAAAACAATAGTAATTGTAATAATAATAATGATAATAATAAAAATAACAATAATGCTAATAATAATTATAATGCTAATAATAATTATAATAATAATAATAATAATAGCAATAATAATAATAATAATAATAATAATAATAATAATAATGACGGTAATAACAGCAGCAAAAATAATTGCAATAATAGTAGTAGCAATAACAGTGCCAACAATGCCGGTAATAACAATAGCAATAATGGTAACAACAGTAATTATCATCATCATCATTACCATAATAATAATAATTGTAATAATACCAATAGCAACAACAATAGTAATGGTAACAGTAGCAGTAATAATGGTAATAATAACACAAGCAGCAACAGTAACAACACAGCCAATAATAGTAACAACAACAATATCAACAACAATAATAATAGTAGCAATGATAACAATAATGCCGATAATACTTGTAACGACATTAATAATAATAATAGTAATAACACAGACGAGGACGGTGATGAAGATAACGATGACGACGATGATGATGATGATAACACTGGTAATAGTGATTGTAAGAACATAAATAAAGTAAATGGTAATAATAAAAAAAATAGAATTAATAAAAACATTTGCAGTAAAATAAATAGCAAAAATATAAATAACACCAATAGTAATCACACAAAAATCATAAGTAATATGAGCAGCAAAAAAAATAATTGTTGCTGGAAAGATGGTAAAGTCAGAGAGAATGAAGATGACAGTGATAACGATATATATAACGATAATGAAGAGGAAAACAATGATGAAGATGAAGAAAATTACAATGATAGTCATAGTGATAACGATAATGAAGATAATTACAACGACAACAATAACAATAACTACAATGAGTTTAAGTTTGAAAATGGCAATTCCTCTTCAGAAGATATTTCGACGGAATTAACAACTGGTTTTGTTTCTGAAATTCGCAACACTGATAACATCAGTAATAGCCATAATGTGTCGTTTTCCTTGCATAAACGAGACACTTTTCGACATTCTCATGAACAAATAAATTTATGTGATGAAAATGTTAAAATTACACATTTCTCTAAAGATAATAGCTTTAAACCCTGTGTTAAATTGAAAAGAAAAACTGAAAAGGAAATTGTTGAAATGTTATTTAAAATGTCAATAACCGTAATGCCTCAAAATGATGTAGATGATACTCGACAATGTATATTTTGTAGTCAAATAGGTGATGGTGTCACTGATGGTCCATCTAGGTTATTAAATTTTGACGTTGATAAATGGGTACATTTGAATTGTGCCTTATGGTCCGATGGTGTATACGAAACAGTTAATGGTGGCCTTATGAATTTTGAATCAGCTATTCAAGCTAGTTTAAATCAATGTTGCGTAATATGTCATCGAACTGGAGCCACAGTTAAATGCTTTAAAACGCGTTGTTGTAATATATACCATTTATCATGTGCACTTAAAGATAATTGTGTGTTTTATAAAAACAAGACAATGTACTGTTCAGTTCATGCTTCTAAAAATGAAAAAGATAATGAATTAAACAATTTAAATGCTCAGCGGCGAATATATATTGAAAGAGATGAAAATCGACAAGTCGCTGCTATAATGCACCAGTCTGAGATTTGCAATCTTTTAAGGGTTGGAAATTTAATTTTACTTAATGTAGGGCAACTCTTACCACATCAATTAAATAGCTTTCACAATGAAAATTACATTTATCCAGTAGGATATAAAATAATTAGATTTTATTGGTCTATGACAAAAAGTAATAAAAGATGTCGATATATATGTTCCATTGCGGATGTTGATAATGAACCGGAGTTTCGTGTTATTGTACAAGAATCAAATGAACCTGATGTTGAGTTTAAAGGTAAAACTCCAAAATTAGCCTGGCTACCTATTTTAAATAAAATGGTAGACTTAAGAAAGAAAACTAAGCTTGTAAGCATGTTCCCCAAATACTTGATGGGTGAAGATTTATTTGGTTTGACGGAACCAGCAATTACTCGTATTTTAGAAAGTTTGCCAGGAGTAGATACACTTACTGATTACAGATTTAAATATGGTAGAAATCCTTTACTGGAACTGCCACTTGCGATAAATCCATCCGGAGCAGCTAGAACCGAACAAAAACAAAAGTTATCATTTCATTGGAAAAGATCTCATACTCAACGCACAAGCTCGACAACAAATCAGCGTTGTGCGTCGTTCATCCCGCCTATCTCTGTAGCTGGAGAAGTGGCCTGTCCTTATAGTAAACAGTTTGTTCATTCAAAGAGTTCCCAGTACAAAAAAATGAAACAAGAATGGCGTAATAATGTGTATTTAGCTAGATCAAAGATTCAAGGGCTTGGTTTATATGCTGCACGAGAATTGGAAAAACACACAATGGTAATTGAATATATAGGTGAAATTATAAGAACTGAAGTTTCAGAGCTTCGTGAAAAACAATATGAAGCTAGAAACCGTGGAATTTATATGTTTCGGTTAGATGAAGATCGTGTTGTTGATGCAACTCTTTCTGGAGGTTTAGCTCGTTATATTAATCATTCTTGCAATCCAAATTGTGTTACAGAAATTGTTGAAGTAGATCGCGAATTGCGAATTATAATCTTTGCAAGAAGGCGAATAGATCGCGGTGAAGAACTTTCATATGATTACAAATTTGACATAGAAGATGATGCTAATAAAATATCATGCATGTGTGGTGCACCAAATTGTAGAAAATGGATGAATTAGTTTTTAGGATTTATATTTGATTTAATATTGTATGTATTTAATTTTTATAAATAAATTTGATTTTTGTTTTAAATTTTTAAGATAATGTTTGTCAAAAATTTTTTGTAACTTTTTTCTTAGAAGCATAAGAGAATTAGTAGTTAAAACACTTTAAAGTAAAGGTATATATATTTATATATAAATATAAATATATTTACATACAACTATTCAAAATACAGAGATTTTTTAAACTTAAAAATGAGAAAATTAAAAAAATATTTGATTGCTTTTAGTTTTAAATTTTAATGAATTAAATAAATAAAATTACAAATAAATGCTTGTACTTGTATATGCATGGATAAATGACCTTGAACGAACTGATAGGTAATTCCATGTTTATATGCACAAACATATATACATATGTACATATATAGATAAATATATGAGTGAAATATTATGTATATTATATATGTGTATGTATATATATATATATATTTATATATTTATATTTTATTCATATTAAAATTTATATTTATAACTTAATATATATTTACATATTATGTATGCATAATATTATATAGATTTATACAACTTTGTATATAAATGTATATTGTTGAAGTTAAAAAAAATATTTTAAGTAAAAGGTATAAAATAAATAATTATAGTTGAAAACAATGATTTCTATTTTAATTTTGATAACTTTCCTACATCTTTTTATACTATTGTATCTATAATTTTCCTATTTTATTTACTATTTCGTATATTCTATATCTGCAAGCAGAAATTCTATGTATTCTATGAAATTCTATTTATGTCCTTATTATGATCGGCGAAGCGAATGGCTGGGCGAGTCGAATGACATTTTAAATTATGATCGGCGAGTGCTTTCGTTCGCAGGTCCAAAATGTAGCTACCGCAAGACATCAGAAAACCTCCCGAAAATAATGAGGTTAACACCACACATATGTATGTACACTGTTTTTGAGTTTTTGCAAAAACAGTTATTGAATTTTCCTGTTTAGCAATGTAAGCAACGCGGTTGTTGTCCATTAATTTATTTATATACTCGAATTGTTTTTGGTTGTTTTTTTCACGATTAAATTAATATTAAACAATCAATACTTTTTACAATAATTTGCAGGATTTCATGAACTTTAAAGATAGTTTAAATTTATAAAATATATAAGTATAAATGCTATAATATCTAATAAAAAAAAGCAGTTGTTTATTATTTTGTCACACAGAACTTTCATTCGACAGATTTGAATGCTCATTCGCCTAAATTTTAAGCGAATTCGCCAATCATAATCCAAAAATTTATATTCGCCGAAAAACTTCAATCACTTCGCCGATTATTATAAGGACCTTTACGTAGGCGAACGGTGTTTTTTAAATTATTACTTCAATTAATTTCAGCGATTATTTTTGAAATGTATAATATTTGTACTCATAGTATAAAAATTAAGAAGTTTTATACCAATTACGAAATTTGCAAAACTTTGCACCAGATTGTATAGTGTTATTATGGTTTGTTTTATAAAAATTTTTCAAAAATTTTACATTTAATTAATATCTCAACATTTTAATTAATAAAAGAAATGAAAATTTGTTTTCATCGAGTGCCTATTATTCTATTGTGATGAGTGCACCAGTAGTAATAGTGAAGACGAGAAAAATGCAAATGTTGGAACTTGGAAGTTAATCAATCAATTTAATTGGTGTTAACAAAGTTAACACGTCCTAAAGGGTTTAACTCCACAACAAAGTTCGCCCACATTTCCCTCAATATACTTTTGTCAAGCCTGAACTTATTTGAACGCCCTATGTATGTATGTACCTCCAGATCACTTTCCATTAGTTCCGAACTAATTTTGCGAACTGATCCCAATTTGTTTTTTTTAAACAAAAATTTTATAAATTGGTGTATAATTTATGTGCAAATTTTATTTTTGTTTTGCCATAAAAAGCGAATATTTTTATTACATGGAATAGATGCTATTCCATGTAATATTATTTATTAAAAGTTTTTTTAATTACATTTACCTTATTATAGATATTTAAAAATCAAAATTTATTTTAGTATTAATGTTTCACCTTTGTTTCACAACAACTTGCATCATAAAGTCTTAAATTACGAGTATAAACTACGAGTATCAACTGAAAATCACATCGAAGCACATATGTACATACATATGTACAATTTTTATTCGCCTTGTTTTCAGATTTCTCTCTAAATAATTTTGTACCATTAATTTGGAACCACAATACCATTTAGGCGAATATGAGAATAATGACAGTCGCTTCGCGAACCATTATAACCCAATGAGAATATAATATACGTGAGAAAATAGACGACTTAAAGTGAGAAAATGGTATTAAAAAGTTTTTTAAATTAATAATTTTAAGCACTTAATATAATACACTTTTATAATGATATATATACTATATACATATATAATAACTTTTAAAACTTAATTTTTAATTGTTTTAAAAAAAATTTTACTTAATTTTTTTTTTCGCGTTTTATCTATACCCTGGGTGACAAGACTTGTGAGACCTGCGTACCATATTTTTAAAAATTATACATTTCGTTATGCAAACGTGCAGACAAGCTCGTATAAAGGAATTACACTAGAAAATAACTTTGTATAACAATTTCAAAAAATTAGCTATGTATATAATGTACATACATACATACATATATATGTATCTAGTTATCAAATAATTTTTATTTCAACAAAAAAATTATATCAGTTCAATTTTAGAAAATGTAAGTATTAAATAAGTAAAACTACGTTTCAGTCGGTATAAACCGACAGAATAATATCCTGCACTTTCATAATCTGAGTTTAAAAATTTGTTTTTGAAATATCTAGAATTAGCTTTTATTGTTAAATGGCAACTATTCGAACCTGGTAAACCAGTCATTGGAAACTTCCCGGATATTATGTATGACCTATAAGTGGACCCAAGACTGTCAAGTTTCATGAATCTAGCTTTAATATTTTTTTTTGGAGTTGTATTGCAGCTACCCGAACCGGTTAAGTCATTCTACCAAAGTCTTAAGGATATATGTGACCTTTAATTAGACATACGACTGCCAAATTTCATGAATCTAATTCTATTATTTGTTTAAATATTTTTAATTAACTTTAGGAGCTCTTGAATCCGAACCTGTCCACCATTCCACCAAATTTTAAGGGTTACATCTGACCTGAAATTGGATACACGACTGCCGAGTTTCATGAATCTAGCTTTAATATTTTTTTAAATATTTAAAATAAATAATTAAAATATGCCACACAACTTTCGAAAATCAATTTTCGAAGGTGTATGGCAGCTACCCGAATCCGCCGTCCGAATTGGTTCAATTACAATAGCAGGCGTCGTTGAAAAGAAAAAACGTAATTGAAATTTGTACGACACACCAACCCTTGCATTGTTTTATAAAATTTAGGCTTTTATTAAAACAAATGCAAGTGATAAAGAAAATAAAGTAATTCTTTCTAAAAATTTATACATAAAAAATTTTTAACTTTTAAAATTTTTTCCCTAAAAATTTTTGAATAAATACATAGAATAATAATATGAAAATGTTCAAATCCGCGCGTGCCATAGTGAATTCGAAACATGCCAAGTCTGATTTGAATCGTGCCAATAGGTCTGGGATAAAACTTGAAAAAACTGTAAAAAGAAAACAAAAACAAAATTTCTCGTAAAAAGAAAAAAAAAATAAACCAGACGGAAAACTTGAAAAAACTTTCAAAGTTTTATCAAACATAAACAAATATTTTTTGGTAGCCGAAAATTTTGATTTTGGATTATAAAAGTGTGAAACTTAGGAAAAACCATTTGTGAACCAATTTTGGTTGTTTTATTTAATTTTTAATTGAAAAGTATTGAAAAAAAAATTTATTGTTGATGAAAATTTTTTTTTTTAAATAAAATCATCTGACATAACCAATAAAAACATATGTTATGACAGCTCCAAGATTTTAAAAGTTTTTGAAACACTAACTTTTACTTTATAAAACTTTAAAAAAACTTTAAAAATTGAGAAAATGAGAATGTCATAATTTTCTCTCATTTTTGTTCAAAAAGTATTATCTTAGAGAGTTTACATGCAAAAACTTTATAAAGTTTTGACTTAATGATTAACAACAAAGTGAATAAATTTTGTATATATTTTAGAAAAACACGAGAATTATATCTTCTCCAATAATACCAAAAAAAAATCTTCTCACTCGAAAATTACATTGGCCCTTTTTATGAAAAAAATATATTGGACGATACACGATATTTCTTATAGTTACTGTGGTGCTTGTATTATGAAATTTATTTATCGGCATTGTCTAAAACGATTTATCGTATTTAAAAAGAGTTTTTTTTTTATACATATGCATGCAAACTAGGGTTTATCGTATTATGAAAAATTTATTTTTGGGATTTCCCGATAGATTTTATCGGGTAATTTTTTAGTATACGATAGCACACGATAGTGATTTTACAAGTAGTTTTTGAGGTTATAAAATTAAAAAAATGTAAGTATTTCACTATTATTAACATAATTGAGAATTATAAGTTAAGATAAATTTGATTTTGTATTTTTAGGAACAGAATTGTTAGTAATAAATAGGATAACTCAAAGAACGGAATAGAATTTAGATATTGCAAGAAATGTTTGCTCAAAAACTTGTGCCGATAAATTTCTGATCAAAATTTTCAATGAATTAAATAGTATAGAACCTCCTACCAGTTATCGGTTCATAATACTACGATAAAACGATAACGATACGATATGTCTATCGCATACCGTATATCGGATTTTTTCATAATAAGAACCATTATACAAGTATATGATAGTTACTCAGTTTCTTCCCACTTTCCGAGTAAAATAGCGAGATACTCGGTCAGGCCCTTAAAATATATGACTATGACAGTACTTCGATTGCTAAATATAAGAAGTTTTAAGTTAGAAAAAATACCCCATGGTTTAAAAAAAGATATTAAAAATTCAGTTTTCTTTTAGTTACATTTTTCTCGATTTTAACAAATTCAGCTGTATTTTTTAAATTTTTAAATATTTAGAAAAAAACCAAAATTTCAATTTCAGAAATTAATTTCATTTTCTGTTAAAACTAAATCATAAATGTAAATTGCAATTTTAAATTATTTAAAATAAAGCATTGACAAATTCGTAGCAGGGTCGTATTTGTTTTATTTTCTTGTCTGGCCTCCACTATAAAATATGTGTAATTTATAAGAAGAATAAGTTAAAATATTTTCTTAAAGTAAAAACTAAAAAGTATTTCAAAATATTTTTTTATTTTAGATATCAGTAAAAAAAAAAAAACAAATTTAAACAAAATTCATTTTAATGTTAATTTCAGCTTGACAATGCTTGGAGCAAAAAAAAAACTTTCAAGATACGATTTTCTAGCGAGATAGAAACAAAGATGCTTCTTGCTTTAGTATTTCTAATTCGTTGTTATAGATACCCCTTTAATAATCTTTATAAATAAAGCCCAAGGGGACTTTCATAATCCTATATATAACACAGAAACTGTAGGCAGGTTTACGAAAAAAAAATAACGTATAACGTACAAAGAGAAAACAAAAAAACATGACAAA